CGAGCAATTATTTTGCTTTTCACTGTTGCTACTGCTACCCTCGGATCACGTAATTACCTAAGTCAATTTAACAGAAAGGTTTTCTCGATTTTTCTATATTCCTTAAATATAGCAATTTAGGATGCGTTCTTTAAACATGAAGGAACAGCAGGCCGAATTGTTGGTGGATCTGATGCAAATCTCGGACAATTTCCTTATCAAGCATCACTTCGAATACCAGTTACAGACACTTCTGTGGTGTTGTAATCATAAGTGATAGATGGCTTATAACAGCAGCACATTGTATTGTAAACGTAAGACTACTTCCAGTTAATGTTGTAGTTGGATCACATCTTTTAAACTCAGGAGGAATTGTACATCAATCTAGTCGTCTTGTACCTCATCCTGAATATAATGCAACATGGATTTCAAACGAGTGAGTATAATAAATCATTTTAATAGGCATTAAGTGAAAAGTCATGGAAAAAAATATTCCCAGTGTTGGAGCAGTTGAAACAGCAACTACAATAGTATTTACTACATACGTACAACGAATTGAAATGGCTTCTGAACCTACTTCTGGTGGAGTTAATGCTATTGTAAGTGGATGGCGTGGAACTACAGTCGATGGAGGTCCAGCTCCTGATAATTTACAATGGCTGAGAACAACAACTTTAACAAATAGTGATTGCAGAGAACGACTCGGAGAAAGTGCTGGATTTGTGTTTGATCATAAAATTTGTACTTTAACTCGTGCTGGGGAAGGGATTTGTCAAGGAGATTCTGGTGGCCCTTTGGTTGTCGATAATAAAGTTATTGGGATAGTATCATGGAATACTCCGTGTGCTCGCGGACTTCCCGACGGATTCGATCGTACGTATCGTATTTTCGTCAATGGTTTCTAGAGATTACTGGAGTATAAATTTGTTTAAACGTTATCAACAAAGAATTTAATAAAATTGATAAAGAATAAAGTTCAAATTGAATTATGACGAAGTGACTTGGTTTTTTCTGATATTTTAAAATTACAGAAAATTCAAGTAAATTGATAAATTAATAGCAAACTGTACGTAACGCTTTATATATTTCAAAATTTTTCAGAAGCGAAAATTGAAAAAAATGAAACCCCTCTGAGATTTTCAAATTTAACGATTTTTATCAATTTATTGAGATTTCTTTAGTGTGCATAATTTCAATTGAATGTGGATCATAAAGCATAAAAACATATTTTTCTAATTATAATAATAATTAATTTCTAATTATTAATTTCTATAGTAAAAAATCTATATTACGTAGCTATAATTTTTAATTATGATTACAAATCTTTCATATTTATGGAATTAAAGTGTTGCTTTTCAGGGCTAATAAAATCTTATTCATTTATCACGCAGATTAGGAAAATGTTTTATGTTTATATCTTTTTCTAGTGCGAATACTGATGAGTTGTTAACTTTCCTAGGTAAGAAGAAACAAGATTGTACCTAAAAGGTGGCGTCATTGATAATTTCATTTTAAGTCTGAATGTTTGACTCAACATAAAGAATTAAATTTTCTTTTCATATTAAATTAAGTAAATTTTACCTGATTGAATATCTCATAAAAAAAACTATATGTGATCAAAGTACGTTTTCATCTTTTTTGCAAGTTATATAAAATAACATAATTTATTTCTTATTTTTTAATTAATTATGCACGGAAAAGATCTTCTATACAATCTTTCTAATTCAATAAAATAAAAATGATTACAAAAGAAAAAACATGTAAGATGTAGTCAAAAGTATTCATTTAAGTTTAACTAATATTTTGGAAAACGAAGAAATAGATGAGTAATAATAGATTTGCAAACAGTAATCAACCAATTGTTAGTTATTAGACTTGTAAAAACGTTTTACAACACTTAAATCAAAATCTATTCAAATCTCTACCTAACATATTATTCAACTTACTGTGAACATTTTTCACGATAATTACACATTTTTGCATTTTTAAGTTCCAAAATTCAAACAATAGAGAAAAAAGTTATCATTTAAGAAATAATTTAAAGTTGCATAGAGTGACTTGGTTTTGTATCTGTTATTTTATTGTAAACATAAAAAACTTTAATTGGATTTAAATGAATGAAAGTAAAACTTAGAGTTTAACCATACAATTTTCTCCCCGTGCTTGTTAGAAACATTGGAAATATTTTGTATTGTGAACGAAGGTAGCTTGAAAATGAATCAAAGAAAGCCACAAAGCGTCAGGTTCAATGTTTTTATTTCCGGGTATGCTAAGGCATTCCGATCTTAATTGATTTCGTTTATGCCCGATACATAAAGTAACCACCTGATCAAAAACACTTGAATTTTATTCAATGTTGTTTAACTTTTAAAATCATGCATTAATTCAATCAGATTAAGTTCCTTCATTATTTCAGCTTCACTCAAAACAAGTTTGGTTTTAATCTGTTGAACTTTAATTATAAATTTCTTAAGCAAATTAAAAGAAAATTGTAATTTCTTTATTTATAAAGTATATTTAACCAGTTAAATTTTGTTTAATGAACTATTATGAAGTTCCATCGACCTTATCTGTTAGATATTTAAATACAAGTTTAAGCATTATAAAAAATATTGTTTTGCTCTTTATAATCAGTCAATATCGATACTAATATCAATCATATTCCATCATTATGCTATTAGCATACCTTTAATTTCATATCAGCAATCTCGAGACGTCTGAAAATATTCGCTTATTCATAAATTAACTCTCTCATTTCTCTCCAATTTCTTTACCATTTCTTTTATTTTCTCATTCTAAACTTTTCTTTCGCTCAACAGCGATTTCATGAAAATTTTATGTTTATTATTCAAAGTCTGTTGATCAAGTGCAGACAGTTTGATGCAGCAAATTGATCGATTCGGATGTAGTTATTGTGAAGAAAGTTATTCAAAAAGAAAATTGCGTGCCTAAAGATTTACATAAAAATATATTTATAAAGTGATAAAGTTTAGAAATTATTTGTAAAAAAAAATGAAGTGTCAGGTAAATAAAAAAATGGGACAAATGCAAAAACATCTTAATAGTGCAAAGATTTAAATGAGTGCAATGCAATAATGTAGGCTAGTAGAGAATCATGTAGAAAAACAGAGAAAATAAATACAAATGCGATCCAGAACGTGCGTGAAATGTGGAACAACAGACGGAAAGCGACATTAGTGATTGTAAAGAACCGTTCGCGTCAGTTTCAAGCAAAGCCATTGATATTCTTTCTGCACTTTCAAACCGTAAAATAAAAGAAAATCATTCAGTTGAAATTCGAAAAATCCATTTATCAAGATGCAATTAGGCAGTAGATATTCAATGACCGTTCAAATGCTCTATAAAATAGAAATTAAATAATTTCTAATTTATATTTAGTATCGGATTTTCTAAGTTTCTTCAATTAAAATATCTATAATAAAATCGATGACTTGACGAAAATTGCCTTCGTAGTTATTAAAAATGTTAAGATAATGTTAAAGAAAAACGAAAGGAAATCTATCAAGATTTGTTTTGATCAAGGTTCATTTAAGTATTACTAATGAGATGAAATATTTTGGGAACAAGTTAAAGCTAAAAACTTTCAGTTTCGAATAAACTAGTTGAACCCACTAAAATCAAATAGACGTCTCAAAACTTTGAAAGTATTAAATGTCAGTAAAGCTTTCAATGAACGCATTTAAAATTGATCGCGAAATTTCAGTGATTAGTAAGCTGCCATAAAATTAATACCGTGAATATGGGATCAATTATCATTGGATAGCTGCAAATTAAAATTTGGAACGGTAGATACCTGTTAAATCTAATATAGTCGAGAGCTTTGTCGAATTTAATTGAATTTAAATTTTTTTCTTAGGCTATTGTATGAAATCGGAACGATAAAATCAGTTTAATCTGTTAAAAACTTCCTCGATATCTGATATGATCTCCACAAGTGTCTTTAATTCAAATATCTGAAAAAATTCTTTGATTTGTCTTTACATTGCCGCTAAGTCTTCCCACTTAAAAATTTTCTTGATATCTTTCATGTCAAAATGTGAAATGTCATAAAAAAAGAAAAGAAACAATTGAAATTAATGAAAAGTGAAAACTGCAATTTCTTATGTAAAAAAATGCTTTTGACGGAAGTCTAACTGCATTATCAGTAATTTAGAAATTAAATTAGATATTTATAATGCATCATATTATGGCTGAAAGCATCCACGAGACACAAAAGGAAAACGTGTATTTAACACTCGATTGAACAGCATTTCGTCATGAAAATACATTTTTTGTTAGAAGCGTAAATAGAAGTTGATAAAATAACAACAAAACAAGTAAAACAAAAGTTTCTAAATATTTAAAAGCTTTTTCGTTTACATAAGTTGATGTAAATAGTTGACACGATGTGAGACACATTTGTTAATGAAAACCTATTCACGATCAAGGATTTTGAGTCCAAATAGCGAGTTAACAATCAAATAAGCGATATTTTGACAGTTTCTACAAGCTGCTAAAATTCGTTTATATCAACGAAAATATTAAAATTTCACTCCAATGAATCTGAAGCGTGCTGTGCATTAATTAACTTCGAATTAAACGACCTTCTTTCAAGAAGAAAGATTTATTTTCATAAAGCAACTAACACTTTAATTGAATAAAGTAAAAAGTAAAAAAGAAAAGAAATTGAAAACATCGATTAAACCAGTCGATCTGGAATGTGTAATTCAATAAGCGATTAGTCAGTGGCATGCTTTGCACATTGCTGTGAAACTAGTTCTATGTTGTGACGATCAATGAATCCCCAATTTGGCAAATATTTTAAAAACTTTTCTCTTTCATCATCAGATAAATTTTCTCGTGCGTTTTCTCGTGATTTGCTTCTTTGGATTAAATTATGTTTTGTGTGAGCCACCGAAGAAAATGCAAAGACCGGTTGTTGTCAAACAATGGCCAATAAACCGAAATGCAGCCCAGATTCGTGCTAACGGGATGATGCTTAACCTTCGAGGTTCTGGAACTGCTAATATGTTCTCTAGATTACCAGCTCCTGGAATGTTCGTAAAGACAAACTCACCATTCCGGTTTGCAATCCCAATGCGACCAAATGAAAGGCCGATTAAGTCATCGTTATTGTCTTCTCCTTCATCTCATGTATTCTACAAGTCTAATTTCCCATCGCAAGCTGCAGCTTTAAAACGACCATTTCCACATCATTTACCATCAACTGGAGCATTTAAATTTTCATCGCCAACCCACAAAACAGCCATAAAATTCCAAGTCGCACCACCCGTTCCACTTAAATCTAAGCCAGAGTATGTTTATGAGAAGGTGAACGTTCCAAAGTTTGCTGATCCAATTCGATACGGTGGTGGTCATGATAGCGCTATTCACACAATTCCAGCACCGAACTTGAGTCAATCACATGACAAATCACCAATTCCAGATCCACTTGGTAATAATTTAAATACACAATTTGATTCTGATCTATCTAAATTTTCTGCTGCCGCATTTTCTCAAGCTTTTATAAAACCGGTAAGAAAACTTAAGTTTGACTTTTTAAAGAAATTGTTTCACCATTAAACTCAAAATAGATTCATCAATACCAGGTTCAAGAAAACAACAACGACGTAACTATCAAGAATACTTTGACTGGTCATAAAAGTTATTTCGCACCTGATAACGATCCAAGTATCAGACCTCCAGTTCTCAACCCCATCGATGATCCATTAAGCACTCCAAGTGACGGAAAACCAAAACCAGCTGACGTTCTTTATCAACAAAATTTAGACTTTGGTGCAGCGCCATTAGTTCAATCGCAGCAATTCTCTGCTGATCCTTTTGCGTTTCCTGTGACATCACAACCGCAACTTCAACAATATCATCTTCAACAGAGTACCATGATGAAGCAAGGATATCCATTAGCATCATTAAACCCGACTTATCTTGTGATGCAATCGAACAATCTTTTGGGTCAACATCAGCAACATTTGGGGCCTCAATTATTCAGACCAGAAAACGGTTACATTGACACTTCTTCGAATGGACAACCTGGTTATGATGTGACACATTCTTATGATTATACAAAACCTCAACAAGTTGCCAGTTTAGGACAAATTTATTCAGCGCAAAAAGATCAAATTAGTCAACTCGAGCATTCAATATCATCAACTCAATCGCCATTAACAGCATTGACTTTCATTCATCACGATGAAGCAGCGTCACAAGACAATCCAGCTTATTCACAAGTAGTTGAACCGAAGCCAAATCATTATCAATATTCACATCAAAATTTTATCGATTTACCAGAAGAACATTTGTCACAAAATGACATTCAAAATCTTTTAAACTATAATAATTTGTATCAAGATTATTACAATCAAAGGCAAATAGAAAACGATGTCATTTTGAGAGAAGCCCAAGAAAGTTTAAAAGAAAAGTTAAACATCCAAAAACAGCAAGAACAAACAGCTTACGATTTGCATCAACTTGTGCAACAAGAAACTTACCATCCACTGAGAATTGTAGTTCCCGATGAAGAACATCAGGTAATTGAGTCTTCATAAAAGTAAAAAGGGAAAGTTTATTAATTTAATTCTTTACAGTTCCAAAAGAGAATTGACGATGAAGCTCATTCGTATGAAGAAGACGAACCCGAAGAATTTGAAGACGATGAAGAATCAAATGAAGAAAGTAACGAGAATGAACATTATGAGTCCAGTAATTCAAATCATTCATCATAATCGATTATGAATCAATTTTTAATTTATAATTTAAATTAATTTTTCTTAGTTTTATGTAAAATGTAAGTAATCTATTTGTATGGATGGAAAGTCCATTAAGGAAATAAATTTCAATCTTTAACAAAAAAATATGTTCGCATGATCGCATTTAATTGATTTAAGCAAAGACAACATTGTGATTGTCAAGATAAACTGAATGTTCTGTTTCCAGCTTATCAACATTTTAGATTTCAAAGTTTGTGGTAAGTTTTATGTTTTGTATCTTTAAAATTTGTAATATTTTTTTATCATTTTTTTGTATGATCGAAGAATTAAAATTTTTCTGTTTTGCTCGAATGCAATAAAATTTAGATAAAGTGATACTCACATTAAGGTATTCAAAGAATATTTTTCTACGTATAAATAAGGATAACCACGAATTTAATTCAAATTTGTTTGCAGTGAATATTTGTAACAATATTTTACAATTTCCCGCTACTTTTACTTCTCTACCCCTTTCATGACAGTCAGACAATCGGACGTTATAACTTTAATCAACTAAAACAGAAGTTAGCATATTTCTACAGAAAATATTTTTGCCGAAATGCCGAAACGAAAATCAAGTAAACCAAAGCAAACTATTGCTCAAAATAAAAAGGAACAGCTCACTGTAACTCAAATAGAAACGGACTACATAACTGATGTAAGTGTATACTCATATATTGAAGAAAATAACACCAAATCATAAAATTTACTTAAACGTTTGTTTGTTTACATTTTTTAGCTTTCTAACAAATACTGGTCACTCGATAAATCGCAGAATGATCTTCTTCCATACGATGCAAAAATTGTAGAAAAAGTCTACAATCAGGAAATTTCAAGTGGTGACTCTCGCCGTATCATGATTCTCGAATTTAGTCGATATTTGGAAAATTATCTTTGGCCAAACTTCGGTGAAGAATCAACATCGGCTCATGTTATGTCTATTATTTTCCTCCTGAATGAAAAGTTTCGCGAACGCATAGAAGTTTGGAAAGTTTTCGAGAAGAACTCAGATAATTTTGCTCTTCTCTTCAATGAAGTTCTACGCAAATGTCTTGAAAAAATTGACATCGTCAAAGCAACTCCAGCAAATATTCGCGAGCAAACAGCATTACTCATATTTCTAAATCATTGCTTCAACAGTATGGATGTAGAATTATGTCGTGAGCAAGCTAAGAAGTTAGTGTCACTCTCAATGTGGTCGTGTTTGCAACCGAAACGTCGTGATCAGGAGTTGAATTCGATTCCAGAGTGGAAGAAATTTTGGAAGAAGCTCATGAAGAGAGACAAACCAGAAATGAAAGAAAAGCTTGAATTTGAAAGGCATTTTTTACAGGTAATGTGATTATCATTCATTCATTCATAATTACATCCCACAACTTACAATTTTTCTTCTCCTTTCAGAATCTTATAATTAAATTTCTTAACATCTTGGAATCAATTCCCGAAGAGGGAAAAATCAACAACGAAATTGTTCGCTATTGTGAGAGATTCCTCGAATTCCTCATTGATTTGGAGGCATTGTTACCAACACGTCGCTTCTTTAATACAGTTCTTGATGATTCTCACATTGTTGTTCGTTGCTTTATCGCACCGCTGACAAAAAGACCAGAAGGAAAACTTTTTTCTCAGGTGAGCTTCAAAAATTATTTATTAAAACAATTTTATATGCTTAAATAAGTACAAACTTTATTGCAAACTTATTTGATTCGGTAAAAGCAAGAAAAAATGATTAAAATCATAAAAGTTGGAAGATTTCATGAGATTCTTGGGAATGTTTATATTTTTGGAGTATTTGAAGTAATTTCTAGTTGTTTAATAATTGTTTCCATTCATGTAAGTTAGTTCATCGCCGTAATTCCAATCAGCACCAGATGTGTGCGTTACTGCCTCGTTGTAACAACAAGCTTTCTTTAGAAGAAAACTGACATGTTTCTGTCGGATAATGCAAATATAAAATAATATTGGTGCTTGAAGAAAATTCGTAATTATGTGAATGTAAAGTAAGAAATCAGTTTTAAGCCACGATAAAATGAAGAAAACCCAGGCGACACTCATTGTAATGAATATTAAGATGAACATTATAAAACTGCAATTGAAAAGAATTATTAGTGAAATATTTCAGATGATTATAAAACATTATCTTACTTGCTCTTGAGTTTATTGTGAATTCTTCCATATGAATTGATTCTGTTCATTACTTTGAGTGTTGTCACATAGAAAAATAAATTAATAATGACAATGAAAGCAATTGGAGTGAAGAAAACTGCCATTCCAAGCCAGCCAATTGTCTCTTGGTCTTCAAACAAATATTGTTTCTTAATTGTTCCTGTGTCTAAGAAATAATGTGCGAAGACAGCAAGAATTGATAGAAGAAATGTCATTCCCCAAGCATAGCTTGAATACCAGCAGTATTTCCGTCCATCTGTGACTCTCAAGAAAACATTTCTTGAACGAAAAGTCTTCCAAATGTAATATCCCATACTGTTAAGCCAAAAGAATGCGCCCAGCATGCTCACATAAAGAATCGTATCAGCAATAAGAAAGCTGACGTGATTGCCAAACTCGGTAAAGATTCGAACAAGATCAGCTGCTTGACTTATGATTAAGCAAATTGTGATTGTTGTGACGATATTTCCAACTAAATCTCTTAGAGTTGGTAACACAAAATAGATTATTGCAATAATCAGTAAGATAATCATTGAAAGTCCATGAAAAATTGGATTGAGAACTTTTCTCAGTAAGAAATCCGTGTCGGTCCATCTAAGAATCTTCTCAGGCGAACAGACATAAGCAAATTGCCAACTCTCTTTGGTATTGTTCGAAAAAACTGCTTTCTCGAGGCAATAATGCCCTTGCTCGAAATCGTGATAAAGAAATGCTCGTGTTCGATGTGTTAAAAGTTCAGTTACTTCTTCATAATCTTCGTCTTCATCAATCTCTTGATCTGCCACTCGATGGTTCTTAATGTAATGTCCAAGCTTTCCATCAGGGAACAAGAAAAGATAATCATGGTTCTGAAAGTGTCAAATATGAATTTATTGTTCAATGAAATGTGAGAAGATTTGAAATATTTACTTTTGGATCATGATAAACAGGCCATATCTGCATACTTCCACAATCAGGCTTTCCTATAAGAAACTTATACTCGTCAACCTTTACATTCTGCTTTCCTTCGTATCCTGTAAACACTGGAGACCATTCAGCTGCAATAATATGAGTAAAACATTAACAATCACACAGACAACCCTCTCGAAATCAAATTTCCAGATGGCTCAGATTTCATTTTTCTTTTATAAACATGAAACACTTACAAGTATTTGCTTCCTTAGCACTCGTACATCGTAAGTCGACGTAGATTTCAAAACTCTCACAACATTTATTTATTCTGACTTGGGGTTGTATGTCTTTATTCGGCGATGCATCAACTACGTCACGATGCACAGCTATGAAGAAGATTGTTACAATACTTGCTACTATCACATTGTTTTTGTTGTATCCATTTCTTTTTCTTTGCAAATTGCATCGCATTTTCTGTTTTCCTAGTACACATTCAATGTTTTCTTCTTGTTCCGCGTGCATAGTTGAAGCTTCACTCGACTCTTTGAGCATTTTTCTTCTTTTTCTTCTTTCCTTGTTGCTATTTATGAATAAGAAGAAAACAAATTTGCTTGTTTTGCTTGCTGTGTTCCTTTGACGTTTTCTGTATGTTTTCATAAAAGGAAGAAACAACTTTTGTTAAAACATTTTTTATATGATTGAATCGATTTATTTGTGGTGCAAAGCAATGTGGTTCGTTGGCCTTTATTTTCGTTATGTTTCTCAAAACGAAATTTTCTTTTTAAATTGAAGAAATTGTCTGAATTAACTCTCGCTTCCTGTCTTGTTTTATGTTTCATTCTATATTTATAAGTCTGACTTTGTTTTGCACATACTAATAAATGAAATGTGCTACCATGTGCTTTGACTTGCGCCTTTCCTTAAATACTTAATTCATTTCATATCGAATGCAAAATTGTGTTTCATTTTGTTCATTAGTTTCATGAATACACAAACGTTTTGTTGTTGTGACTTACACTTGAATAAATTTTCACACAAGAAACTCCGTGCTTATGACGTACATTTCAATGACAACGTTTTAAATACTAAAACTTGTGACTATTCTCATTAATTTGTTTCTACGGAAATCTCGTTTAGTCATTTTTTTGAAAATCTTTTCATGCATGAGTCATCTAATGCTTGTTTGAATCTCTTAAATCGATGGTTGAGTGTGTCACGTTGTGATGCTAGACGCTAACACTTTGTAAATATTAATCTTGCTTAGATACAATTTAAAATGATTGTGCCAACACAACTCAATTTGCATGATAAAACTCATATCGAAATATTTGAGTTCTTGTTATGTAAATTTCCAAAGAGATTTGCCGATCTAATAACGTATGAAACTTTCAACGGGAAGAGTCAAATTAAATTTTATATTACACGCTAACCGCACTTTTGTTCGGTATACATAATTTAAATGCGATTTGTTATCTTTGTGTGCTTTATTATTCCACTGCTTTGCAATTAAAATTATTTTTCTTTTGCTTCCATTTTTTTCTGTTTGTAAGACGAAATAAAAAGTTTTCGTTTTTAACACGAAAGTAGTTTTTTGTTTCTCTTTTTGAACGAATAAAACAAAGACCACATATTTAAACTGCAGCCAAAATAACTTTTAATAGAAGTCCAATGAACTTAAAACTTAACCGGCACTTCAGAGAGTCAGAACAATTTGCAGACAAGTAAAAGATATTAAGAAACGTTTTAATTGAAACTCAACTGATAAATATAAAGTAAACACATTTCGTCCCGACAAGCATTCGTTTGTTGAGAGATGATGTGATGAGATTGAACAGACAATTTATGTCTATACAAGACTCTTCATTAACGAATGTTCTTTTGCCAAAACTTTATTACAGCAATTTTTGCTACGTAAAAAACGCCGACACGAGACACAATTGTTGCTATTTTTATCTATTCAAAGGGGCATCTGCCTTAAAATTAAGTTTACCTCCACACTTGCACGTAATACCTGACTTGCTATCCGTTCAGGTATATTACTCAAAGTTTTATTTTCTATCTCTCTCTGTTGATCATTCGATTACGCATTAAACTTTGAAAAATGGTGAGCTCGTCACATTGCATTCAAATTAATCTGTTTCGAATCAAAACTTCTTTATTTATTTATATACATTCACTAATTCTTTTTCTGTTTCTTTAGTTTCTGGCTTATCAAGTTACAAAAAACTTTAAAAAATTCCAAAGCGTCTCTTCTGTTTTCTGAAATACACAGAAACGATTTAAACAAATGACTGATCGCGACTGAGTGTAAAATATAACTGAAAAAGAAAATAATGTTGTATTGTCGATGTTGAATGTTTCGTTTGCTAACACACACACATGCTTAAGATCATTCATGTTTTGCAGCATTAAGCAAACATTCTTATTCATTTTATCATGAACCAACTTTTTTCGAGATCTTTCACTTATTTTAAAACAACAATAGATTGTTACCTTCCAATGATATTTCATACAAAAAAGTTAACCATAAATTTTATGAGTAAATAAACTTCCTGAAAAGATTTATTCGAAGCTTAACACTTCTTTGAAGGAAGAGTCATAAACATCTTCCGACGTTATTCTCTGGAAAAGACCATTCTGGAAATAACTTCCTCCCACATTTAAGAAGTAATAAAACAACATTTCACTTAAAATATTTTCATTGACAGTTGATAATTTATTAGGATTAATTTTTACAATCAGTTGAATTTTTTTAACTTTCTTTCGAAGCCTTTGAGAGTAAAATAAAACAAGAAATTCTGCAATGAAATGTCGTCAAAGTGAAATCATATATTTTAACATAAAACGACGTAGTTGTGTCATAAATAGATATAAATATTGTACAATGATGTATCATAAATTAGAATTGAGAAAAAAAAGTTCTGAAACTTCTGTCATGTTTAAAAAGTGCTGGAGTTGTGCGGGTTAGCATAACTTAGAAGAATGTAAGGCGCGACTTCAAATTTGATTTTTGTTCGCTGCTCACATCAAGTTAATCTATTTTAAAGTTTTTATTATAAGATCATATTTTCCTTTGCCTGGAATAAAGAAAAGGAATATTTTATTCATGGGAAATCAAAACCAATTCCAATAAGTGTTTATGGTTCATCGCAAACACGAAAATCGATTCTTAAAACTTACCTTCATTTTCTAAGCAAATTTGTTCGTCATTTTCCACATCGGCCCATTTTGTTGGACATTTATAGCAACAAACTGTCTTCCCTGCTAGTTCTTTTCGTATTCTTTGACGCCAAATTATGAGAATGCAGAAAGCAAAAACGCCATGCAGGCAATTGAAGGCATCAACGATTATCCAAAGACTTTCTGTCGGAATATGGTCTTTGAACATGTAAGAAAGCACTTCTAAAAACCATGTTAAGCCACCAAGAAGAAAGAGTTTGAGGTACAAAATACATCTGCGAAAGAAAATAATGAATCATTTAATCAATTTTGCATGAAATTAAGCAAAGCAAATTAAATAAATTTACTTATATCGAAGAGCTTTTCTTGCGTCTGGTGAGATGTCAATCTTTGTTAAACACAAACTAGTCCATATACATAAAAATACGTTAAAGCCTAACATTATGGAAATTGGCAAATACACGTAAGTCCAGGATGGTTTCAATCCATTGACATCTTCACGATTATCTAGAATTAATTTTGTATTTGGAAATGTTTTCGTTCCAAATTGGAATAAACTTACTATCAAACCAACACGAGTCACTAATGATACGACTTTCTTCGTGCGGTTCCCCATAATGATGCATTCTAACAATTTCTGTCAACATTAATGGAACCGCCCAACCATAAATGTGATTAAACAAGTACCATGTGAATTCTCGGAGTTTTAAATGACGTAGACTGAGAATAAGAGTCAACATAGAAAGATATCCTTTAAATAGAATTTAAATTGAAATTTCTTACACGACAGCTTTCCAAACATTTGCAATGACGCAATTCAACCACGCAAAATAACTCATTGTGAAGAAATAGATAAGAAGAGCCAAAAATGTGCAAAGATCTCCTTCGAAAATGGATGGCAAAATGTATGCTTGCAGTTGTAAAACTCCCAAGAAAAATAGAAATGCTGTTAAGTTAATTAACATTATGATTGTTGCTTTATCCTGATAAAAATGAAAGAAACTTCAATTTGATTAATTATAAAATTATTTGACTTCATTTACCTGAGTTTCTCTCAGTTCTGGCAATCGAAAGTAAATTCTTATTGTAAGAATTAAAAATACTACAGAGATGAACAGTAAAATTCCTTTGATTATAAAGCTTAATACAACGGGACGTTCAGGAAAGCAAATGATTGCGATTTCATGAACATCTTCGAATTCTTCATCTTGTTGATTGACTAGACAAAATCTGATGAGATTAAAAGATAAAAGAAAAGTTGAAAAGTTAAAAAGAACCTTTTTTAATTTTCTTTTAAACTTTAATCTGGTTAACTTCAAATAAAATATTCAAAGAGATGAAAGGAAAGTTTATTCAAGGCATGACGACAATTACTGTCATTACCTCAAGTCTCTTTAAAGAGATGCAAATATCTAAGCATTCAAATGATAATTTAATGAGATACTTCAATCATAATTATTAAACCATAAAATATAAGAATAACTCACTCGTCTAAAGGTATCGTGCTTTTAAGATCGTGAACATAAAGTCCATCTTCAGTGACGTTGTAAGCATCTTCCTCCAACATAGAATCCAAAATATATTTTTCATCACATTCTAACGAGATTGATAATTTCTTGCCATTGATACCCGGTGAACATGTGTTGTTCATTAACATTAAATTTGAATCATTATCACAACAATTTTTTGCACTTTTATTACTTTGGGCCGTAATCAAAGATATATTTAATACACCCACGATAAAGAGAATTCCTTGACTTCTCATTGTTTTTACGTTTTTGTTTACACAACTTTTCTACGTAAGTTCAAAGTTTAATTCACAAAAATTTCATGTTTATCGATTCCTGGTGTGAGAGAGAGAAGGAAAAAAAGATAATTAACGATGTGCTGGCATTCACATCGATGCAAAAGAAATTTCAACACACTGAAAAGTTCTGATTTGTGACTCACAAATTGTGAGTGATTTTCTCCACTTCAATTCATAATATTTAAGAAGCAAATTTCAAGTTCATCTATCGACTGACGTATTTGTTTATCGTAATAAAATATTTTACACATTTTTTAAACAATGAAATGTGATTGATTGGTTAAATTTTAAATAATTAATTTTTATTAAGTCAATAAACTATTTTGATGATATTATTAAATGAAATCAATACAACGTGACATTATGAGACGCCAGATATGGTGAAATTTGATACGAAATAAATTCCAGTCCTTCTGTTTGTTCAAAGTTTATTTAAATTTCATCGTGCTCTAAATAAGAAGCCATCATGTGTGTGTCAACATAATTCTCATCACTCAAAAACACTCTTTGACGAAGTTTCTTTTTCTTCTCCACTATTATCAAACATTGATTGAACAAGAATTGTTTATTTATCTATCGCTATTAAGCTTCCCGCCCTGAGTTTTTGTGTCTATTTTTACAGAATTCCATACTTTAAGAACGAGAAAAGTAAATGCTATCCAAGTGATATTTTATTGAAAGATTTTATCATCGTCAGTGAAAAGGAGAAAAAATTCTTTTTATATTTCATCGATGTTTGTTCATTTATTCATTGCCAACTGTTTCTTAAGATCGCTCTGAATTCGCGAAAATACAAATAATGACTTGGCGACCATCGATTCATTCGCTATGTCTACACATTTATTAAATATTTTAGAGACAATGTAAGTTATTAGTAACTTCGGCTATTGTTTACGTTATTCAGAGATTTGCTTTATGAATATTTTATTAAAAGGTTCTTGAAAAAAACTAAAACATTTCACGAAGAAAATGAATGATTGAAACGTGCACTCCATGTCAGTCATTATGCAAACCATGTCTAATTATCTATTCAAACTTGCACAGAAATCACATTTACGTCTTCATCACAATTTGTCTTCTGATTTAATTTAACATAAAAAGTTTCGCTTTAATTTTTAATCAAATTTGAATAATTTATTTATCGCAATCCTATGTTTTCAAATCACCAATTAACTATCGCTTTGCAAGCCACACTTTTGTCGAGAGACACATGTTCCTTCATTATAACTTTTGAGTCAACTTCTCTTTTTTCGTTTTCTTCTTTTGTTAATGGATTTGGAATTGCGTATTTGTTGATATTTGGAGGTTTAAATAAACAAGGGAAAACACTTGTTTAGGCTTTTAATGTGTTATTTATCAATAATCAATTAACTTTTGACTTTCTTTCAACATTTTTTTTGATTAAAATACCATTTGTTTAATTTCAACCTCCCCTTTTTTTTGGCTCTCTTGGCGCTACAAGTTAATTCACAATTTGCTGTGTTGTGCTCTTCTGATAAGTCTAATCAGTGACAAAGTTACTTCACAATGCTTTTCGTTTGAAGTTCATCGAACAACTTCGATAAATAAATATTCTCACTTTTTTCTTCCACTCCAATTTAAATGTTGGATTGCGAAATTAATTACTCGCTGTTTAATCGAGCACGATAGATTTACCGATATGAGTCGTCTTAAAAATTTTCATCCATAAATCTAAGAATTAAAAACAGCGAAATTATTTATCTGCGACGAGACGATAAATATCTTCGGAACGAAATTTAAGTATGACTGAACGCTTTCGCGTATCGCAAGCAACTGAAAGCAACAAGTCGAAAAAAAGACGTGAATTGAAAGAAGGAGCTTGGAAAAATACGAGTTTGTGTTTTCAAGTCGATGCAGCGGCGATTTTGTACTCTCAATGATTCACGTTTTAAGTTTCGATGGGAGCAACTGAGAGAGAAATTGTCTTGATCTCAACCATGAAATATAAAATAAAAATATATGAAAGAAGGAATAAAAATGCTTGGCTATGTGTGATGGAGAAGCTGAAAATAAAATAACATTAAATTAACTGCAAGCGGCGTCAGTGATAGATTTAAAGGAGAAAGAGATGAAAGCGATTATCTTTGTAGTGTGTGGCAAATGTTTTGAGATGTAAAAATATTTATTTTCTAAAACGTTTTAGAAGCTTTTCTAATCTTAATGTTCTTTTGTTTAAACTTTAAGCACGCCATAAAACAAAGAAATGTATAAATATTTTATATCTACACATTTCCGAATATTTTCCACGTTCCGTTCGTCAAATTAATGAGGGCAACTTATGACTTTGAATCGTTTGCAAATTTTGATTGATTTAAATTTCTACAAATCAAAAAAGGAAAGAAAGTAGTAAATCAATCGAAAATTGTGTACACCCATCATGCTCTATTAAAAAGCCGTTTCATTCCAATTGAATGTTCTTCTAAAGATATTCCAAGCTCATCTCAATGTCGTTAACTACTTTAAAATAACTAAACGTCAATTAAACATGTCAACAATGAAAACATTGTCATAAATCAAGTTTTACCCGTAAATTCATATCATTCACAGAAAAGTTTCTGTGTTTATATGACACGATTGATTAGAATGAATTGTGATAAGTGGCGAGAAAACAAAAGAGAGATAACTTAAATAAATATTTGTCTGATAAGCTTACATATCGATGAATGCAATAAAGGAAAAACAAAACTAAATTCTTTGGAAAAATGAATAATTTTTAATGAAAAGGTTTACAAATATTCATATGAATTTCTAAAAAAAAATGTATGTGTATAAAAACAATGCGTGGGCGTTTGTCGTATGATTTCTTTGCGAAAATGAATTTATAAAAATTTATAACGATCATTCCATTCCGTGTTTTAAAAATATTTAATCTAGATTTTGCTTAAAAAGAAAATAAATAAAAGAATAATTGCGGGGGTGAAATGTGTCGCTACTTTTAAAATTCATAAATATCTTCATACAGACTGGCGAACGCTGAAATATTTATCCAAATTAGCATGTAGATAAAATACTGTAATCTTATTTGACACTTGATCATTCGAGATGGAAACAAAAATTTTAGTTGATGTTTTAGAATGCCGAAGAAAATTAGTTTCTTTTGAATAAAGTGACACGTTCACCAGTTACGGTCATTGCACTGTGTAATCAAAGGATTTAACATTTTATTATCATTGTGAATGTTGTAATCCCATGAATTATCATTAGTCATTCACGAATACAAACCATTTATGAGATGAATCAAGATGAGAAAGAATGAATAAAAATTTAGTGAGTAGATATTCAAATCAAATCAAATCAAGTGGCAATATCAGTGTTACATCTCTAATACGATTTGTGAATGTTTAAATGTATGTAAAATCGATTTAAGTTCTTATCCCGCACCCAATTTTTCGTCTCGATAAATACTCGAATGAGAGAAAAAAGAAGTTTCATTTACAAAACACGATATCTTAAGGGCTTTTCAAGAGATTATTGGGCATCTGGCGTGGGTGCTTAATCCGTTATTCTATCCGATTATAAAATTTCTTCTTGTTGTTCTTCCCATGCGATTCTCTCAACGAAATCGTAAATTTATTACAAATTGAATTAAAAATAAAATTTATGAATGTTTCACTTTACATTTGAAATCTTTTTGTTTCCAGCTGTTGGAGATGTTAAAGTTCTACGCGCGCTTTGAGATCAATGATGAGACAGGCGATTGCTTAAGTGATCATGATATGACTCAAATGCATTACAAGAAAATCACTTCGCTTCAAAAAGCAGCGTTTGCGAAATTCCCCGATTTGAGAAAATTTGCTTTGTCGAACGTTGCAAATGTCGACACGAGAGAATCTCTTGAGCGTCATTTCGGTGGATTAGACGCCGATAGTCTCAAAGAAATCGCGTGTTACTTGAACCTTGTTCCCGAAGATTTAAAGCCGCCTTTCAACTGGCATCGATTGGATGAAGAGTTCTTGAGAAATCTCTTGGTAAGTTCTGAGAGGCTTGAAATGTTTTGAGAAGGAAATTAAAGATTAAATTTGGTTAATATTAGATTTCTCGTCATGAACGTCGCGTCTCACAACTGGAATCGTTAAATGAGATGCCGCTTTATCCAACCGAAGACATCATTTGGGATGAGAATGTCGTACCGAACGAATACTTTTCTGGTGACGGTTGTTTAGCTCTTCCAAAACTCAACTTACAATTTCTGACACTTCACGATTATTTATATCGAAATTTTAATTTGTTTCGATTGGAATCGACATGTGAGTAGATTAATTAAGTTAGTCTTTAAGATATTAAAATATTTTCATTATAAATTAGATGAAATTCGTCAGGATATTGAAGATGCTGTCATTCGAATGCTTCCGTGGGCATCAGAGGAAGGCGAAGTTGTGTTTGGTGGTTGGGCACGCATGGCTTTGCCTGTGCAAGATTTCGCTGTCGTTGAAGTTGGAAAGCCAAGAATTGGAGAGAAGCGACCATCAAGAGTTCGTGCTGATGTTTCAGTTTCGTTAAATGTCAGAAAAGAAGTTCAAGATGAATGGGAAAATTTAAGACGCCACGACGTTTGCTTTTTGGTGACAGTTCATCCAAATGTTCCAATTGGCACGAAATACAATCATCGTGGAAACTTCATTGAACAAGTTGGACTTGTAAATGTCCGTGGATGTGAAATTGAAGGTTTGTTAGATGAAAGTGGAAAAGTCATCGAAGAAGGAATCGAACCGAGGTCGAAACTGCCTGGCGATAAGCGAACTTATCGTGTTTGGTTGGACACAAATCAATATCGAAAGGACATAGAAGCACTTCAAGAAGGTGGTGACGATGTTTATGAATCTTTCAACATCATAATGCGACGAAAACCGAAAGAAAATAACTTCAAAGCTGTTCTTGAAACAATTCGTCACTTAATGAACACGGAATGTGTCGTTCCGCAATGGCTTCATGACATTCTCTTAGGCTATGGAGATCCAGCGTCAGCTCATTATTCGAACATGCCACAACAAGCACGATCATTAAATTTCAATGACACATTCTTGGACTTTCAACATATTAAAGATTGCTTTCCCGATTATCAAATTCGTTTGAGATCAAAAGACGACAACGTTGAACATGTCAAAAGACCGTTTCGATTGATTTTTGAAGATGTTGCTGAAAAGAGAGACAGCGACGATGATGAAGGAGATGAAAACACTGGAGATTTAATTAAAGCGATCACAGTTGAGCCTCATGAGATTGCTAAGCGTGGTCCGTATGAATACAACGAGCCGAAGAAGAATTTGATTCGATTTACACAGACACAAGTTGAAGCAATTCGTGCTGGAATGCAACCAGGTTTGACTCTCGTTGTTGGACCGCCAGGAACTGGTAAAACTGACATTGCAGTTCAAATCATTTCCAATCTTTATCATAACCATCCGAATCAACGAACATTAATTGTGACACATTCGAATCAAGCTTTGAATCAATTGTTTGAGAAAATCATGCAACTCGACATTGACGAACGTCATTTGCTTCGTTTGGGTCATGGAGAAGAAGCTTTGGAAACAGAGAAAGACTTCAGCAGATATGGTCGTGTTAATTACGTTTTGTCTCAACGTTTAGAATTGTTGAAGAAAGTTAAGAAGCTTCAAGATTCGCTTGATGTAACTGGCGATGTTTCATACACTTGTGAAACTTCTGGTCACTTCTATCTCTACGAAGTCATAGCACGTTGGGAAAAGTTCTTAAACGACTTTGAATCGTCAAGAAGCGATGAAATAACAGCAGAAAAATTCTCATCACAATTTCCATTCGTTAAATTCTTTAATGCCCCTCCACAGCCACTTTTCAATGGCACAACATTCGATGAGAACATGGAAATTGCTAAAAGTTGTTATCGATACATCGAACACATTTTTACAGAACTTGAAGAATTTAGAGCGTTTGAGTTGCTGCGTAATGGTCTTGACCGATCAAAATATTTGCTGGTGAAGGAAGCAAAAATCATTGCAATGACGTGTACACATGCAGCATTGAAGAGAAAGGAATTAGTGAATTTTGGATTTAAATACGACAACATTTTGATGGAAGAATCAGCGCAAATTCTTGAAATTGAAACTTTCATTCCATTATTGCTTCAGAATCCTTTGGATGGTTATAATCGACTTAAACGTTGGATTATGATTGGAGATCATCATCAATTACCGCCGGTTATTAAGAACATGGCATTCCAGAAGTATTCAAACATGGAACAGTCGCTGTTTACACGTCTCGTTCGTTTGGGGGTTCCAACAATTCAACTCGATGGACAAGGTCGTGCACGATCAAGCATTTGTGAACTTTACAAATGGCGATATAAGAAACTCGACGATCTCCAACATATTCGTGAGTGGAGCGAATATCGAAAAGCAAATCCCGGTTTTGTCTTTGATTATCAATTGATAAATGTTGAGAATTACAATGGAGTTGGCGAGTCTGAACCGAATCCATATTTCTATCAAAATCTTGCTGAAGCTGAATACGTCGTTGCTGTTTACATGTACATGCGATTGATTGGATATCCTGCTGAAAAAATTTCAATTCTAACGACTTATAATGGACAGAAGCATTTGTTGCGTGACGTTGTCAATACAAGATGCACTGAGAATCCTTTGATTGGACCGCCCCATAAAATCACAACAGTTGACAAGTATCAAGGTCAACAAAATGATTTTGTGTTAATTTCTTTGGTGAGAACGAAAGCTGTTGGACATTTGCGTGACGTTCGTCGTCTTGTGGTAGCCGCAAGTCGTGCTCGTCTTGGTCTTTACATTTTCGGAAGAGTTTCGTTGTTCAAGAATTGCTTTGAACTGCAACCGACATTCAAGTTATTAATGCAACGACCACAACAACTTCAACTCGTTGAGAACGAAGTTTATCCATCTGAACGAATGAATGACGACAAAATTAAAGCGAAAATTATTGAAATCTCTGACATGCCGGAAATGGCTCAATTCGTTTACAAATTCTACATGAAGAAGGTTGATGTGATGAAAGAAGAAATGGAAAAAATGAAAGAACTTTATGATCAAATGCCGAAAGAAGAAACACCAAAAGTTGATGTGACTGAGAAGAAAAAGGACGAAGGAAAAGTTAAAGAAAATTTGCCTTTCGTTCCGATTCCGATAACAAATGAAATTGATGAAGAAGTTCTTAATTATGTCGGTGGTGAAGTTCAAGGGCCAGAAATGAAGAAACAAAAACTTAATGAAGATGAAAGTGAAGAAGCATCAGCAACAGATGACAACGAAGCGACAACCCAAAAACTTTCGTCGCCAAAACCGATGGAAGGGGAAGAAGTCGCACCTGAAGCTGAATAAATTTTTTCTCTCTTTTTATGACTTTTTACTTTAAAAATAAATTTAATTAAAATATTTGTTGCGTTCTTTTTTGTTAATGTCGAAGCTGCTGTTCTAAATCGACTAAGTTTAATCAACAAGGACCAGTTGATTCCTTTGAACATTCCAAGCGTTGTTGATCGTTGCTAAGGAATTTAATAAAGTAAATTTCGTCACAGCAACCGTTTGATTGATTCACATTGTGAATTAAATTTTCATTTTCATTGCGAAGTTTTTTAAATATCATGGCAGAGGCTTTACTAGAATATCAAACGACTTTAGTTCGTTATAATAATCCAACATTGGTAGTGAAGCATGAAGATAAAAAAAGTGACAAAGAGGTAAGGAAAACTCTTCCAGTTAGTTAATAAAATTTACTTCAATTACTTACATTCAGGATTTCCCAAAGAGTCCTAAAAGTCCGAAAGATGGTCGACCAGTTTCAGGTACAATCAATGAAACAAGAAAGGAAACTGAAGAAATTTTAAATTCAATTATTCCGCCGAAATGTTGGGAAGGTAAGAAACAATCAAAATATTTGATTAAATGATGGTGAGATTGAAAGAATTTTTCAGAGGATGGTCAATTATGGAGTCAAACAGTTTCCAGCACTCCCGCTACTCGTCAAGATGTCATAAATCTTCAGGAAATGCTTGACACTCGTTTACAACAGAGTCAAGCACGCGAAACTGGAATTTGTCCAATCCGACGTGAACTTTACAGCCAATGCTTTGGTAACTAAAGTTAATTTTTATTCCATCATCAACTTCTCGACAATCTCCTTTCAGATGAATTAATTCGTCAAGTCACAATAAATTGTACTGAACGTGGCTTGCTTCTTCTTCGAGTTCGTGACGAGATTAACATGCGCGATGAAGCTTATGAAACTTTGTATTGCAGTTCTGTTGCTTTTGGGATGCGAAAAGCTTTACAAGCTCAAGAAGGTAAAGAAAAGCTTCAAGATCGAATTATTCAACTAGAACAAGAGAAAGCATTAATTGAAGCTACAATTAGTGACATGAAAGTGAAAGCTGATCAAGCTGAACGACGTAATACTGAATTGCGAGAATCTGAAGAGAAGAAACATGCTGAAGAAATTGCATTCCTTAAAAAAACAAATTCACAACTTAAAGCACAACTTGAAGGAATTATTGCAACAAAGAAATGAACAAAATTTTCAATATTTAAAACAATAAACATTTTATTCATGGAAATTCACTTTTCTTTCATTGGATAGATGATAACAGAAAAATTAGATTGCGGGAGTCAATCGAAATCGCGCGATGACACGATCCTCGAATGTTATCTCGTTCAGAAGGTTAAAAATTTGATTTTAGACATTTTTTTACTTGATTTTCTCAGTGAGTTCAGGTACAGCTTTGAACAAATCAGCAACAAGCCCATGGTCAGCAACTTGGAAGATTGGAGCTTCTGGATCTTTATTAATGGCAACAATTGTCTTTGAATCTTTCATGCCAGCTAAATGTTGAATTGCACCGCTGATACCGACAGCGATGTAAAGTTCTGGAGCAACAATTTTACCAGTTTGACCAATTTGAAGATCGTTGGAAACATATCCAGCATCAACAGCAGCTCGTGATGCACCGACAGCTCCACCTAATTTATCTGCAAGATCGTAAAGAATCTTGAAGTTGTCGCCTGATTTCAAACCGCGTCCACCAGACACAATACATTTAGCTGCAGTTAATTCAGGCCGATCAGATTTGCTCAGTTCTTGTCCTACAAACTCTGATAAATCTGTTTTAAATTCTCCAGATGGAGCATTTTCTATAGGCGCTTCTGCTGATCCATCAGTAGTTGCTTCAAAGTTTGTTCCACGAACTGTCAACACTTTTACAGGGTCGAGAGATTTCAATGTCAAAATAGCATTACCAGCGTAAATTGTCCTAACAAATGTGTCAGGTCCTTTGATTCCGATGACTTCTGAAATTGGACTGACATCTAATTTTGCAGCAAGTCGTGGTAAAAGAGATTTTCCCTGTGCTGATGCTCCAGCAACGATGTGCGAGAAATTAAATTGCTTTTGAGCAGCAAGAATGAGTGGTGTCAACGCTTCAGGAAGAAAACCTTTGAAAGCATCACCTTCAGCTACGATAACTCGCTTCACTCCATCAAGTTTAGCAACTGAAGATGCCACAGATTGAACTTTTGTGCCAGCTACAAGGACTGTGACGTCACTTCCAATTTGTTTTGCTGCAGTGACTGAACTTTGTGTTATTGGTGTTAAAGTCTCATTATTATGCTCAGCAATCACGAGAGTACTTTGAAATCTAGCCTACAATTCAGAGAAAAATTAATTTTCCACTTAATTCAATGTCTCGAGATAAGAAATGATAAGTCTGGAAAAACTTTAATTGAACTTTGAACCTTTATGCAACTCTCGTCTTTCTTACCTGAATATGTCGTCTAATACTAAAAGAATATCTAGACAACATTTTAATCTTTTAAATATAAATGGTTGCAAAAGAAATTAATTTATATTCAGTATAAAAAATCAAAGTTTTGATAAGCAAAACAGCAGACGATTTCTTTCTCTATGTTTCTAAATAATTAAGAAAACTCTACAAAAAGTTAAGTCAGAGGAATACATAATTAAAGAGTTGTCTTGTTGTCAAAAAGCGCTTTTAAGATGAATATGTCTAGTTATGAAAAATTATTTTTAAATGCGCATTAACAGGATAATTACATAATATTATTAAATATAGAATGATTGCATTCTTTTCTTTTCAGGAAAATTTACATCAAACGATTGAACAATCTTATGAAATCGTAACGGATTTTCCCTCTCGTCCATGCACTTACGCTACGCATTTTGGTAGTTAGAAAACGTACGTTGGAGAATGATTATGATAGTGTGAACGATGAAGAAACATCAGCGATGAATACGTAGCCGTCTCACAAGTATTCAGTCTTTTGAACAAGAAAGACGCGTGACTTTTCGAACAAAATTAAATTTTCATCAAGAGATTCTTATTTCTTTTCAAAGTGTTTCAAAAATAGAAAGACGAATATTGTTTAAATAGAAGTTGCATAATATAAGATTAAAAGTATAGTTAAGGACGAATAAATTTTCAATTCCTTTTATACAGAAAAAATATTTATAAGCGAGAGAGGTTCCGTGTTAGATAAATAGAAAGTTAATGTCAAATTTAAAATACCAAAAAGTTGAGACAAATTCTTCTGATTCACAAGAGGAGATAACTCAGCAGAATACAATGGCTCATGTTTCTAATATACCATCAACACATTCAAGTCAACAACTCATGAGTGATGCTGAAAGTGTTCTCACTGAAGAAGATTCTAAAAGTCTAAGTCGGAGGAGTCGGCAAGCTGAAACAACTTTGGGCTTCCGATCAGTTACTTCCAAAGAATGGTTCACAGTCGCCGTGCTATGTTTCATTAATTTAATAAACTACATGGATAGGTTTACAATTGCTGGTGAGTAATTCTAATCTTTGAAATTTCAAAGAATGTTACGTTGTATGAAAGTGTGCGAGACTTTTATTGCATTATGGTCACTAACACCATTACACCTTTTTTCTACCAAACTTCGGAGGCTGCAAAAAAATTTAAATTTATCTAAAATTGATGTTAAGAAATTGAGTTTTAGGCTTGAAGCCCATAGACAAAAGTAAATATTTATCATATCTAAAGTATTAGAAAAGTTTACACAAGAAACGATTAACAAATGTTTGGGAAAGATTCGAAAACTGTTTGGGTGGGAATGGAAAATTAGCGAATTACTGATGACATCATTTTCCAAAAGCAGTCCTTTAAGCTCTATTTACATTTCGTATTAAGACATAAAATTTCGCACCAAAGAATTTCATGTGATAAAAATAGTTTATAGTGAAACTCATAAATGAATCTAATTACGGCTGCAAACATTTAGACAGAAATAAAAATTTTCCTTTAAGATTTCCCATCGAACTGATCATACGATTTTCTGTTACGTTTTTCTCATCTCGTAGCAAAGTTTTTAAAACATCGAAAGACACTGATAAAAGTTGTTTGAATAGTTGGACTCAATCGTATGACTATTCATTGCTTACGCTACACTTCGTACGCCTTTCCGCGACCTTCCAACAAGTTTCCTACATCTTGTCAATAAACTTTTGCATATATTTTGTTATGAATTTATTTTGAATGTAGTTAATAAGCAGTTGCGTTATTACATCATTCATTAAATTTATTTATGAGGTGCTTTTGCAAAATTATTTTCTTGAAAATTCCACGACCAATCAGGCAAGTTCTTAACACAATTTACTTAATTGAATTTTAATGCATTATCAACGACCTTATCGGAATAGGCAACTCCTTACTCAACAATTTATGACTATATGTGCTCAAAAGATTTCATGTCACAGTACAAGAATTTTATTTCATTCTATAAATATTTTGATAAGTCATAAGTTTTGCTTCGAGAGTGATTATAAACATAAATATTATTAAATGATTTGTTTTGCTGAGTAATCACGCCACATCTCATACTTAAGCAATTATATACGTGAGTGGTAAATCAGCACTACATTTTTATATTTACAGTTTTTTCAACATTGGAATTTCTTTATTTATGCCTGCGTCATGACTAAGAGTTCCATTAGTATTGGTCGATGATTATTGTCTGATGTCAAAGTCTATTTACATTTTGACCTCGAAGTATCTAATGGTAATCAGAAATACATTTCAAGAAGATTATTAAAAAAGGCTGGACTATTATAAAATCTTTAATTGACTTTGATACTATATCTTAATTGGTCTTTGCAATCGCTCATTACTTTTTATTCCGCGTGGCATTTTTTTCTTTGCAACAAGTCTTGCTTGCTGATAGTGAATGTTTATAAGCAAATTCAACGCAAACGATGATTTGATTATCACAATTGTCACGAGTTATATTCATGAAAAAACTGAAAGCTCACGTGTTAAGAATAAACCCAAAACATCTTTTCATTCAAGAAGTTGATAAGAAAAATCATCAAATTGTCTTCTTTTTTCACCACAAACGATTTTCTTGACTCATTCATATTTTCCCTAATAGCGTGATTCACTTACACATTGAAATATTGCCTCGTACATACAAGAAAGTTTAATAGCGCGATGTCGTTTGTATGCAACGGAATATCGGATGATGAGAAGCGTCAACCAATCAGAGGCGGTATAGTAAACTGACGAAACTATGGTGTTACGTTAGGAGTGCGATATGACGCGCTTAAATTGGGTGTAACTGACAAAAATGCAATGCATGTAAAATTTAAAGCTGACGGTGAAGGAGGAATGTGAATCTTCGCTTCAGACTTGTCTTTCTGCTTACGATTTGTTTAATAGGTAGAAGTTGTCATTCTAATTTTAGATTTGCGAACGTATACATTATATCGATAGGTTTGAATGTGTTTGTATCAAAAGCGTGTTTTTAATCAGTAGAAAAAAGTGGGCACGTTTCACGCTACGTAAAAAGCGACGCTGACGTGTTTTTCTAATTCATTTTTTTGTATCCTCACCATAGAAGTTTCTCGAAGCGGAAAAAAGAGAAACAAAAATAAGAATATTGTTTTCCCCCAATTCTTGACACTAATGAAACGTCAATATTTGAGATTCACACAGTTATAAGTTTTAGGGTGTATTTTGTTTACGTTATGTTTTTGTAGACTTCTTTTTAAATAGCTAAATCTATTTTCTTTAACGGTTTTCATTTTCATTTTTCTAACTTCATCTTTGAGTCTTAATAAAACGCTCATACCTGACCTTGTTTAAGCTTTCGTACCATATGATATTTTTAGCAAAACAAAATAAGTTAATCTCTAAATCAATCTATGTCGTGGAATAATGACAATGTAAACAAACATTGACAAGGTCAACATTCGTGATCAGTTAGAAAATACTCCACAGAGGCTTCTGTGAAATTGAACACCAGCGAAATATTCGCACGCTCGTGCTGATTTTTCATCATCGGGTATTATCTAATATCTACACTTCAGCAATAATTGCGGTCAAGCGCCTTTTAAAAAACAATTAACAAACATTTCTTTTTCCCGATAATGTCTTTTAGTTCGTGACACTGAAAATCGTCTTGTCAGTCATAAGACGATTCGTAGATATATTTAGACTCCCCCGTATGTGTGTTTGAAAATAAATTTGAACAGATAATTTTTTCAATCTTTTCTTTCCTCAAAAAAGCAGATTGATCTAGTTTAATGGGTTTTTCAGGCGACTGGGAATTTATACTTGAAACAATTATTGTTATCAGTTCTTATCAAGGCTGATATTAACTAAATTTTTTGGCGCAATCAAAGCTAAAAAAAATTTACTTAATCCTTCAGACCAAGCGGAAAAGAACTGAAATGTTATCAATGTTTACATTGAATTTAACTTGCAATTATCGCATATGAATTTGTACTCAAAAATCAAAATACCACACCGATAGCTAAGATCTAATGATTTATTATGTAATCGCAAAATCTTATGACTATTTTCGCGAAAAGAATGTGATAATTTAGAGTACAGTATAACAACTTATCTTATCGTTGTGTCATTTTTAATGCTGTTGAAAGTTTAAACAATCAATTATCAACTATTTACGTGGCAAAAGTGTACGCAATTCGAAGGCGAGAGTCATGCGATATTTTGAGGAACTTCGAAAGAATTCTTTCTTGTAGATCTTATCAGTGGATAAAAAAAATTCCATTACGTGATATGCTTTTAAGTGAAGGAGAGACACGCCTCTCTGCCCAAGTTCCTTTTAAGTAGAATGTAAATATCATGGGACTTGGTTATCATAATGCAGATACTTACTTACAATTTACTTTATTGATAAAGATATCATCACGATTCCTACTTAATCGTCATTGAAAGATAAATAAAGACCTGTTGTTATTAACAACCTTCATTAAATGATGAAATTTGAGTCACTCATAAACCTTGGCAGAAGAAATAATTTAATTTCCATTTCAAAGTAGTTGTAAATGAAGTGACAGCATCAGAAAAAGAGAGAAAATTGTGATTCCTTAACAACTAAGTGTGGGTGTGCGATAATATGTAGAAAAGAAGTTCATGACATTTCTAAAACCTAATTCTAACTTTGACATACTCAATTATTCATTTATTTAATATTTCAGGTGTTTTGACTGACATCCAAGACTCTTTCGGTATCAAAGATGACGAGGGAGGCTTACTACAGACTGTATTCATCCTCAGTTACATGATTTTTGCACCAATTTTCGGATATTTAGGCGATAGATTCTCACGAAAAGCAATCATGGCATTTGGCATAACATTATGGGGTGCAACGACACTTTTAGGATCATTTATGAATCACTTCGGTTGGTTCATAGCATTCCGAGCCCTCGTTGGTATTGGTGAAGCTTCATATTCAACAATTGCGCCGACAATTCTTTCCGATCTTTTCATTCATGATTTACGATCGAAAATGTTGGCGATTTTCTACTTTGCTATTCCTGTTGGATCTGGTTTGGGGTAAACACGATGAAAGAAGAAAAAAGAATTTTTATTTATAGTTCATGATTTTCAGTTATATTGTTGGATCAGAAACAGCTAAAGCTCTTGGATCATGGCATTGGGCATTACGTGTGACTCCCGTGCTCGCTCTCGTCGCAGTCTTTCTTCTCTACTTTATCGAGGAACCAGAACGTGGACAAAGTGAAGGTTCAGCACATATGGAAACAACATCATATATTGAAGATGTTAAAGATGTTTGCAAAAACAGATCATTCATGTTGTCAACAGCTGGCTTCACTTGTGTCGCATTTGTTGCTGGTGCACTCGCTTGGTTTGGACCAAAATTCATGCATCTTGGACTTAAAATGCAACCAGGAAATGAAAACATTCAACTTAACGAGTAAGTATCAGTCGTCGTACATCTGACATGTGTTTTATATTTCTTACTTCCACAACTGCCGCGTATTTAGCATTTCCTATAAGTTTGGAATTGTTGCAATGATGGCAGGCTTGATAGGAGTTCCACTTGGCTCGGGACTCGCACAACGTCTCCGTCCAATTGATGCATCATGTGATCCACTTATTTGTGCGTTTGGACTCATAACATCAGCACCATTTGTCTATTTGGGCTTAGTTGTAGCTCCTTATAGTACCAATTGGTGTTTCTTTTTTGTATTCTTAGCTGAAGTTACATTAAACTTATGTTGGAGTATTGTTGCTGACATGTTATTGGTAAGCTGGTTGTTTTATATACCAAAAGTCCGTGCCAAAACTCAAAAGTGGATTATGTATGCTGAATTATTCGTGTCATCATTTCTTCGTTGTTTTATTTCGCTGGAATTTATGTGGAAAAGAAAAATCATTTTGAACATCACAAAACAAATAGAAGAAGAAATTTTTCATCAACTCCAAATCTCTCTTCCATATTCTATTATATTTCTAGAGTATCATTTATATTTGGCGCCATAACAATGACAGCTGGTATCATAGGCGTTCCATTGGGCAGTTACTTATCAACAAGATTAAGCAAAAGTTATCCACGAAGCGATCCTGTGATTTGTGCAATTGGATTACTTATAAGTGCGCCGCTTATAGCGGCATCAATGATGTTTGTTACAGCCAGTTCCACATTAGCTTATATCTTTGTCTTTCTCGGTGAAGTTGCACTTAATTGCAACTGGGCGATAGTTGCTGATATGCTTCTGGTAAGAGTCTTGTGAAATGACATTTTCACAACAATTTCATACTTCCTTTATTTTACTTTTGTGTTTGTGTTAACAACATGTTTGACTCTGTTAGGCTTCATACAATTATTTTTCACTCTTTTCACCATTTCCTGAATTTCTTCAGCTCATATTCAACTTTTTCTTTCTTCATTATTATCTTCACAAAATATTTTTTTTGTACATTTCTTAATGGAGCTGGTGAAATGGTAAAAAGTCTTCCTTCTTCCTCCCTTTTCAACAACAATTCTTATGATTTTGCAAAGATAATTCGACATCGTTCTTTCTCTCTCTCTCTTTCTCTCTGGGAAACAAGAAAAAGGAAAAGAATTTTTAATTTTTCTTTCTTTTTTCGGTTGATAATTCAGAATACATAATTCAATTGAATTTTGGTTTAACAGTAGAATTATTAGATAATATTTGAATATTCCATTTGAATGAAAATGTAAGAGAAGAAATAGGAAAAGAAAGAGAAAGATGTCAATTTTCTGTTTACTTGCAAGTAGCGCCATCTATTGAATCATCTTTTCTACTTTCTTTGATGCTTTTTTTCATTTGTTCTTAAGTTCGTTAATAAGTTTGTCATATTGTTCTTTTTCATTCAAACAGTACGTCGTTGTACCAACGAGAAGATCAACTGCTGAAGCATTCCAAATTCTTATATCTCATGCGTTTGGCGACGCTGGATCACCGTACTTAGTTGGCCTAATCTCAGAATCTTTAAAGCCGGTCTTAAGAAGCTATGAAAAGGGCGTTAATCTCGATGTAAACTTTGGAAAAGTTATCGAAAGTTTCTCACAAGTTGCTGAAAATGCAACATCAGTCGTCACGACGTCACTTGTTCCTCATGATTCCACAAATGTACAATTCAAGGCACTTCAGTACTCACTCTTTTCAACATCATTTGTTGAAGTACTTGGTGGCGTATTCTTCCTTCTAACTGCTGTTTATGTTCTCAAGGATCGAGCAAATGTTGATAGAGCTGTTGCAGGTGAGAAAATCGATTGGTAAACAATCAACTTTTACATTTTTAATTATTATCAAACATCAAACACATAAACAACATTCCACAGCTTCAAGACAATCAATTTCAATAGAAATGAAAGAATCATTTTTTACAAAACTTTCAAAATTATAAATTCATTCATTTGGGTCAGTGACACAAACGAAATACTTTCACTCATCTCGAAATAATTCAAAACAACTTCATGGAAACTGAAATGAATAATTTTTTTCTTTTTTTCTTTATTTTCGATTTTAGAGAGTAATGTGAATGGTGAAACAAACAATCAATACGTGAGTGAACAATCAGAGCAGTCGGAGCAATCAACATCAGTTTCGGAAAACTGATATTAAATGTAAAGTTGTCAACGTCAAGGAGATTCGTCTTGCAGTTAGAAGTTTAGTTAGAAAATGAATGTCAATCCATTAACCATCAACGTCATCATTTAATATGCTCAAGACATACACACACACAACAACTTTTCATCATATATTTTGTAAGAAAAGCTAAGAGCTTCTTGTTTTGTTCATTTGCTTTTAAGCATCATCGTTGATTGAAAAATTAATTGGAACGAAAACACTTTTCTTTTTCTCTACTTAGAAAGTCCTCCATTAAATTGGAAAATGGACGTAATGTTCATGTAAGAAGAATGAAAGTACCAATAATTATTATGCAATGAGACTGTGTTTTAGCTTAAATAATTAGTTAGCTTATGATCCCAATTTTAGTTCGAGTTTTATAACACTCGAAGTCGCAGAAAATTATGAAAGATTCAAATCGAATAAGTTAAGGGTTGACGGTTGCATCACAATCACAATTTGCATCACAATCACAATTTTTACTCAAACATAGCAAATAGTCTCATAAATGAGTGATAAATGCAATGTGGGTGAATGTTGTTGTTACATTGGGTGATTGTTGTGCATGTCGATTTAATTTCATTTCATGACTTATGATGATCGACCTTAACAGTATAAAAAGAGAAAAGAAATAAGGAAATTTGTGATAATCCATACGCTAAATAAGATATGGAAACACATACCGACATATTTATAACATAAAAAACATTGAAGTCTTCTTTTTATGTCCGCCGACTGTGACTTTTGTCTTCTTTTTTATGACATCTTTCGTCTCCAAATAAATTGCAAAATTCTTTGAATCTTCTGCTAAAATTGTGTAACGCTGTTAGTAAGTAAACATGTGCTATAGTTTAATTAAATTTAAGTAAAAGAAATTTCATTTTTCTTTGAGAAAATGAAGAAAAGTCACTTGAACACTCTTCAAAATCTGATTAAGTTTTATTGTTGCGAAATAATTATAAATACCTCTAGTTATAATGATATCAAATGAAAAAGAAAGAAAAACCTATATCTAAAGATAAATTAAACATCTTTTGCTGATTTTCTTTTTCTTTTTAATAAAAAAATTGCATATTGTGACCAAAAAGAAAAATCATAAATTATAAGCGAAAGTTTTAATAAAAATAAAAAAGAAAAATTTATAAAATCGAAAGAATATCTAAAGAAATGTTTTATCGCAGAATTAATGAAAAGAATTTAAATTTCAGGAATATATTTCGTTTTTTTTTCAGATATTTTATTTATTTCAAATTTCTTAACATTTTCATAATTTATTTGCAGCGAATATTTTCAAAATTGTTGATTTATGTGGGGATGTTCATAATCTTCAAAGTCTTATCTTTCGTCGATGCAATAATCTAAGATAAAAGAAAATTAATTAAGTTAATTGAATTCATTTTAATAAATTTACAACTCACTTTATCATCCCAGAGATCCATGGCAAGAAGCATATTTGAGGGACCACAAATATTAACAGCAGCATCGTCATTTTTAGTGTTAATTATGTAAATATTTCCATCGTAACAAGCTGCGATTATAAAATGTTTATAAAGCTTTACACAAATTGCCCCAGCACCACAAGGGCGTGACTTCTTCAAGGCACCGGTCTGTAAAGTAATTTCAAATGATTTTAATAGTCATCAAAAGGAATTTCAAAGAATCACTTACTGTGAAGTCAATTGCGAATATTTCGTTGCGATTGCTACCACAATAAATTGTACTTCCTTCAATCAGCATATCGTAGATGCTTACACCAGCCAGGTTATCAGCAAATGTTCGCAGTAATAAACCATCTTGAGCATCTCTCACTTGTATTGCATGAGAACGCGATGAGACAAGAAGAATATTACGCGATCCTTCTTTTGTCGCTCTCAAGCAAAGAATTAAAACGCCCAACTCACAAATTGGTTCACTTTCACGTTCGATAAGCTATAAATAAATATTTAAATAAAATAGGCGAATTTTGTTAAGAAATTAAATCAACTTACGTCACGTTTGAGTCTGAAGATTTTTCCACTTTTTGTTCCCACGAACACATCTTGCTTTGACTTCTCTATCACTTGTAATGGTTCATTGAAATTCTCGGAACTTACTAATTGGAAAGTCTGAGAAAAGATTAAATTAATGAATGGAAATATTTACAATAATACAACTTACTTTGAACTTTATTTTATGTAGAAATCCGTCGGATGAAACTGTCAAAATGTAGCCACGTCCATCGTATAGAAATGAGTTGCAAATTCCTTTGTGCTTCGAAAAAACTGACACAAGCTTTCCATCCTTTGTATGATATTTAAGCACTTTTCCATCTTCACAAGCTGCAACGATGAATTTCTTTTCTACATTTTGTAAATGTACGATTGGTTGCTCATGAGCTGTGAAATCGCCAGCCCATTCTGAATAATCTATTTCAGTTTTCATTTCAACAAGAAGTGAATCATCATTTGAAGCTACGTTACTGCCAGGTGTTGGAGGATTCATTGTGTTCTCATCAACAGCTAAAGGATCAACAGCAGAAGGTTCAGAAGAATTTGTTTCAGCTAATGGATCTTTTTCTTCAGATTCAGCAACTTGAGGTTTTTCTTCATCTTTCTCTTCTTTCTTTTCCGTTTCTTTAACTACCCGTTGATCATCTTCAGTCTTCACTTGATCATCTTTCGTCCACTTATTCCAATCATCAGCAGAAATTGTCAAAAAACCGTTCAAAGAAAATGCATCAATTAGTGTCTGTGGCAAAGAAACGCGTTGAAGTTTCACACTACAATTTTTCATTTTATGATTTTTAGGATCGATGACGTCAGTTGATTTGAAAACATTTTTCGTTGGTGGTTCGTCCTCTGATTTAACTACAACTTTTTGGGATTTCCCTGAGCTATGATGTTGATGATGATGTTTGCTTGATTTATTGTTGTTTGATTTCTCTACTGGCTCTTGTTTGATTGTTACTTTCTTTGAAGCTTCAGCTTCTCTGATGATTTTCTCTTCAAGTCTTCGTTTCTCAGCTTCTTCTCTTTCTCGTCTTAATTTCTTCAGTCGCTTTTTTTCTAATAAACTTTGACGACGTTCCTCTTCCTCCTTTTCTTTTTGAAGCTTAGCTGCTTTTGCAGCAGCTGATGTTGTTGTCTCTACATTGTCAACATTTTGTTTCTTCTTCTTCGGTTCTTCTTGATGATCATCCTGCTTTCGCTTCTTCTGATCAACAATATTCTGAAGCTTCTTTTCAATCTGAGACTTTTGTGACGCTTGTTCTGTCGTCACTTCATGAGATTCATTTGATTCGTCAGCATTTGATGACATTGCTCGCTTAATCATGTTGTCAAATAAAATCTTCCGATCATGTTGAAGATTTGAAAATGTTTTCTGATATCCAACACGTTCTAATTGAAGATTTGAAATAACTTTGTCGATTCCAAGGATTTTATCATGAAGTTTCGCAATTGATGCGTCAATTTCCATAACTTTCTTTAATGTAGTAAAGCAAGGTCGAGCATCATTCGGTGATGGAAGAAGATTCACATCGAAATCTCTTTCCATTGAATTGTTGGCTGGCGTTCGATTTCGGCTTCGCGATCTTTGACTTCCATTCCAATTATTGCTGTTTTGTGTACGTTTATTGAACGATCCTTTAAAGTTTAAGGGTTTCGGATTTAAAATTGTATTCAAACGATCAATGTTTGGCCCATCACGACCACTTTCATTTTGGAAACGATAATTATGAGCATCTCGAATGTCATCAAATTTCTCATTTCGTCCACTGTCAAATGAATTGTTTGTATCGCGTGATAAATGACGTTGCTGTTGATAATTATTTGGGTTACGATCGCGTCCTCGTGGTGTGTCAAATCTTGAATTTCGGTTCTGTTGACGATTATTTCGATTGTTTTGATTGTTTTTATTCCAATTGTCATTACGACTGTTTCGACCTGAATTATTCTCATTATTCATCCAATCTTTGCGTTGATTTTGATTATTCTGTGAATGTTGAGGATTTTCATTATTTATCACTTCTTTTCCTGGCACTTCTGCATCAACATCTTGAGCTTGCTGAGTTGCAAGTCTTCTTCGATATTCACCATAAGTCTCATTAGCTCTTTGAGTTGTGTCATTCATCAATTTAACTTCTGAACTTTGTTCATTTGTTGCAACTGTTTCTGTACTAAATTCGGCTTGTTTAACATCTGATGCTGTTTCAACAACAGTTTTTTGTGGAGTTTTTTGTGGTCTATCCCATTCATCATCATCGTCATCGTCTTTTGTCGGAATTGGGCAAAGAGCTTGAATTGATCTTGTTGCAGATATGTTTGTTGAATCGTTGATTGGTTTTGGTAAAGGTCTTGACACTGGTTCGATATCAACCACAGGAGGCTTTGTTGATGGTGCAATTACTTGAACAGGCGCTGGTGGATCAGGATTTCTTGCTGAATCGAAGTCATCCCAAGTATCTTCAGTAAATGATTGTTGATCGTTATTATTATTATTATTGCGTACAGGTGACCATGGTTTTTCCACTGAAGTGAATGCAGCTTCTGATTCAGGTTTAGTTGGAGGTGGAACTGGTTGCGGTGGTGGACTAGGAGGTGGCTCAACTGGTAAAGGTGGAAATCTTGAGCCATTGTCATAAATTTTTATGTCATGTTCAGTGTCAGCATCACCAAGAAGATTCACCCCATTAAAGAGAAGCATTTCTGACCCTTTGAAGAAATCATCTCCCAAATTGGTCGTCACGACTTCAATATCTTTGATTAGCTCTTCACTGATCGATTCTGACAGTTCCATGTCTACGTCAATTTCTGGATGTAAGTCGATCGTCTTCCCAATTTGAGCAATCAACGATTCAGGTATTTTCTCGAAATCTATACACTCGTCTGGTTCAATTTGATATTCACCAGACTCACCAAGCTTATGAAGTTTCTTGCGCATTTGTTCTCGTAACTTTTCACGAGCTTGGATATTTAACACTTTTTTCTTGTAAGGTTGCTTTGGGTTTTTAATTAAATCTCTAACACTATCTTTATCCATTGTTTTCAGTTGTCGTAGAAGTTTCTTTGATGCCTCCGAAGCATTTTTGGCACACATTGCATCAATTTCATTAGTTGAATTGTCACCTTGAGCACTTCCATCGCTCTTTTTAGCATTTGCGACTGCTTTCAAATGATCCACTAAACTTTTAAATTTTGGTGCTGAATGATTATCTTCGGATGAAGATGTTGGATTTTGTTGTGAATCATTTTGATCTTGCCTAAAACAAATAAGGTTTTAATTGAAAAACATAAATGTTGTGGGTGTTTTGACTCAATTATGAAACTCACCAAGGTTTTTTATTTCCCCTCTGTTGATCACGATTTTTGAAGTTTGAATTATTCTTCATCCAATTTGAATTATTCCTAGAAGGAAAAGATGATAAATGTTTAAATAAATCAACAGTTTGGGAGAAGATTTCTTACCCTTGATGATTATTGCGACCAATTGTTCGACAAGCAGGGCCTGGACGACGATAGTCACTATTATTATTGTTGTTATACTTTCGAAAGTTTGGAGGTGTTGTTTCACCTCCTGGAAGTGATAACAACGGTCGAATACCAGGACTATGATTCTGTTGTTGTGGAAAATAATGTGGAAATGGATTTTGAAAGTTTCCACTATTTTGATTAAAATTTTGTTGATTATTCCCAAATGGAGGGAATGGATTACGCGACACATCCCAAATATTTGGGTTATAGTTATTTCGATTGAAATTCATATTTTTAAATCGCATAAAGCGAAAAATTACTAAAATGTAATATTTTTTTCTGTCCTATTTTTTTAGGGAGTAGTAACGTTGAAAAAAATGAATAAAGAAGCAAAAATCGCTTCTTTAGTGCTAACTTTTTAATATTTTATACAAATCTCAGGTTTATATTATGACTGACTGTCTACATACAAAAACAAAATTTCTCCAACGAAGATAACGACAATAATTTTTAAAAATAATTCAATTAAAACGTCTTGAATCATCATGTCGAATACTGATTATTGTGGATATAAATCTCCTTTATCAACACGATACGCTTCGAAAGAAATGCAATTCTTGTTTTCCGATCAATTCAAGTTTTCAACATGGAGAAAATTGTGGGCGATGTTAGCAAAGGCCGAAAAGGTAAACAAAAGAGAAAACTTTGTAACAATATCATTAAAAATTAATTTCAGGAACTCGGTTTGAACATCACTAATGAGCAAATTGCAGAATTAGAAGCTAATGTTGAAAACATTGATTTTAAAGCTGCTGCTGATGAGGAAAAACTTACTCGACATGATGTTATGGCTCATGTTCATGTTTTTGCCAAACAATGTCCAAAAGCAGCAGCAATCATTCATCTTGGAGCAACATCATGTTTTGTCGGTGATAACACTGATTTGATTATTTTACGTGATGCAGTGGATTTGTTATTGCCGCGAATTGTGAGTGTTATCAACGCCTTATCAGACTTTGCTTTGACCCATCGCGATCTTCCAACTCTTGGCTTTACGCATATGCAACCAGCGCAATTAACGACTGTCGGTAAACGTTGCACTTTATGGGTATCTGATTTACTGTATGTTGAAAAGAAACTCAGTGATTTTCGAAGAGATTTAAAGTTTCGTGGAGTGAAAGGAACAACTGGAACTCAAGCATCTTTCAGAGAACTTTTTGAAGGTGATAGAAATAAAGTAAAAGCTCTCGATTGTCGAGTTGCTGAACTTGCAGGATTCAAAAATGTTTATGCAGTCACTGGACAAACTTATTCAAGAATTGTCGACTCTGATGCCGTCTCAATTCTTTCACTTCTTGGATCGTCTGTTCATAAAATGTGTACTGACCTTCGTTTATTGGCATCATTGAAAGAGATGGAAGAGCCATTTGAATCAACTCAAATTGGATCGTCAGCAATGGCTTATAAAAGGAATCCAATGAGATCAGAACGTTGTTGTGCCTTATCACGTCATTTAATGACATTGAATGCAAATGCTGCCAACACTCATGCAGTTCAATGGATGGAACGAACACTTGATGATTCCGCGAATCGTCGTTTGACACTTTCTGAAAGTTTTCTATCAGCTGATGCTTGTTTGCTGACTTTATTAAATATTTCCCAAGGAATTGTTGTTTATCCAAAGGTCATTGAACGTCACATTGCACAAGAACTTCCATTTATGGCGACTGAAAATGTTATCATGGCAATGGTGAAAGCTGGTGCGGATCGACAAATTTGTCACGAGAAAATAAGAGTTTTATCTCACGAAGCAGGAGCACAAGTCAAACAACATGGAAAGGATAATGACCTTGTTGAAAGAATCAAAACCGATCCTTATTTTGCTCCAATTATCAGTCAATTGGATCATATCCTTGACGCTAGCACCTTCACGGGATTTGCTTCGTTACAAGTTGAAGAATTTTATAAAGAACAAGTTCAGCCAGTCTTACAAAAGTACGGAAATAGAATTCAAACATCTCAAGTTCAATTATCAATTTAACAATTCATTATAGAAGTAGACAGAAGGAAATTTGTAAAAGTCTTCATTTAATTGCAAGGAGAGATATTGTGAATCTTACTTAAAAAGTCATAATTATGGTTTTCCAACAATAAATAAATAAATTTTTACACAAATTGAATGCAAATTTAATTAAAATATTTATACGAATTACAGTCACTTATATCAGTTGAGTAAATTATAATTAATTAGAAGCGAGAAGTCACCGAGTGGCGTCGTTTCGTTACTGAGAGTGTCAAATTATACCAAAATTAATTTAAATTTTAATCAGAATGTAATAATCAAATTATGAAGAATTATTTCTTCTTCTTCCTTGCTTCATTTGAAGTTTCAAACAATTTCACAAGGAGATAAAAAAAGCGAAGAAAAAAGTTTGAAACACATCAAAAGAGTCATTAAAAGATAATATAATTAATGAAATAAAATTTACATATTTTCCACATATCGTGAATTTTATTGATTTGTTGTAAAAACTTTACGAGTAGCGTGATGAATCGTTTGAATTGTTTATTCACAAGCATTATTGAAAAAGGTGTTTTAAATACTCACTTAACAATATTCATTGAATAATCGTAAAGATGAATTCTTAATTTTATTTGACTATCTCATCTGACGAAAAATATTTAAGCCTTGAAGGAATGAAAGAAATTCTCATGATTAAATATTTGAAGAGACTTGTTTGCAATCTGAAATTTTAATCAAATCCATCTGCTTTCATTTGATGTATGAAATCTTCAACTAAGAATTATCGCAAACTATTGACATACTGACTTATTTAAGAAGACATCTCCTTCTTCTTCATCGTCTCTTTCATTCTTCACTCTCACCCACATCATATTTAACAAAAGAAATTAAATAATACGGCAATCGTGAGAAGACATCAAATATTCATGACATTGCTGTAGGTATTTTTATATACATAAGTTTAACTTAAAAGTCAATCCTTAAACGAACTTTTCACTTTTCTTCTTCGTAAATTTAGCGGAACAAAATACATAAAGCAGGTCTTTTCATCAATTCATCTCATTTCTACACTTTTTTTGATCTTTTGTGAAAAGGACATGGACACAGTTTTCTCTTTTTTCTTCCTTCTTCCATTCTCTTTTGAGTTAATTAGTCGAACAAACGCTTTTCTTATGTAAATTTAAACATGTTTCCTTCGTCTGCTTTTAACTTATGTTCAGCCATCGCAAGACCTATTAAAAAGGTGCAGATTATTAATATTTCATCACACGTAAAAGAAAGGAATTCCTTCAAGGTGGCATTTATTCGTTTCCATGACTCTTTTGATATAAAAATCTTTTGTTTTCGATTTCAAGAATTAATTCCAACAACACTTGTTAAAAAAATTTGTTTCATCGTACGAAAAAAAATCTACAACGTCATCTGTTATCAAACTGATCCTTTTCTTAGAATCTATTCGTGCCTTATTCTTTATAAATAAATTAGACATCTCAGATTTTATTAAGCTATACATAGAAGGAAGGTTTGAAGGTCTACTTTAATATCAGAAGAAGAAAATGGAAAAGAAAGAGAAAATGCCGACACAACACAATGCTGCCTTTTAATCTTTTGTTTGCTGTTTTTTTCTCTTTCTTTTTTTTGTGTTATCGCACATATTAAAATTTCATAAATTATACACACGATGGACAAGCATCTCGAGTAAGAGAAAAGTGACCACCCAGATGTATTCACAGCTTAGAAATGGTCAGAAATACAAAGAAATAAAAAAAATTCAGAGATTATTGCTTAGAAGTGAGCGAAAAAGTGAGTGGGGAAAAGCGAATGGGAGGAAACATTGCTTAATTCTGTTCACTGAAGTTCCAACCACATAATTATCTTTCATAAATTGATATATTAAGTAGATATCGAAATGTAAAATACAAAGTATCTCATGATGCCTTATAAATAACTTCTTTAAGTGAGTAACAGTATTTAAATGCTTAGTTCAACACTCAAACCCCATCATTATCATCACGATTTTCCCACTGTGAAGCAGAGTATTACGAATCTGATTTAAGCTGCCAGGTGAACAGTAAGATGTCAATTTGCATTTTTAAACAAATTTCTACTTTAGTTTTTCGCTTCGGACTATTATCGTATTGTTCTAAATGTTCACAAATTGATGGCTCAAAAAAGAATCGATCGATAAATTTTTTAGTTAGATTTATTCAAACAGACGCCCGTGGCAAATTGTTATGTTTGAGGCTGCACACGATGATGCTTCTGAATTATATGATCGGAAGATGTTTTGATTGGAAACTATGATATATGCTTACACATCAACTTTTATTCAATAGAGCGAAGAAAGAAGAAGAATGTCAGGAATGTCTATAAAGAAGAATTTATATAGTGTCAAGCACAAATATTTTGGTCGTCGGTTGTGAAGAATTGTTGGTTTGAAAAGGTTGCTAAACATTTTCCATCAGATATCTTACATACGTAGAGTATGAGTTGGAAAAATAAAACGAAAGAATGAGAAAAACCACACAATAACCCTTTTAATAAACTCTTAAATCGTACACTGATTGTCAGTTTAGAATCTAAAGGAAGAACCAACTGTGAAGTCACACAAAACCAATAATCCAAATGTCTTCCATAAGTGAAATCCTCTCCATTCTCATTTTCATTTGACACTTTCATTCATTCAATGGCCTAGAAAGATTTTCAACTGACTTGTTTATTTTCTCGGTGTTTAATCCTCTGTTTGGTCTTGTAGACCTTCGTGGCTTGGAGTTGGAGTGATGCTAGAAAGGATCATAACAAGTCTTAATCACTCAAAAAGGATTAAAGAAAATGTTTGTTAATTTTAGGAGATTTAATTCTTCTTTTCTCCCCCTCGCTTGTCGTACTTATGTTCCAGATTACTCCGAGGAAAGGCATCTCCAATGGTTTTATGAGGATTTCATGAAGATCAATGTTTGTGTGTGACAACATGAGATGAGTTTGCAAAGGATAAACAATTAAAAAGTTAATTCTTTTAGGAGATTTTCGCACTCATTTAAAAAATGTTTTCCTTTAATTAATATTTTAATTGCACAATTTTTTATACACACATCAATTAGTACAAAAACATACAAAGTTTGTTATTTATCTTTTTAAATTAATTTATAACAGCTCAAACAAGTCATTCATTAAAAATGGAAGAGAGAAAAATAAATTATTTAAAACTAAAATGATTCAGCAAAGCTTGTTTTAAAATTATCTGGAGATTAAAAATCTGAAGCGTGCTTAAGGAAGAGAAAAAGAAATCTTGATTATAGGATGAAGAAGGAGAAGAAAAAGCAAAGAAAATAAGGAAAACAAACGATAAATCCATAAAAGCCCATGACCTAAGACACATTCTCATCTTGTCGGTTTTGCGTGAAACATCTTAATAGCGAATAATTTAATTAAACTCTGCTTGTCACTAAACACACACACACAACCATTTTGCGGTTAACAGTTGATGACTTCATTTTACGTTTTGAAACGGCTCCTTATAGACACAACAAACAGGCAGGCAGGCAAGCAGGCAGGCAGCCTCATTCTCTTTCTCACATTTCATTCAAAACATGATGAAATTATCGTCGCTAAATTATTTCCATCTATTTATGAGAGGTGATGAATTATTAAATGCTCGTTCATAGACTAGATACGACTATTATTGAGTGTATGCGATGGAAGTAGAAACCTGAAAGCCACAGAAATTCCTTTTGAAAAAGTAGATGTGAACATGCTCACATTCTATGATGAAATTCCCCCCATAACGAGAAAAATTGAAATTTTCTACGGGAAATTTGTTTCGTCGCATATAATGTTCTAACAATAAATATAGTTCATCATCATCGTCATCCTTAGGAAGGTTCAGAAGGAGTTATGCTTTATGAATTTTTTGTTATACTGAATGCATTGAAATTTCCTTCACTTTGGTTAAAAAGGCGAAACTAATAAGTCACAAGGATTTTGCTGTAGCTAAATAGTCAAAGAGTTTCATTGAAATTGCATTTCAGTGACAATTCAAAGATTTCTTTGAAGGAGAAAAATTTCTGTCATGACTTAAATTGACGATGAAATGAACAAATTTTCGTGTTATGAAATTTCAAAGTAAGAAAAATTTTTATTTTATATCAAGATACAATTTTAAGAGTTTCAGTAAAACAGACTAATTAAAGAATCATCAATTCCAACACTCCACGTGCTTCTAAACTTTTAAGGAAATCGAGAAAATAAAAACCTTTTAAGATATGTTTCCGTCGCCATATTGAAGCGGCGACGGAAAAGTTAATTAGGATAACAGATTTTCACATCATAATTGTCGGAATCTTCAAGCATCTGTAAATGATTTTCGTCGCTTTTATAATCATCTCCGACAATTTAAATGGTGAACAAAATGTCGTCTTTCAGTCTTCTCTTCCTTTCCTTACTTATTCATTGATTTTTATTTAAAATTTTTATTATTTCTCTTCCTGCTTTATCTTGATTCTCAACTCTTGACAGTTGATTTCATTTTGAAAATGAAGAAGAAATAAAATAAAAAATCTCACACATTGAGATGAAGCTTGAGTTTCATTTCACACACAAAATCTCTCCCTTTCCTATTCATACATGCACATTATCGGGGTGGTCCCATCGGCATGGCATGGCACGGCTTACGACATTTTCCTGAAGGGGTAACAAATAAAGAAGTGAAAGAACGAACGAACGTTCACAGCTTACAGGAAAGCATACGCACATAAATTTATAATGGAAGCGTGAAGATATAAAAACTCAACTAAATTGCTGCCTATGATCCTTGATTTTACTTTGCCTGGAATATTATTTGTTGTTAAAAATTACGGTAGGAACAAGAGAAGGAAAGGGATACTTTTATGCTGTCAGTTATGACTTTGTTCTATTCCCGAACCTACACCAACTGCTTATGAAATGTGCTGTTGTTGTTGTTGCTTCCTTCAGCATATTCCATAATTCACCAGAAGCGGTGAAGGCTTGATTAAAGCATCTTTGTTGTTGTGCTGACTACGATTCTGATGCTTTTCCAACCCACTCTGCATCGGACATTTTTTTCCTTTTCTGACATCGAGACTTTTAACAGTGAAGGGAAAAAAAGCATTCATCCAGTTACAATGCACGAAGGAGAAAAAGAAGTTTCCTGACAACCATGAAAATTCATTTTTCTCAATTTTTCGTGTACGTCGCTTGCAATGTATTTGTGCGAAAGTCGTCTATTTGTTTAAATCTTTTTTTATTAAAAATTTTAACTTTTATATCAACCCATGGGTGAAGTTTGAAGGTTCACAAGCAGAGTTGAATATTTATGAGATGATAATAATTCAAATGATGTTTCATAAAAGTTAAATTCATATTGTAATTTAAAAGTTTTGCAGTTTGTTTATTTTTTTAATTATTTCATACTGCAATAACTAAAATATTGCCACAAAATTTATGAAATGAAAATGTTGATTCATTGTTTTGTGAGTCACAAAAATTGTTGGCAAATTTCTCACTGGGATTGATGCATTAGTAAAATAAAATACCCTATAAATATTATAAATTGTAAGCTGAAAAAAAGTGACTGCATTCGTTCGTACGTAGCTATTTGTAAAACGAGAATCATATATAAAAATTCATTAAAAGAATACGAGATCGTACAGGAGAAAAAAAATGTTTCAGCTTTATAGGCAATGTTTGAATAATTCAGCGTAAAGCGTGTAAAATTTTGTGTTCAATTGTTATTTTTTGTATTTTCGTTTTCTTTTTTTGGAAAGAGATTCTCTTTATGAGGATTTTTGTAATTCATTGGAATGAGCTTCATGATTTTTACAGCTGGCGATATTTTATTGGATGTGATTGATTTAGTTCCTGTCCTATCCTGATACTTATTCTCATTCTTTGAAGAATGAATGCTGATTGACTTTCTCACAATTTTTCATCTTCCTCCGGATTAGAAATTAAGAAGAAGAAGAAAGCCAAATCCCATCCCCGCCAAAATATTTAATTGACGATCATTTCCGCTGCTCGTTAAGACGCTTCATAATTAATTTCGCTTTGTGGAGAATAAACATCAAAACTAAAGATTAAAGACAATGAAAGATAGAGTAAGAGACAGAGAGAAATGATAAATCAACAGCATTTCCTTCTTAAGCTTTCTTTTTGGATTTTTTGGTAGCCCAAAAATTCTTGAGTGATTGAGAAACATTTATTTATATGATTTCACTGACTGAATCAACTGCTTCATCCGGAATCATCTTCCAAAATCAGTGAATGTCATAGATAAAACTCACACTTCATTGATTGATTTTCGAATTTCTCATTTATAAATATTTTGAAAATAAATCATTGACTGATAATCAATGACGAGCTTTTTTATTAATTATTTATTTCAATATTTGATGCTCATCAATTGAACTGATTAGTGGTAAATGTAGTTTCACTTTATCTTCTATTATGATTGTTCCTAAATATTAATCTCACTTTAAAACATTTTTTTCGTTTAAATCTTCTTGTTAGAGAAAGAAACAAAAAAATCTTAAAAACTAGCTAATAAATCATTGATCAAGAGAACATAGGATAATGTTATAAATGGTCCGTGAAAAATCTTAATTTCACGTTCAGCAGATGTAGCAACGTTTCGACCAAACATCGATCTCGTCTTTCTCGTCTAAATGATTTCTAAGAGAAAAAAAATCTTTTCATTCATCGATCGTTGAAGTCAAATCGACTGTGCAGTTTTTCTCCTTCAATTTTCATTTACATCAATTGAAGGTTTTCCATTGAAAAACATTCTAAAATATCAAATTGTGATTTATTAAAATTCAGAAATATAAAAAGCTAATATTAAACAAGTCAGTAAGTAAGGAACGTAGAATCCAAGGAAATCCCCTCAAATTTAACCATCGATTAAAATCAATTAAGCAACCAATCAAAGAAATTATGCGTTTCTGAATGCTCGATTTTTTACGTCTAATTGTAGCGAGTCGAGCGCACAATAAATATATAATCGATACACCTTAACCAGACCATTTTCATGCATCATTCATGATTTTTCGAAAGTTTCTTGAGTGCGTAGTTATTTTTCTTCTCTTTTCTCATTCCTTCAAATCATGGAAGAAAAAGATTTCTTAAATAAAGTTTTTATATGATTTATTTCATGGTTTCTTGTTTGTTTGTAAGCATCAATAATTTGATATCCTACGGTAACATTTAAAACACTACCGGTGATTTCTAATTGAGTGAATCAAACTCTCAAAGGCAATAAAGTTTTGGAATTTGTGTTCGTATTTGGAACAATATTATGAATGCTGCTTTAGACTTATTTAAAAACAAATACAAACAATGATAATCAATTTGTTTTCGGTAAACTATGGCTAAATGAGTCTGACTCCTCCGGGTCGTTTCAAGTTGTATCATGTTGACTCTGAAGTCTCATTTGGAATTTTCAAAGGAAAAGTTTCATGAAAATATTATCTGATTAAATATGAAAACGATGCGGGATGCAGTTGATATCATTACATGCAAATTTTTTCGAAAAGAGTCGACGACTCGTTGAAGATTCTTATTAAGGATAAAATAACAATATTATGTTGCCATCATCCTTAACTTCTTACTTTAAAGACTTTAAAGTTTTCATCTTCCATGGGAATCTAACAAAGACATTGCACTGCGCTTTCAGAACTTATTTCTTCAATTATCAATGTTTCCTGAAAATTTCTTTTCTTAATTTCAATTGAATTTATAATGAAACTTTAACTTTCCAACAAATTCTAGAAATGAAACTAAAGAGAAAGTTTCGCTAACTCCACTTCTTCAGTACTTTATATTTATTAGTAGTTAATCAGTTTAGATGCTTCTGTAAAATCTTTATTATTTAGTTTTCAAATTTAAATATATTTCTGTTCATGAAGATACATAAATTAATGCTTAAGAACTAAAGAGTATTTTAAAAATTCCCATCTTATAATTTAATTTGCAAATTTTTTAGCGGAGTCTTTGTTGGAATTTCCATTGCTTGGAGATTCTCTTAAGGAATATTCTGCAGATTCCTGAAATGGTTTTATGAAGAAGCTTGAAAATTATGCAGCGTTTGTTGAAGCTGCCTTGTTTACAAAATGTTTACGAATGAATTATTCATCAGCTTCATCAACTAAATGAAATTTACTCTGAATTATTCAAAGCTTGACTTACATTAACATCCAAGAGCATAAATTGAGTCATGGGCTCATGAAAATCACATGCAACTGAATGATTCGGCAAACTACTTGATACATATGAAAAGAGGATGAATATGCATTGTGAAAAATCAACCCCGAAGAAATATTCATGTCATAAAAGCTCACTTTTCCTAATCATGATGATAACGTAGAAAAGGAAACTTTCCAATTATTTTCCTATGCTTCGGGGAAATATTCGAAAGCTTTGTTCGTATGTTTCATCTTAATATCTCTTCCTCTAGGCAATTCCTCAAGGAATCTTTAGCATTCTACATAAATACCTTCGTAGATCAAGAAAAAAAGTAAGTTGAGAGTGTTACAAAATTGTAACGTGCTAACGACGCCCACCTAACATGAAAAATCATTTTTATCTCCTTTAAGTTCGGCAAGGCAAGGCAAGGAAAGGCAAGCAAAGGAGATGAAGAAGAAAAGTAGAAGAAATCTTTCAAAATTACCTCGATGAGTGAATTGTCATGAATATAAATCATTCTTACTTTGTTTTTGTTATCATTGCGAAATGGCAGAAAAACTAATGTTTTAGCTACCGAAAATCGGTGCGTTAAAGGACAATTTAACAAAAGAAGAACCTCAAAATTACAAGCATTGCCTTCCTTTTACGAACTTCTATCAGTTCAGGCATACATAAAGAAAGAACTCCCAAAACGACAGCAATAAAAAAAGAAAAGAAGTGAAGAAGAAGGAAACATGTAGCGTTGGATAACAAATCATTGTACGGACAAAAGAAATACTTATTAGAAAATAATCAGTAAGTTGTCATCGCTCTTGTGCGTTTGGCCAATTTTTGCCTTGTAACACTGTCGTTTTGCTTTTCACATCTCGGGGTGGTCTTCAGGATGAATTATGACTTTCCATTCTTCTCTCAGTTCCTTTCAACTCCGGCTCATGTGACACAACAGAGATCCAACGTTTGAAATGTCATCACTGAACAAAGAATCATCATTAGAATCAAAAATTGTGTAATTCGTAATATGTTTGATGAACAATTTATAAATCTAAGTGTGTCCACATTGGATGTCAAATGAAGTTCCTCTGTCGAATACTTTAAAGTTTAAATTAAAAATTGTCTTATTCATCTTCCTGAATAGAAGATTTAATCAATGAATTTTAAATTAGATAATTCAAAGATGATGATGGCGAACCATCATTTGAGTGATTCTCTGATTTATTTATTTAAATTGAGCTTCAAAGCATTCATGTGGAAATTTCACAAAAAGAAAAGGAGAATAAAATAAAACACAAAAAAGGAAAACAAAAGAGATGAATCTTTAGAAAGTTTAATTACGGCCAGTTGAGAGTGAAAATCGTCAGATTATTAATCCCTGAAATCGACAAATTAAAAGGATTTAGAATGACCCAAATCAGGTGAAGCAGAAAATTGTTGGAACGAAACGCGTTGAGGGAAAACAACGCGTAAATAAGTAGATCGACTTAATGGTTGGCTATTTCATGTATTTATGTCCTTCATTCGTCCAAGCTTTTTCAATTAATATTTATTTAACTTGTTACTGCCATGGATCCTTAAAATCAAGGACGCCACTCCAACAATTCATTTTTCATCTTCCATCAGTCTGGAATTTGAATTTTGATGAAAGAAAAACCCGCCGCTGCTGTAACAAAGATTAATAATAAAATTTTTAATTCTTTTCTCCTCAAATCCCTTTTGTCCCTTTCGTCGAGATTAAAAATTTATTGAAACTTCTCTCAATATATTTTTTAATATAATTTTTCACATGCTTGGGACATTTTATTTCGTTTCTTTTTTGAATCATTTTACATACTTTGTTCATATTCCTACCGAAAAGCCGAACATTTACATTATAAAACATAAAAATATTTCTTTCTTCTTCATCGTTTCACTCTTGAAAAACTAATTTATAACATTTATCTCTGTCCTAATTTCTACTCATGTCCATTGTGATTTCATTTCTAAAGCTAAAGTTTTTCTCTCCTTTTTTTACTTACTTGCTCTCATACTTAAATACTAGACTTCAACTAATTTCACGATAAACTACAATCTAAACTTAAATGAGATTAAAACATTGGGAAAAAATTCTTTGATTTGAGAGTGAATTGAAAATGATTGAAGTTTGTTTCCAACTCGATTGAAAAGTTTTTCCTTCGAAACTTTCAACATTGTTATTTTCTGCTTATTGTCGTGATTGTCTGATGAGAAAAGCCTCGAGTGGTTCCATTTCAACTATTTAATCCATTTCCATTGCTTAATGAACACGATTGATTTCAAGACCATGATAAGATTTCGAGTCACCATTTGAAGGCGATAAAGATGTTGGATGTCCATTTGGTGTTGCTTGTCCATAATGGTTCATGTTACTAGCAAAAAAGGAACTGAAATTATAAAAAAAGAAAGAAGAAAAAATGTTAAAATTGATGTAAATGATAATATCATTCTGATGTCAAAACAAAAAGAGTGAGAGAGAAGAAAAATGAGAATGGAAAACCAGCAATTAACATTAATTAAAATAAAAAGTTGCAAAACGAGAAAGAAGCAAAAATTATGAAAATTGTTTAATTACAGTAATTAGGAGACTAGCATATTGTGGAATAAAATTATTTATGATATCAAAATCATCGATGCTTACCTGTAGGCATCCCATTCGAAAGCAGCTCCTGAAACTGGCATTGTAGGCTTGCTTTGCATGCTCATTCCACTTCGCCATTGTGGTGGTTGTTCAAATGAGTTGCTGTATGAGAATGGATAAGTCGCTGAGACAGGAGGCGTGGGTGGTGTTGCGGAGTTAATATGGTTATGTGTTCCAATCGGAATGTTGCTTTGGGTGTCTGCGATCGATGAATAATTATATGTTGTGTTCATATTATTGCTTGAGATCGATGAGGTTGAGGTTGTGGGTGGTGCAGAAGACGTTGCACCATGTACTGGGCTCGAACTCAATGAAGCGGGACTCAATGCAGCCGAACTAGCAACCATCGGAGGTGGTAGATGATTGAAAGCTGATTGTGGTGATTGTTGACTGCTATTCATTGTATAACTTTGCGTCCATGATTGCATTGGGGCTGGAAACGACACTTGTGGTGAAGAGATTTGGAGTGATGTGTCGTATTGTGTCGGATATGCCGAAAGATTGGAACTGAATGTAGGAACTTGTTGTGAATTCATTTGTTTCCGCAAACGAGCGCGTCGATTAGAAAACCAAACTTGAACGCGTGCTTCCGTCAAATTTGTTGAATGTGCTAAGTCTTCGCGTGTATAAACATCAGGATATTGTGTTCGTGCAAAAGCACGTTCAAGAGCTTCAAGTTGTTCGCCATTAAAAGTTGTGCGTGATCGTCTTTGCTTTCTTTTTAATTGAATGCCAGGTTCCGATTCGGTGTCGCTTTCATCAGATTGTCCGAGAATTCCTTGAATAGTGTAACTGTTGTGAACTTCGCTTTCGCTGTCGTCGCCATTTTTCTGACGCAGTAGTCGACTAATGGAGCTTACAGAAGGCGCTGTTTGCTTATCACAGATTCCTTCTTTGATTAGTTGCTCACGAATTTCCCATGAGAAAATTCCCGGATTTTCTTTTTTCATTTCTTCGATTCGGTTTTCAATTTCTGGTGTAGCTACGCGAGGTTTACTGCCACCAATGACTCCTGGTCTGATACTTCCAGTTTCCTGATATCGATTGAGAATTTTCGAAACACAACCGTGGGAAACGCGAAGTTGGCGTGAAATGACGCAAGGTCGAACGCCAGCGGCCGCAAGTTCAACAATTTTGAGACGAATGTGGTTTGGAAGAGGTCGTCCGTTGATGAAAACGCCGCCAAGTTGATTTACACGTCCTTGGCCTGAAACAGAGCAAAGAAAGAAAAAACGTTAATTGATTTTTGATGATTTAATTAAGCTTAGAAGTACTCTAAGCAGACAGAATCTTGTTAACATTGTTTGCTTAACTTTTCTCTTTCTTCAATATTCTTTTCCACTGAATTAGATACATTTTGAGAAAACGAATTATTTTGAGGGTGCAAGACATAACTTAACTGACAGACAAAAACAAAACATAAAAGGACATGAAAGAAGTTTAAGATGAGAAATATTTCAATATAGATTAAAGCCACAGGTATCGTTTGAGCACCATTAGCCATCAATACAACAGTATTTATCTCAAATATTTACATTTTCGGTTTAGCTAGAAGATTATCCGTAGAATCCAATAAACAAAGAATGAAAAATGTTTAGAAACATCCAAAGGAGGCTGTAAAAGGACTTTTCAAATATTAAATCTAATTTTATCTTGTCTTTCATGACGAGAATTCATTTCGCCTTTTTTGTTTGCGAAGAAGATTGAATTCTCAGTTGCTTTATTTTTATTTCCCTTCGATGGGATTATTCAAGCATAAACTTATTCAATGCTCGTATGACCAGCATTTTCATTTGGTTTCTTTTTTCTTCTTTTTCTTCTCAGCTATCCGTGCTTGCCTTGATTTGTGTCATAACAACTTAATTTTGGACAAGGATAATGAAATGATCTTTTAAAGGTTTCCTTTTATTTTTCATCTCGAACTTCATGCACAATTGAACGAATCTAGAAAGGATCTAGGATTGCGTATAAAATAGAGAACGAAAAAAACCTTTTCGTGCTCTCTTCTAACTGATTTAATTTTGCTAAACAAAGTTGAAACATTTCGGTTCCTTAAATATGGTTGGTGGGCACAAAAAATTTTCCGTGAATCGCCTCATCGAGCATGTAAGTGTTTTGTTGTGAGAACTTCATCGTGTGTGATATTTTCTTCTTGTTATTTATGTAGAATCTTCATGAATACAAAATACATGAATTGAGAGATTCACATCAAAAAAAATATTTAAAGGAAGATAAAAAAGATTCAATGATGAATACACGCTGCAGCAAAAGTGCAACGCTTGCAATTTGCTTTCTTTCTTCTCATCATTTTGCCGGTGCCAAAGCATAGAATTTGATGTGGAAAGGAAAGATTACTTAATTGAATTAAATACATGGAAAAAGAGGCTCCGTACTCTGAATAAATCAATGGTCAATTTGTTGTTGAACGATGATCAGACGATGCCGACATTGTCGGCGATGGAATGTGATGAACGCCTCGGACGCTCGAATGATAGCCATGGAAGTGGCGAGAAATAATGACCATGTTTACACTCTGGGAAATTACTGTTCTTCTCGTTGTTCGAGAGTTGCAACAACATATTAAATATCTTGGGACGCTTGATCGTAAGGGGAACATCAAAAGTAAGAAAAACTTTTCCTTAAAGTTAAATTGTCAATTTTTCTGGCTTAATATTTGAATTATGAATTGAAGTCGTACACCTTTGTGATTCCCAAATGAATATTAATTAAATTATTATCATCCATCTGCAATTATTTACCAGAGAATTGACGTTCCCTTCGATATTATAATTTTATTTTCTTTGTATTCTTAAATAAGAATTACAATCGCAAGCGAAGTTGAGTTACTGAGTATCAACAGCAAAACCGTTCATGTTATTAAATCTCGTAATTTATTCACGTTTGTAAAAATAATTTTGTGTATGATTCTTTAATAGTTTTATTGCTCGGCGCTGTTGGACATCGTTCCGTTTCATTTGCAGACTCGCGCGGTCAATCATTGTAACATATTTCCCATCATGATCGTCATGTTTCCATTGAAAGAGATCTCTATGATATTACATCGCATTATGAGTCGAATACATCATAATCTGTCTCCATTTCGAAATAAAGAAGAACTCAAAAGAAATATTTAAAAGTGTTTTATTAATAAAATCTTTTCTCTGGACGGTATAAAAAGGCGTTGAAAGCATTTTCCTTCTAAATTGTTAATTTAGCTGATCAAATGAAGCGAAAGATGCCCAAGCAGTCCATTATTGTGGCTGGAGATTTTCTTTTCAACTTCTTTTCTTTCAAAAAAAGAAAGAAAAAAACGATACAAGATAAATGAGTCTTTCTTTTTATTATGTTGTTTCCACCTATTATAGCCAACCGAATAGATAATATCATCTCTATCGGTGTGTCTAAGACATCAAGTCTTTTATTATGATGTCATCAAAATATTTATTATTAATAGACGAAATTAAATTAAACATGTTTTCTAATCTTTTCGTTCGTTGTAAAGGTCTTTTTGAAGATTCGCCGATAAACAATCCTTTGATGTTGCTTTTTTCTCTCTTCATCATTTAAGAAAGTAGAGTTTTGTGTTAAAAGGAGAAAAATAAAATTAATATCTAATCATAAAAAAATAAAGGAAAACATTCTTAAACAGCCTACGCAAATGATAAAATCAGATGCGTCGTCATGACATAAATATCGGTAGCTTATGACCAAAACAGAAAGGCAAAGAGTCTCATTTAATCCATCTTTCCTTCTTCTCATTGTGTGTTCTTTTGCCGACAGTCATCGGTGTTTCTTTTTTAATTTTATTAGACAGTAATCAAGACAATAAATCATCTGAATATGATTTATAATAACATAATTAATTCGCTTGCTATTAACTAATATCATAAATTACAACAACGCTGTCCAACTGGCACGTGAAAACAATGTGTTGATTAGATAAATGATGCGATCAATGTTCCGGCTTCGAGGGTGCCAAATAATGAGTTCATTTAGTGTGTTCATTGATTACCTGATATTAATCTATTAAATATCAAAAGATGATTCATTATCTATCAATGATGTTTAAAACAAAGCGATTGTTTACTCTCACATTAAAGTTCAAATTATTAAATAAACTTCTCCTTTGAAATGTATGAAATTGTGCTTTTCAATTTGTTTATGGACCTACCTAGCAATAAAGGTCAACATAAATATTTTGAAAACAATTTTCTCACTCAAAGTTTTATTGTCTGCAAAACGCATTTCAATTAAAACGATATTTGTTGGGATGTAAATAATAGAAAACTCATCATGATTAAACAATTGCGTCGGTGAGAGTTGAATGAGTTGAGCATATTGTTGATCCATAAATTACCACACGAGCATACAAATTATTTGAATTGAATATTGCCCATTATTTGATCACAATCATCGGCCTTTACACAGCAAATTGATGAGTGTTGAAATGAAGGAATTTCCTTTCATATTTATTCTTCTTCTTCTTTTTCTTTCCCCCCAAAAAAAAAGCACAAAGTGAAAAAGCACCGCAAGTCAACGCGAACGAGAGTGTAAAAATACCAATTCGTATTAAAAAACTATATAATCATAATGTGAGCCTGAGCCCTCATCGAAGGAGAATTGAGCAGGAAAAAATATCGAAAAAATATTAAAGAGAAGATGAGATCAAAGAAGTTGCCGGCCTTCGAAGTTATTCCGATATATTTATTATCGTCATCATAAAATAATAATATATTACACGATGTTTCTTTTGTGCTTTGAATCGTTTTGGTTGTGCCTTCTTCATAAGATGGAAAGAAGAGAAGGTGAACGTAAACGTAGAGTGTTATGCAAAACGGAGAGACGAAACCTTTTAACAACATATCATCGCGCCAGAGTGTCTGCCGAAAAATGAGATGAAGTGAAGTGGAGGAAAAGAACTCAGAACCGATACGACACTCATTGCTTTTGTTGCTTACTCATTACCAGCATTCTTTAAATATAACGCGATTTATTTTCGTTTTCGGTGCCTTTCTCGTAACTCTTGATGATTGTGAAAAATGGTGAAAGAAGCACACGAGGATCTTAAGATTAAATATTTCAAAACGTACTTTCCTTTAAGCGAATTTCTTCTTTTTTATTTTTGTTCTTTTTGACAAGAAAAAAAAGAATTAAATTTCATAATGTCCATGCCTCGAAACAAACCGAAGAAGCATAAAACTGAATCTTTTGTAATGTAACGTCTAGCACCGATCAACGAACGATTACTTTTTGCTGCTCTCTACATCATGTGCATTCAAATTTGCATAAAAAATCTTTAAAGCTTGTGGAGTTTTATGACTTGTTTCACAGTTTTTAAATTTGTTAGATGGCCCGTACTCGCGCTTTTAATGTCTTTTATTATTATTATTAAATGCAAAGAAAATGCAATTTTATTGCTCTTTACAGCAATCACACATAAAAGATAAGCGTGACTGGTAAAGTCAAGTTGTAACGCAGTAATTTAAGGTAATTAGGCATACTTGAATGCTCCGATTGGATATCTTTGTCGCATGTTTCTTTTAGCATTAGAAAATTAACTTCATCTTAATCGTGCCTTTTGTGTTGATCATCAAAAAACGATACGATAAATTGCCCAAAATATTTTCGAGGGCTTCAGGTACGATCTCTTATGGAATACAAAACATAAAAAAGGACTTTGGGATGAAATAGAACGACATGTTGTGTATGCATCAGTGCCGTATTATTTCTCACCTTCCACAAAATGTCAAAATCATTGTTCAACATATTGTTCGGAAATCTTTTTTTCTTATTCTTTCTCTTCTTAATATTAAAAGCTGACCGCCGACGGATTAAACGAAGCAATTTTTCGTTTGATCTTTTTTTTGTGGCGTTGTTGCTGTTGCAACTGTTATCTAATATATGATAAATGCGATTATGGTTCAGGAGAGAAATGAAATGGATCACGAACTATTAATCAACAAGGATCGTGTTGTGAACTTAATGCCCTTTGCTTTTAAGATGCTGATAAACGTTCGAGATCGCCTACATAAGATTATTAATTAGGTTTCATTTACGTACCTTGGAAAGGATATCCCGCAAAATAAGGCGAAGGTTCAAGTGATCTCATGGTCATAGTCATTTATCCAATAATTGTTTTTAATTTATTTCAACTCAAATTTTAATATTTGGCTTCAAGTTCACTTTCTTTGCTTAATGTTGAATGACTTCTTTAAATCTTTTTCCAGATACTTTTAAAAATATTTCCACTCGTTTTTATTCCAAAGAAGAATTTTTTTTCCACTTAAATATGAAAACTTTTTCTACACTTTTGCAAAATCTTTATTTGAGAAAAATCTTTTTTTGACTTCCTTCTTGGCCGAAATGCAAGACGAAGTTATGAAAAAATATCCCGAGGAAAATGTTCACTCGCAACAGGTAGTTTCGAGATTTCAACTGAGACTAACAAACTCGAAAGTTGAAACGCTCAACAAACGCCTGAAGAATGATCGGTTCTTGAAGAGTGTTTGTTGTGTTCATGGCTTTGTGCATAAGTGAAACTCCTCCCATTATCGTCGTTTTTGCTTTGTGTGTAATCTGATACCCTCTCTCTGTCTGTTCTTCGACTGTTATGTGGATGTTCATTTGTGTGCAGCCTCTAGCGTGAGTTCTTCTTACAAAGTGAACATGAATAAAGCGGGATCAAGTTTGCCGTTGATGAATAAATCATGGTATTAAATCCATTTTCCTCGTCTTTACTTGTGATCGTGCCGACACTTCACGATTGGTTAACAACATAAATTGACTTTGGTTTGATTTTATTTATTTATCGACCGCCCAAGTTAATGCTTTACTGGTTTTCTTAATAATGTTGATGAAAATAAAAGATTTTAATGCTGTCAAATGGCACTTCTTGTTTAAATTAAATTGACTGATGTTCTTGTGGGTGAATTAATTTAAATTAATCATCTCATTATCACTTATCGAATGCTTTTTAAACCAATAATTATGAATCTTGTCGAAACAGACTTCTGAATAATTGTGAAATATTTGGAAACATTTTTGTGGTTTAATTCACGTTGAAATACTTTTTTTTTGAAGTGGTCGAAAGTAAATATTTTCATCACAACGGTTTAACGTTCATTATTCCACATTGCACAACTTGGAACATTTTTTTCAATTAAAACCTCATTTTATCTGAATTGTTTTTTGCCAGGTTTTTCAATTGCATTTATGCTACAAAGTTTTGCTCCGATTGCATCCTCCATAAAATAAAACATTCATTTGGAAATGACAAGCGAAGTTCGGTGCAAAATGGAACAAATTGAAAATATTTCGCGTTCCATTCATTATGCTTTCGGGAAGTTTATTGGCGGAACACAAACGCGCAGTGCTTTGCAAAATTAATTAATCCATCCAGACGATGCACGTTAAAGCGTTTACAAATCTTTTGTTTCTTTCGATGCGGGTCAAATATCAAAGGAATCAAATATAAGCGATTACAAACATAAAATTTTTCCCAATAATGAGTTGAAAGCTATGACTACTTTTTGGTCAAAGGACATTAAACATGCTCATAAAAAAATTTCCGGGAACATCTGAGACTCATTATGAGAATTTTAAAATTTATTGTTTTATGGCCGAACACTAAACTGCCTTGTCACTCACTTTGAGACTCATTTTGGTGTCAAATTTTTGTTAGCTTTTGTAAAAAGGCAGAAGTATGGATATTTCATTGAACAAACTGTTTTATGGAGTTTCTGTTTCTATTCACTAGATTTAGAAGAAAAAATTGTTCAATTTTCAGCAAAGTCTCTAACACAACAAATATTAACAAGCTCCCTGGTGTTACTGTTTATGATTTTATGTTTTTATTGATCTTAACTGCGTCGCTTTTCTGCTTCAACTTTTTTTTCGTCATATTGACATTCAAGCATTTCAGAATTTTATGTTTTTACGACTTTTAATGGTTTTGATATATGATTTCGCAATCATCTAAAAAGATTCAATGCAAGGCAGTTATTCTAGGCAATTTCTTGTTTGTTCTCATTATTTTATTTGTTGATAATTCGAACAGACCATAAAAAGACTTTGACAACATAAATGAATGAATTTAAAGCGACAATAAAATTTTATTTCTTCAAAGTACGTGATAACAATTTCCATTGTCCATCAACATCTTTTCGTCTTACATTTCTTTGACGTTTTCTTTTCACATTTTATTGCGACTTCTGAGAAATCTGAAATCTCTAAAGCATAAACTTCAGTAGCAATTTTCACAAGTGACAAATCCATTCAATTTACTCCACCAACCACCACCAGCTCAGTTGATTGATCGTCTCACGTCAGGTTATTGAGTTTCTTTTTCATTAAAAATTCTCTTTTGATTAATTTGCTGTTAAGCTACCGGTCTACCGAAGAGTTTTGTTGTAGCTTTTAACAGAAAACATTGCTTGTGCAGATTACAAGTTAAAGTGCTAATAAATCTCCAATCCAATCATCTTTTCATTTCATTTTTTGAATCTCTTTTCTTCTTTTTTTTTTTGATCGCAGGTCATCCATCCACTCGAACAATTGTTGCCAAAAATCGTTGTCTTGTACCTTGCTTAAGTAATCACTCAGATTTGTCTTCAGAAAGTTTCAAGTTAATTCTTCATAGATCCTTCAAACATTACCCAAGAGACATGTACGACAAACTCGATAATAAAAGGAAACCATCACAGCATGAGAAGTCAAAATTCGACATGTATGACACTTTTCTGTACGTAGCCTTCAGAGCAGATATTTTAGTTTCCTTTTCGGCCAACTTCGTCTCGCTTTTCATAGAAAGTTATTAAATGGAAAATCTGAACTGAACGTTTTATTAAGTGGAAAAGAAGGATGATGATCCGTTTATGGGTTGTGATGTGGCGTAAAATCCTTCATCGTAGACACTCTGTCTAGTGAGAAGCTCTTTTTTATTCAATGTTTCGTCTCGTCTTCTCTCAGAATAAACATTTCCATTTTCTTCTACCGTCATTGTTATCAAAAGGCTACATGGTGATGTAAGAAGCATTCATTCTTTGTCGGCACTTGCGGCTTTAATGGTCATTTTTCGTTCGCTGATTTTAATTTTACTTTTTTGTTTTTGTATATTTTCCATTTGGAGGCTTCATTTGCCTCGTTTCACATTGTTTTGCTATTACAAAACTTTTCTTTTAACATTTTTTCATCTCTCTCTTTTTGTTCTTTCGATGGGGATGGTCCGCAAGTGATATTTCCATCGATTTTATTTGCACAGCATTTTAAATTCCATTTTAAAAGTTTCATTCAAAGCTTGTTGCTTTGAAACAGCAAAAACTCACAAATGACCCACTTAAACTATTTTCAACGCTTTGAATGTAACCAATACAACTTATCTCAACTTTTCTGACACAACTTACGGATATTGCTTAACGAAGAAAGAAATAATAGAGCGAAATTTTTTTGCAGGAAATTTCTCAACTTTGAAATTGCAATTTCATGGTCTACATTTGAATTTCCGAGAGTAAATTTACCTCGTGGTAGGTAAGTTAGTTGCAAATTGAATGGGAAAGATAAAAAAAGTAAAATAAATGTTACAGCAACAAAAATTCTGTTTTGAAGGGAGAAATTCAGAAAAATCATGACTTGAGGGTATCAATTAGTAACGATAAACAATCCCCTTTAAAGCTGTAATTTGAAGCACCTGATAGACAATCTAATAAGTGGATAAACGTTGTTATTAACCCTTTAATATGAATAAAGAATAACGAATAAATGAAAGGTTTACTTAATATATTTTCGGATAATGGAAATCCTACAGAATACATTTTGATAGGTCAATTAAGCTCTTAAAAGCATTGCGTGATAAGCATCAAATTAATTTGTGTCGACACTATCAACAATCACCAAAAACAAGCTTGAACAGAAAGTGTTGAAAATCACAATGAATCCAAATACTCAACAACCATTCATCATGCTGAAAAGTGGTTGTATCAAATCGAATATCGATACACTTTTGAATGTTTGACTTTTCTCATTTCTCAGGCGCCTTCCCCATCCAATTTGATTATTTACAGTTTGATTTTTCGGCTTGTTCATCACTGAATAGGCAAGTAAATTGAGAATTAAGCCATAAAACGATTGTGTAGGTGTTGAATCATTCTAATCATATATTTCATGTTGACTACGCCTTAACCAATTTTTATCACGACTTCATTCATTTCATTCACTCGAATTTACTCATACTTATCAATCTATTCATTTTAAGATTCCGCGTTGATATTTCTTTACAGTTTGTGACTTTTCAGTGGCAATGAACGAACATCCACTTAGCAATTAAACTGACTATGAGCATCGCAAGCGACAATAATTAATTTGCTTTTCAAATGAAATTAAAATCGCGATAATTTAATAAAGATATAGAAAACTATAGAATTAAATTTCCCTCACTTTGTATGTTTCATTTATAATTTGATAAATTTCACATAAAGCATGAGATTGTCGTTATGAAAATTTTCCATTCTTTTTACTTCAACATGAAACTGTTTTTATGTTTCATCGAAGCGCAGCAATGTTAAAATTGAAATTTGAATTTGCAGTACATTTTTCAAATCATCTTACTTAGTCTTAATCTTTAAAACTTTAAAACTACAGCATTTTAAATTATTGAACATTATTTTCATAGAGAACATTTGTAAGGATATTTCGAACAAAGTTTCCAGTCTTTTAACTTTATGTGCAAGATGCTACAACTCTCTTGTGTATTCATTTAAAGTCAATTTTTCAAGCATGTGGACGAGCAATTATTCAACAGCAAAGTTAACACCGCATCTGAACACAAGGAGAAGTTTTTTCGATAGTCTCGATTGGGATGTTGGCTGTGAGTCTTATTTAAGGATGAAAAATCTATAGAAAATTGAGAAACCAACAATTTAGCGATTTCATGGCTGAGCATATGCCAACAGTATCGTTTATGTTTAATGTTTAGTGTCTGGTTTTCAAACAATTACACATACACACACAACATCATCTACCTGATAATTTTCACTAATAGCATGGGCCAATTTTTCACGCATTTTCATCCACATCGCCAGATGTTCTCTAAGTCGCTTCTCTCTTCTAAATAGATTATTGATTTTGCAAAATGCTTCTGCATTTCATTTTCTACTCTGCACTACAATTTTGCGTCATAATATCCATTAATGGCAGCATTTATATTTCATATTCGGAAGAATAGAAGGAAAAATGCTTCTCATGTTTATGTGAGTTTTAAAATTTGAGCAATTTTCCGAATTGATGAAATCGAAACGATGCCAAAATCTGTTGAAATTTATTTGTGAATATAATTCAGAGGTGCCACCAGGTCGATAAATTCGCCGAACATTTGCTCTGACCTGGAATGTAAATAAACTTTAAAGAACATTTCTTTTTTACTGATTTTCCATATTTTCATTCTGAAAGTGTTGGCGCAGCCACATTGAGTGCTTTGAAAGGTGTTTGGAAATTTTTATACCTTTTAAAACAAGAAATGAAAATTGTTTCTTCAAATTCCCAGTTGGCATTCTCTCGTCTTATGTCGAATGTTCATATTCAGATATTTCTAAATAAATCATGTTCGGCTGAAAATGGCAATCAAAATTGAAAATTGTTTTTCTTTTCATCTGAATTTCTCATGAAAAGAAAATTGAACAGTTTAAAATTTTCTGTAAATAATAAAAAATATTACAAATGATGAAAAAAGGCAAATTATTAATATTTAAACGTCGATTAACAAAATCAGTTTACGACGTTTCCTCCCACACAAAACAGGAAATAAATTTCTCTTTCTGAAGTTTCTCACGTTTGGAATCTTTTTTAATTAAATAAAAGCAAGACAGTGGCATATTTGAAATCGCATTCACTTGCTTTGTGAAAAATATTCTGACTGAAGTATTGAAGTCAATTTTAAATGACATTTTCTCACTTCTCCTGTGTGTGGCGGCTTCTTGTGTGATCCAGAAACTATGTCGGCATTTATATTGTAACTTCCCTTTGATCCTTTGTGCTGAGGTTTTTCTTGAATGTCCTTTTATACCTACGATCGATCTCTTGAATCTCTCTTGTCGAAGGCGTGTGTGTATATGCTGTTAAATGACTAGAGAAATAAAAGAAAATTGACAATTTTGTTGTTGTTGTTCGCTAGTCTTTACGACACACCGCAAAATACAAGCCGCTTGAGAAGCATCACGCAATTTCTTCTTTTTCTTCTTCTATTTACTTCTTGTTTATGTCATTTTTCATGTGATTTTTCAACAATTTATTATTTCTATCATTGGTGATGAACGAACAATTTGGATTGTTTATGTTTGTAAGCTTATGATCACAGAGACAAACAATGAACTGCAAATACTTAGTACAAGTGAGTGAAGTTAACCGACAACAAATTTGTGTGAGAAAAGTGATTTCTGATAAACATTTTAAGATTTTAAACTAAGGTCATGATTTTCAATTTCCTAGAAGACGAGAACAGTTTAGATCCCTTAATTCTGTTTGACATAAAAATTGATCCAATTTCCCGATACAACAACGTAAAGAAATTTTACGACTTTTTTTCCTTCGTTTTTTTGTCACTCATAAATCTGTGAACTTTATGACTCGAAATGATTAACTTTTCTTCCCCTTCAGCCTTTACAAACGTCACCGATCGTTGTCAAAATGAATCTCTTTTTTTCCGCCCACAAAATTCCCTTTTCAAACAAATGCCGACATATGAGAAACTGCTCGTCACATGTTTGTCTTAACCGCAATTAATATTTAAATGAGAAATGATCCTTTACAAAGGCTCTTCCTTGTTTTTCTTTTCAAAGCTACACTTGCAAGGACCACCGCAGATTCTTTGTTCATTTCCATATTTGTCGAATTTTTCTTTGAGAATTTCTTTTCGGCATTTGTTTTGACAACAACGACAAAAGGATTGTTTTTGTTATACAATTGCATAAAAATAGTCAATGAAAGGTAACAACTAGCAAAATAAAGCTGAATCGTCTTTCACTTAACAATAGATTCATTCAAGAAAGAAATATTTTACCAAAGCTGAAATCTTCTTATCGTTCATTGCTGACTTTTGTTTTCAACAGCAGTTTACTCTGAGAAGGATGTACAAGCAGTCACAAAACTTTTCCAAAACTTTTTCCTGTTGTTGAAACTTCCGGTACAAAATGATTCGGAAGAACAAAATAAAAAAGCATTCGACATGCGCTAGTAAAGCAAAGATTCATTGAGCACATGCCAAAAGAAGAAAAAGTAATTGTAATGGAATGAATATCAAAATTTTAAATAACTTTAATAATAAAATTTGATTTGAGAAGTGGAATTTTTGAAGATAATTCTTAAATTGCGCGAAAATTCCCCAATGAATTGCTTTATTGACGTTTAATGATAACAATAAAATAGCAACAATTGTCCATTGGATAATTTAATCATCGTGACTCGTTTCCGATAAGAAAATAAATTTGAACACAATTATCAGATAAAAAGCATTCAATAAATCTCATCGGAAATTGCTTTTTATCGCATTACGCAAACAAAGTTGAATTTTAAATGAATCGAGCGAAAGAACATTTTAGAATGCGAAGGAATTTATAATTCAGTGCTACAATAAATTTAAGAAAATTTCCGTTCGCTTAGAGGGAAAGAAAGAAAAGCCAATATTTATGGTTCTGTACTATGTTCTGATACTTCTTCCATTTTTTCCCTCACACCAAGTGTGAAAATTTATAAATAAAATTTTATTGTTTTTCTCTCGCCTCATATTTATTGGCTTTTACATTCTCCTCGACTGTTTGGTTTTATGTATTTATGCAAACGATTTGTAAGTGATGTAGCTTATAAATCTCTATAATCTGTGACTCATACTTTAATCTTCCTGCATCTATTACACCTGCTTGCACCTCTCCTTCATTGAATAACTTCATATTCGTGCGAATATCGTCAGTGAGAGGAATAGTGAGAAATTTACATTTTGTCGTTTATATTTTAATTTAAGTGCCATTCAATTTTTATAACCAATTATTACTGCTTCAAGCTTTGAAAAGATGTTATTCAATGAATATTAGTTTTTGAACTTGCAGGTATTAAATTTCATCATCAAATGCTATTCTCTCACTACTTAGGCAAATATCTTTGTCTGTAAAACTAATTTCAATATTTTGTTCACGTAATCTTCAAATAGAGCTTTTAACGTCAGACTTTATGTCTTACTCTATATCAACGTGTGAATTGTTTTAACACTGTAGAGTCGCAACATGCTGTCGCATTATCCAAAGCGAAAGCTTCCATGAAAAGCTCTTCTCATATGGCTTTTGCTTATTTGTTAAAGTAAGGTGAAATGTAAGAGATAGCAATTTTGAAGGGAGGATGAAAATATCTTTAAAATTGTGAAAACAGCTTGGAAAATGACAAGTTGTAAAATAATTTAATAATAATTTATTAAGCAGCTTTCATGGATCTCTCTTATTTTAATTCTCTCATTTCCCTTTGTCTTTAAATCTTTAATAGAAATTATGCTTCATGTTGAAGCAAAATTGAAAAAGTTGAACAAAAAAATCAGGTTAAAAAAGTTTAGACGAAGATTGAAAAGTTTATGTTTCTTAATTCATCAGCTTTTGCATTAAAATTTTGTTTTCATGATATTATGTAACGGAAAAGTTATAATAATACATAAAATAAAAAAAAAAATGGAGGAAGTTAGCATGGATAATAAAACATATTTACGTAAACAAGTAGAAGCAGGTCAGGTTGAGAACATAATTTCATTTTATGTTACAGTTTTGTTGCTATAAATGACGTTCGTTGGTAAAAAAAAACCCTTCAACGAAGTTTATCATGTTGAGACCCACTCAACGATACTACAAATTTGATTCTATTTTGAATATTGCGTAAAGAAAAAAGTAATAAAATTTCAGCGAATTTTTCTTTATCTTTATTTCTATTGCGAAAAGTCACGACGGCTCGTTTTCCCTTCGAACATCAAGCGAAAGTTTTCCTAACCCAAAAAGCATCACTGTTCTTTGGGTAAATCAATTCACAGAAGGCTTGTTCTCTAAGGAAATTATCTGGTTTTTTAAAGTATATTTTCGCATCCCTTTTTCAAATTTAAATATATATTCTATCTCAGATTGTGATTCCGAGATAGCTCAAGAGGAAAATATAGAGAAAAACTCTATGTGAGCATATATTTCTACATAAATATATACGACTTTGAGTTCAACAACAATTCTGAGGTTTGGTTTTCTTGTTTGCGGTTGAGTAAACGGTGTGGCAACTAAAGAGGTTGATTTTGATACAGGATATTATTTTATTTTCTATTCTAGATGCTTTCAATGGGAAAATATTTCTTATTAAAGTTGAACAGTTAATTTCCTGATAAACTTGTGCTTCCAAAAGCTTTCCCTTTTCAAGCATGTATAACATATTTTCCTTTCTCACTGATTGCGTGATGGCTGCGAGCATGAATTTGACGATATCTCATTGATTTCATTTCAAAAGTATTGATATTTACTTTCTCTTTTATTTCTAACATTTTTCAAGATTTTATTTAAAAAAAGCTTTCATATTGCATAACTATCAGGCGAAGGTTTTATAAATTTTGCCCCTTATAGTTATGTAATGTGAAAAGTTTTTATTTAATACATAACACGACATCATTTCGCTTATGAAATCTACCAATGTCAAAAAGTCATGTCAAAATGTCACTTCAGCCATAACTATGACTTTGATGACTATAAATACTTTGATAGTACTTAGAAACGCTGGAAGCTCTTGGCAACGCTAAGTACTCCATTTCCATCCTGAACATTTTTATTTTTGGAATCTGTTATAACTTAAATTCACTTAAAGCTTCTGCTTTTCTTCATCTCTTCTTTCTCGAAAAATTTTCTCATATTTTCAAAGTCGATAAGTATCAAAATTGCTTGAAAACGCGTGTATAATCACATTAAAATAATGGAAACAGCAGCGCTGAAATATCGAAATTCTAAAGCTCCAAAGATTTGAGTGCTTTTATCAGATAATTTCATGATGTATTGTTCATTCTTAAGCCAAAGTAAACTTCATTGAGATAACTTAGGATTGATGGAGTATAAAACACTAATATTTCAATTTATGATAGAAGAGAATGAAAGGAGGGAATAAATTTAATATCTAAATTGAATAAAGAAAGAAGAAGAAAAATCCATATCACATCTTACGGTACACTGATTTTGCAAAGCATTTTATTCTTGTTGCTTTAACTCTTTGTATTGCTTTAACGAAATAAATTTATTTACAAATAAGATTTCAGATGTATATTGGAACACATCAAGACGATTATGTTTCTTAAAATGATAGAGTTGAATACTTTTTGTAAATATCTAAGAAGACTTAGGTCTAAAGAAGAGTTCAGCTCTTACTTGTACAAAATTGAATTCAAAAATAAATAATAATAATAATAATCTGAAAGAAATTTGAAGAGAAATACAAAGTTTTCGTTCATAAAAATAATTATCTAATACATCCTTTTTACTATTTAATATTAAGATTGAAAAATTAACATAATTTTTGTTTACTTAAGCTTCATTCTATCTTCATGTGAATAAATAAATTACATTTACATCAACTTGATACCCTGACTGCGAAAAGAACATCTTTTTCTGTAGTTTAAATACTTCAAACAAAAATCTTTTCATTCATTTTTTGTCACCACATTTCAACAGATGCGGATTCATTCTACAATTGTTTAATAAACATTAAAACTTTTCTTAGTTTAGAAGGAATCCAAATCTAGATTATCAGAATGCTTGTTTCCCTTAAATAAGTTCTAAAATTTTCCTAAATTAACATGCCAATCTAGATTTGGGTTTCATTATTCCCGCAGTCATTTTCTTAAATTTCAATTCCTGAAATAACAAAAACATAAAACGAAACAAAAAATAATAAATTCCACTACAACTTTCCAGTTCACAATTTTTTTTTTCATTTTTTTTTGGTATCGCGGTCGATCCCTTTTCTCTACACCATTGTTACAGAAATTTTCTTTTCTACTAAGAGAAAAGCCATTCAAATCACTTTGAAACCCTTTTCCCTCCATTCACAACGAGAAAATGTTTAAATATTTTCAAACGAGATTCTCCTTTTAGAAAGCCACGAAAAATTTCTTTGTCGATAAATTCATAAAACAGGAAAAGATAAATAAATTAATTAATTTCATCTAAGTTATTGTCTTCGATCTTTTTCAATTTACAAAATTCGCTTCATTTTAAAACATTTTCTCTTGCAATAATTCACGTTAATACGACAACTCTTTCCGTTTGACGGCACTCCTTCATCACTTCATCTCGTCTACATCAATTCTCCGATGTAATCTGACGATTGATCGCTTTGTTGTACTTGAAACGTCGATCCGCTGAATTCGAAAATCTGTGAGAAAGTGAAAAAGAAAATTCCAATTGAAAATTTAAGACATAAAATAAGCGAGAAAGAATGTTCGTGAATGTCATCACTTCTTTAAGCACTTATAATGTCATCATCACAAATTGAAACTCAAGAAAGTTTACGAAAGAAGAAATCTTTAGTTTGACAATTTCAATTCATTGAATCTTTTGTTTTCAAAATGAGTTGTTATCGTTGAAAATGTTCAACTAGGAAAACTTTTTTGTGATGTTAATAATCGATGTTGCTGAATCAAATTATCTGATAAGAAATCAAATCAACTCACTGGTGGTGCCCGAGGAGAGCTTCTCAACGTCTGATAATCGGCGTCAATTAAATTAACAGTATTGTTGGTGCTTCTACTATTATTGGCAGTTGAACTGCTGTTGTTATTGGAATAATTAATTGGCTGTATCGTTGCATAATTATTGTCTAAATCCCCTCCAGCATCGCTGCTTCCAAACCCACCAAACGAATCTATGAGAAGAGGCGCTGGCGGTGTTTCCATCCCTAAAAGGTTCTGCGTAATTGAGTTTTGTTGTCGAAGTGATGAATTGTCAGGCGGAAGTTGAAATTCACTTGGCTCAGCAAAAATTTTCATTGTCAGTTCTTGTTCTTCATAAATTTTAAGTTTTCTATATTTAAGGAAGAAGAAAGAAAGTTTTCCGAGAAAAGAAAAATGGAAAATGCATTTACAATGGCAATTCATTTGAATGTACATCTGCTGCAAACTTACTGTTCAATCCATAAAGGATTTTCTGTCGTATTCAAGTCTTCAATAATTTGCTTCTTTATCAGAGCATCCTTCCGTCTCGTCTCTGTTGGAATCGAAATTACCCAGTTCTTAAGGCAACAACAAAGAACTATGAAGCTTATCGCACCAACAAATAGTACAATAAGGAGAGCAATAATAGCTGCTAAAGCAATATCGAACTCCTCTTGAAAGCTCACAGAATAAGCTGGTATAACGTTCTCAATAGCGAAACCCTGCGAAAGTTAAATGGAAAAATATTTCTTTTTAAATCGAAAATCAATTATCGACGTTTGAGTCTACTCACGCTATAATAATCCTTTAGAAAATCATATTTTGAATCGATTTCATTGAGAATGTCAAATACCGGAACAATGTTTTTGGTTTTTGGATCGACAGCATGAAAGAATAAATCAGTCCAGTCCATTCGTATTCTTCCAACGCCATCAACATGATATCGAATGTCATCAATAATGATGTGCTTTTTAGTGACATTTGTCAGCTCAATCATGATTTCATCACGTTCATTTTGCACTTCCGATGGTGATCGTGATAGAATTACGCGTACCAATTGTTCAGGCTCATAAATCCAAATCTGCATCAACGAAAATGTTTCGACATGATAAATTATATTCAAATGAATTTTCATGATGAAATTTATTAGCAAGCAAATCATGAATTTCCTCTAACAATAACATGAAAATGCGTGCATAATTTTCATATTTATAAGCAAAATGATTTCATAAAGGAAGTGAAATTTTATTCACATTTTACATGAACACGATCGAACGAATGATAATTTTGTGTAGCTTAAATGCATAAGAAGAAATTTCATTAATCAATTCTTAATTAAAGACAAAATATTTCATTCCTCTCTTGAATGTCAAATTAAAATTTTCAATCATTTTGTGTCATTACATCTACAACAAATTATGAATGTTTTTGCAAATTTACATTAAATGAACATTTTAAAAATTCTGTTTATGCTGAGATGAAATTTAAAGACGATATCAGGATTAGATTAAGATCAGGATTTAAATCGAGATTAAGGATATTCAGATCAAGATTAATTATTTAATCTGATCTAACGTTAGACTTGAAAAATTATAATAAATTAAATCAAAGGCAACATCCTTTCACGCTTCTTTAATTTTTCACATACAAATCAAATTCCGTCATAAATTTTCATTAATATTGAATAATGAAATTTCTCCTCGAATCAACTTAACATGAAAGATGAAAATAAATAAATAAAAGAAATTTAACTTACGTAAACTTTAGCTGTTGTCGTCCTTTCAGGTGACTGAGTTTCTTTAGCTTGAATCTCAAGTTCGAATCTATCTTGATTATATTCAGCCATGAAAGCATTTGTTGTCAAACGCCCATCTTGTGAAATCGCTTCATGAATGAAATAAAAATAAGAAATTAGCATACATTGAGTGAAACGAGGGTTGAAAAACAAAAGAGAAACCATGAAACAATAAAGGAAAAAGTATATAAAAAGATTAAAAGTGGTGGAAATACGAACCGAATGGAGAGTTTGCAAGTGAACCTGTTGAACGAGTCGCTCCGTATTTATACAAGTACGACGCTGTAATTAGCAATTCTATTGTGGCATTCACTCCAAAATCCTTATCTGTTGCATTTATCAAAGCAATTAGTTCATTCATTCCCGACTTCTTACTTACTCCCGCATAATAACTCTGACAATAACGACGAATGAAAAGATAGAGAAAGAATTATTGTGAAAATTTTTCTTTTCCTTTCATTTATTATTATTATTCTTACATCTTGACTGAATTCTGGCGCATTGTCGTTCTCATCTAACACAGAGATCCAAACTTTTGCTATTGTGCTATTTCTTTCAAGACTTTCCATTGATAAAAACATGAGTTCGCTCTCGCTGATGTGCAAATCCGACTTCTTACTGGCAAGAATGTAAAGTGCATACATATCGACAGTTTCACGGTCTAGCGACTTGTTAGTGAACACATCACCACTAGTCTTGTCGATGTAGAAAGCTCCTTCCTCGTTGCCTAATAAGATATAGTAGAAAATTGCATGGTGGTTCTCTCTCTCACGACCTGATTCGTGAACCAACGCTTGAATCTTGCCAATGCGAACATCACGTTCACCATTTTCCGTAACAGAAAATTTATATGGATTGCTAGCGTCCGGAAATTCTGGGTTCCCCTCATTGTTATCAACAAGAAGAATGGTTAAAAATCTCAATTGCTCGAAATTTGTTGGCACGCCATGATCCCGTGCGACAAGAATTATCTCATAACGTGACTTCTTCTTTCGATCGAGTTTCTGTTTCAATCTCAACTCGCCATTCATTTCATTGATTTCGAATGTTTCTGTTTCCGGCACGTTTTCGTTATTTACTTGTAAATGATATGAAATTTTACCATTTTCTCCGCTATCACTGTCATTGGCTTTTACCGTCAATACAAGATAGTCTTTGACAGCGAGATGTTCTTGAATCTCAACCGTTGCGTTTGACAATGCTGGCATAATGAATACGGGCCGATGTTGATTGACTTCAATGACATCAATAACAATTTCAGTTGTTGCAGTGTGTGGACCGAAGCCAATCCCATCACGAGCTTCAACTTTCAAGATGTATTGCCCTTTTCGACCTATCAACGAAGTTGCTGGATATAAAATTCCAGAATTTGCATCAAGTTTGAAAGAGTTGTCAACGTTTCCAGACAGAATCGAATATTTGACAGTTCCAGCTTCATCTTGATCTTTGTCATCTGCTTGAACTTGTAGAATTGTTGCTGGTGGATTGAGTGACAAGTTTTCAGCAATACTTGCGTAATAACTTTTTTGTCTAAACTCTGGCAAATTATCATTCACATCCCAAATCTTCACAACCACATTTGTCGTTGTCGAACGACGTCCTTCAATCGGCAAGCCTTGATCTGTAGCAACAGCAGACAAAACAATCTCTGAATGCTTCTCTCTGTCCAATTCTGTTGAATCAGCAACGAAAATCTCGCCACTCTTTTCATCGATTTCAAAATATTGACTCTGTTCTCCCAATAATGAATATTTAATCGTTCCGAAATCACCTGCGATGATGTGACGATAAAATGTTCGTAGAAGGGAAAAGGAAAATAAAAGTTAGATAATTGATTACAAGCTTTTAAATTTAAGTGAATATTGTTGTACTGGATGGTGGGATGGAAAATTTTCTCATATGGAGAAGTGATTTCTCTGGAATGAATTTAAAAAACAAAATTTTAATAACTAGAATAGGAATTCTTCCTAAAGCCTCTCTGACTCTCTGAATATCAAAAACAGAAACCAATCCATACCATCATCGGTTTGTTTTAAAAGCTTCGTAACACATTATTCTCCACATGTGTAACTCAGTGTACATTAAGTATTAAATTGCTTTCATTCGAGCATGAAACAAAGAGGAGCTTCCAAAAGTGCACTTAAAACAAACGTAATAACAGTTAATTACCTTCATCTGCATCATGTGCATAGACAGAGCCAATCGACGTTCGCTTTATGGCATTCTCATTAACATTTAAATTATACTCGGTCTCGTTGAATTGTGGTGCGTTATCGTTAATATTAATAATTTTCACGTAAATTTGAGCTGATGATGTTAATTGTGGGATGCCCGTATCCGTTACGGTGACGTTGAATTTTATCATCTTAACTGTCTCGTAATCGATTCGTGATTTGGTGCGAATAACGCCTGGAATCGAGAGGGAAATTGGAACATTAAGGGAATGAATATTTATAGAAGTTACGTGACGCTGCTTTAGGGGCTTGCTACGAAGCCATCGCAACTTAAAAAGGTCAAAAAATTACGGACATCATGAGAATCATTGTCGTTAAAATGCTAAACATCTGCTTCATCTCATGACGATGCTCATCGAGCACATGCTAATTGGATCATTTACCCTCCACCCTCAATTTACAATCGGCATTTATTTACAACTGCTAATTGTTGTGGGTGGAAGGTTGCTGAGAGAATGAAAAACAAATTTATGGATACGCGGTTGAGTGTTTAAATTAATGGCAGAATAAAAGGATTTTTTGCATTTGCTTTAGCTGTTATGAAAGCGAATAAAATATTTATAAAACATATGAACATGTCTACAAAACTCACCAGTGACGTTATTGATCTCAAAATATTCACTTCCGTTATCACCATCAGAACCATTAATTAATTTATATTCAGATATTGTTGAATCGGCATCTGTTGCATGCAACGTTGTTAAAATTGTTTTGAGCGGTTGTTCCTCCATAAATTCAAATTCGTACTTTGGTGAATTGATTGACCACGGCGATTGGAAAATCTGTTGAAGAAAGAATTATAATATTTAATTCACTTGAAATTTCAGAGACGAATTGAATTTATGTTGAATTAAGAATCAACAGATAAATGTGACAAATGATTAAATTGCATTATGGAAATCAAACAATGAGAATCGTGTTTGATTCAAAACGAAGAAAAGTTCAAAAGTGAAATCTATCAGATTGTGTGTCATCAAGATTCAAAAGTTGATCGAGGTTTCAATAATCGTTTAACATTATCACGATGACTGAATTTAAATCAGCTTTCGATTTCTCCTTTCCAATTTATCCTTTTAAATATCACCAGCAAAGCGACAGCCTTTTTTGAATGCTTTTAAATAAAAATGTTGGCGACTGTCCCGATAACATTAATTGAGTTTTTACCCCAATCTCCTCCTCCCAATAAAATCACCCTCAATGTGCTGCCGCGAGCAACGTTTTTCTATCTCTTATCTCTCATTTTTAATTGAATGAATTGCTTCCTTCCTTTTCTCTTTATCCCAAATCTAATGCGGATACAATTTCAATGTTTTCCCTCCCCAACTCTACAGCTTTTCTGTAACAAAAAAAGCTCGGAAAAACAGATTGGAAGAAATAAACAAAATTAGACAAACACAAAAAAGAATTTCTTTATCATCATTGCACAGCAAATTCATTGGTTCCTGAAAAATTTTTAATTAAACTTGTACACACAAATACGTCACGAACATCTAGCCGAGATGGGGTCATGAAACAAAAAACAAAAAGAAGGAAATGTCGCTGAAGGCATCGAAATATTTTAATTTTATCAGGTGACACGACAGATTCATGATCATTTGGGTTATCAGCTTCATCGGGATTTTTAAAATTCTATGCTTTTTTTATTCTCCCTCATCGGTATTGTACAATCAAGACGAGGGATGAGATTGTTGGAACAAGAAACTTTTCATCTCTTCCATCTCTCTTCCATCAGGTAGAATGAGACACGAGTTTATGGTTCGAATTCTTCACAAAAAAATATCTTTCCCTAGTTTAATCTGCCTTAATTTAATTCTGTCATCGTTCACAAAAGTTTCGTTTTTTTTCTTCCATATTAAAGATGAAACTTTCCGAGAAAGTTTTGGGTCAAAATTTAAAACAAGAAAACGAATGGAAGGGAAAAGTTTTTTTCTAATGTTCAACTACTGCTTGTATAGTAAAGAACTTTGATATTTAAGTCGTTCAAGGAAGTTTGAAAAGTTTTCTGATTGTCAGCAATCAATCAAAATAGTTCCTAAGCAATGTGAAAGATAATTTAATCAAAAGTCGAGGCAAACAATTGTTCAGCAAGTTTCTAAAGGAACTTAAGAACTTTAAAGAGTTGAAATTGTGAAGAGCTTTAAATTTAATAAGCACGATATCAAAATCAAATATTTTATAAATTGACAGCATTCTAAGAAAGCGAGAGACAAATTTTAGTTTTTGTTTGATCGAAGAAGGCTTCACAAATAAATATGAAAAGGGAAAAGTTTCAAAAATTCCTTCAACTTTCTTCTTTGAAAAATAATTAAATTTGAAAGTTGTGTGAAAAGGAACATTTTCAGAGTGTAATTTATGGCACCATTGAAAGAAGGGAGGAAAAAATGATCAGGAAGCGAAAGAGAACGTATTCATATTCATAAAGAACATGTTTATCCATCTTGAAAATGATTTATGTCACAGAATCTTTATATATGTACATTTATTTAATTTATGTCAAGACGCTTCACAACTTTCAGCTTAAGTGAGCAGAGCTAGCGTCTTGCATTTTCCCACAACCCCTAATGGTGTTAACAGTACGACGGTATCTCTGGAAAGTTAAACTCTTTTCCTTAATATCTCACTACATACTTTGTTCTAAATTTATTTTGTTCGCTTTCCCGCATGAATTAAGTGCAATTTGTAGTTATTCCTTTCTTGAAACTAAACTGAAAACGGGAAGGAAAACGAGAAATTTTCTTCCTCGTTTTTCTCTTTTCCTTTGTGAAATCACCGGAAAAAAACAATTGAAATAAATGTTAAGGAGTTCAAGTAATTTTTATTTCCTTTCCTTCTTCAAAATCTTCTTCACTTCTTGAAACTATTTAATCTTCGAAGATTGTTTTCATGATGCAACGAGAATTTATGAAGAAATGATTTTCATGAAGTTTAAGACTTAATATTACGATTGCATCTCGACTCGAGGAGAATTAATTTAGAAATGAAAAGAGTTATAAATTGCAATTCATTATTTATCGATTTCGCAATTTATCTTGACTCAAGATTATTTATATGACAGCAAGAAAGTTCACAACTCAATTTGCGAGGACGTTTCTATTGTAATCAAGAAACATTGAGATAATCTGAGAAGCTCGAAACTAGAGAACACAGAACAGACTGAAGTCGTAATTGAATTTTAGTGAAATGGTTTTAGAGAAAACTCGAGAGTGAAAAATAAACTGAAAATGTCGTTCGTATGCGTCTTCAATTCCTTAATGATGTTTATTTCTTGAGTAATTTCTTCTTTTCGTCTTTCCAAATTACCGCCATTCTCTCGTTTACTTTGCAACTTTTTCTGCCTTTCCTTTGCTTTGCTTTACGACTGAACGTGATGAAAATTCACAATATTCAATCAGAGTTACCAAACAATAAGTTTTCATTACTTTAAGCTTTTTTAATTAAAATGAGTGAAAGAAAGAAAAATAATAAATGAGGAAATGAAAGTTGAGTTCTACAAGCCCTTCCCGTCACAAGACTTTCTGCTTGTTTAAAAGTATAAGCTTTAAATCAGATTGTATGAACGAACTTCTCCTTTAAATGTAGACCAACATTTGCCAAATATTTAATTGTAGTTGTTTCCACTCGAAATCCCTGCATTCAAACTCTTCGTAAAATCATACAAGTATTTAATTTTAATTATTTTTACTGTTTCAAATTGAAAATAAAATTGTTGATAGCTTCGTTCTTATGAACATGCATTCATTTATTTTGTAAGGCAAATCGTTTATAAATTATTTATTAAAAAACTTTATCCCTGAGAGACTTTGCAGCTGAACAGAGTATGAAAAATAAATTAATTAAATTTTCCATAGATGTGAAGTAGTTTCAGTGAAACTTAAGAACTTCTAAGAAGTGAATCAAGTTGATTATTCTTCCATTTCTTGGAAAAATAATCAGAATCCTTCTTTGAAATGTTCTATTAAAGCAATTCGTCAACTCATTACTGGAGAAAGGCAACTTTCATTATTTTAAAAGCTTTTCACTTGCGATTCACAATAAATTCTGATTATAAAGTATATTTCTATCAGATGATTTAATCTCAAGTCAAACATAGATTAAGTTCTATTTGTGTGCAACTTTCAAGAAATTTCTTAAGTATCAAAGTTTTAAGTTTATTTAAAGTGCTACACAAGCAACAAACTATCGTGTTCTGGTAAATAAAAAGGAAAAGCGGAGAAAGAAAACTCAATAAAATCTATTGAAAGAAACGGTATCAAGAAAAATCTTATTTTCAACTTTTTTTCTCATTGTAGATGGTTTTGAGATGAAATCAAATTCAATTTATGTAAAGTAAACAGGCAGAAATACTTGAAAAATTCAATTTACATTTAACTTAGCATAAATCTTGAGTGTGTACTTTGCTTTTTCTTTCAATATCGAAGAAAAAAAATATATAAATTTATACATCGACTCACTTTATGAAATTCTGTGTAGAAAAGTATGGCAACAAGAAAATAAAACCATTTTGTTTGCGTTTCAATATTCTGTTGAATCTGCAAATGTTCACACGAGAGTTTAGATAATTTTAAACTTTCCACATCTTGAGCTCTATGTGGATGCAAGTGTTGGTTTGTACTACGATCTGTTTGAAGTGTTAATTCAAATCCTTACAAAAAGCTTATTACAAACCACTTTATCCTTTTTCATCTTTTTTCTTCTCCCTTTCACAATGTGAACTCGTAAAAAGTTTTTGCTCAAACATGAAAAGAGGTTTCTTAAACTTTATACTTTAATCTAAGCTATCGTTACATGTTTTCATGTCATACAATGTAAGTAAGAAAATGAGAACAAGTTGATACATACATCAAAATAATAAAAGTTATCATGTGATGTCAATGTGACTCAAAATGTTGTGGTTGCTTCTTTTTTTTGCGCTCGTGCTCAGTTTCTTCTCCACAACCCCAAAAGCCAAAAACATATGTAAACTAAAGCAAAGAAAAAGCAGTGAAGAATTAACCTTTCAACTTTAACGTATTGTTACGCTTAATGTTTATTTATGCGTGCAGTAGATATTAATGAAGGTTACGCATGATAGCCTTGAAGCGCCCACAGCCTTCCATTTCAAGCTGAGTAAATTGAAAATAAAAATGCGATGAAAAACTTTTTTCTCTTCTCTTGAAAATGCCCCAAAATTTTCTCAAAGCGTTTCATTTTTTTCCTCTTCGTCACCATCGTGAGAATGTTGAAGCAATTACATCACATCTTGCGACAACAATGGCTTACGGTTCTTACTCTCCGACTCTTACTAACGTTATCATGCAACTTTTTTTTTCTCCTTTCTATCTTAGACTTTCTTCTTTCGTGTTTTTTTTCTTACGCATTTGTGATAAAAGGAGATCTTTTAACATGACATTTTTTCACAATATCTTTCTTATAGGACTTTATCTTGAAGATGTATCACGAGTGTTGGTAACGAGAGATGATTTATGATGATATTTTGTTGAAGCTACGCTATCATAGGAATTACATCCATCGTTCTATTCTTTTCTGTTTGAGAACTTTCCTTTTTACTTACATACTTATTTGAGTATCTAAACATTCATGTTGTTTATCGAAGGAAAAGTGAAAGTAATATGGGAGAACATCAAAGGAAATTAGAATAAGATTCTTGTTCTCCCATATGTATACATTATCTTGTTAGACTCTTGAAGAATGTGAATAAATTTTGAGAGACGAGTAACAAATAAAATCTCAAACTTTTATGCTTTTGTCGGAAATTCCCATAATATGATTGAAAATGCTTTTAAAATTCTTCAACAATCAAATTTAGAAACCAAGGTAGTAAAGCTTCCAATTATCGTTGAAGTTTATTCACTTAATCTTTTTTGCACAGCCAATTAAAAAACAAAATTAACCGAGAAAACGTGACGCAACATAAGCAGCTATCAAAGCAAGAGAACAGAAAAGAGTTTCATTATTCATAAAAATATATATCCAATGATATTTAATGAAAATTTCGTATGTCTTCGTAGCAACATAATGTCATTCTTTAAGAAGGTTGATATATTCTCAGAGCTTATTATATGTACGTAGTTGAAGATAAATTTTCATTTCATATCTTTACACATTTTAATACATTTTTTTTATTCTGCCTTTTCTTATTCTTTTACTAACTTTACTTTACTTTTTCTTGCTTTTATATGATATGAGAATAATGTTGTTATTAAAGGAAGAAAAGAAAGGATATGACATAAGAGAACAAGGCGAGCCGCCTCCGCCTTCTGTCGAAAAGATTTGATATATTTAAACAGATTTGAAAAGATTCAATGGGAATCCTTCTCGTTTATTATCATTTTTCTCCGTCACAATAAAAAAAAAATTTTTTATTCTCGTCATTGGTGAACAACTGCGAGGAAACGTGGAAGACTCTTCATTGCTTTTTATGGCTGTTTGAGTGATAAATATGACGGCGGATGAAATGAAAGCAGAGAAAGGCTGCCGCGACTGACAATGCCACGACAACTCATCTCTATTATGTTGCATCAATCAAAAGAGACAATGGAATCCCAGCTTTACTCTGAGCCACTTTAATTTATAATAACTTGAGCACTTCTATTAAGAAATTCAACATTCTAACTAATTTGAATATGCAGTAAATTTAAGCTTTCAGCATGTGAAATTGATTGCGACTTTTATTTTCATTCCCTACCTGAAGAAGTCAAGATACACAACGAGAAAAGTTTAAGTTTAAGATGCTTTGTGTAACAATGTAAATACTTAAAAGATCTGAGCTACCTAACGATAACTTTAATATGTAAATATTTAAAGGAAAAAAGAGAAAAACCTTTTTCCTTCACATCTTAATCCGTGCGTTCTTTAGGCTTACTTTCCCTTATTGCTTTTGTCCCAATCTCCCACTCATGATTTTCAATTTTTTTTTAATAAAGGAAAACCTGTTATTTTCCGGTTACCTTAAAGGACATATTTTTTCCTTTCTTCTTTACTTACATTTTTCACCTTTATTTTCCGTTCAAACGACAAAGAAGAAAAAGAAAAATAAGGAAATTGAAAATATAAGAACGAGAGTCTTTATCGACAACAAACTGCTATGTAATGCAATATCACGAAACCCCCACGCAAAGAAAAAAAAAGCTCTGATTTCATTTTGATAGCTAAATTTACAAGCAAACATACTCAAGGCAATTCAGACCCTTGCCAGCCTACGATCCCTCACCAAGAGCACCAATAGGAAAAAAAACAATGAAGTGAAAATGAAACAAAACGAATGAAAAGGAAAGGAGAATAATAAAAAAACTTACCGGAGGCTGTTCATTGATGTCAATTATCGTAATTATCAGAAGCCCTCGACCCTGTTGTAGCACTGGAGCTGTTGTATCAGTTACAAAAACAGTTAATCGTATCACCTGTTAGACGAGAGTTCAACAGAAAAAAAAGGTAGAATTAGGAGAAAGCGTTTCATGTTTCCATTTGTGCGTGTTAAATATTTTGTCTTGGAGACTAAAGTAAAACCGAACAAGAAAATGGAAGATTAATGAACATCCAATAAATATACTGACCGCAAATAAATCACGACGGAGCTTTTTATTGACTGTCACGCTGCCAGTCTTGTCGATCGCAAAATACTCGCCAAACACATTGGACGTTGGAACTTCTTCGCCATCTTCATTCACAGCTGTCGTTAAGTTCTCATTCCATGAAAACTCTAGGAGGTCGACTGATGTGATGTCAGGATCGTTTGCTGTCAACTTATGTACGAATGTGCCAACTTCGGCATCTTCACTGATTTCTGCACGTTGAGTTGTTGGCGTGAAATATGGAGCTTTGTCGTTACTGTTGATAACATTGATTGTCATCGTTGCTGTTCCTGACAAGCTCGGTATGCCCTTATCTGATGCAATAATCTCTAATGTATAGTTTGGACGAACATCATAATCCAATGGCTTCGCTATGGTTATCACACCAGTTCGATTGTCTACGTGGAAATCATTGAAACTTCCGTGCTGAATACGATAAACAATTTCTGCATTTTCGCCAGTATCGAGGTCGGTAGCATTGAGTTCCCCGACTTGAGTTCCTGTTCAGATATTAAAAACAATGATATTGTGATTCATATATACATTCACGGATCAGAGAATATTGACAAAGGCTTTGTTGTCACGAAAAGACACTCCATTGACATTTAATATTGTTTAAATCTTTGTTAAACAAATAAAGCAAGTTCCAGCTTCAAAAAGTTCAATAAAATGTTTCATCGATATTTAATGATTAAGAAATCAATGACGAAGCTTATAAAGCTTAGATGAAGTTATTTATGATGCTATCAATCTCTCTATCTAAATTATACAGCATTAATCCTAAAGTTATTTACCTATTGGGAGATTCTCTTCCAACGATGTGATGTAATGACTTTGACTAAACATTGGTGCATGATTATTGACATCTCTCAAAGTTATATTAACATCACATAATGTCGAAAATAATCCATCCGAAGCCTGTTAATAAATAATAGTGAACGTGATGACATGAATGCTACATTAATTTACTTGATTTATCGAGTTTATATTCAAATTTTTCTTCCTAAGCATGTATCAAGCTTCTTACGAATAAGAAAAGGTAAAAGCGAGACAGATGTCACAAATCCATTCATTTATTTACCTCGACACTGAAAACAATGCTTTCACCATTCAAATGATTGACATCTAAGCTCGTTCCTTTCTTTATGAACAATTGTCCCGTCCGTTTATCAACTTCAAAACTTTGAGAAACGATGTCGTTTCCAATGATTCTGAACATTTTTAAAACAAAAAAGAAAGAATGAAAAGGAAATTTTATTAGAAGTGAAAAATACTTTCGTTATAGAAGGGTTTAAGTTAAACTTACTGATAGGTAATTTCCGATAAAACATCATCGTCTCTGGCTTTGATGGTTAATCCTGAACCATCGAATGATGTCGCTCCTTCATCTAACGTTGCACGGTAGATTGAGCTTTCACACTTTGGTGGTGAGTCATTTGCATCAATGACAGAAATTCTCAACGACGTTACCGACATCTGGCCTTTGCCTTCATTATCGATAGCTCGATAGTTGAGATAATAATCAGTTTGGGTTTCATAGTCAAGACAAGGATACTTTCCAATACGTGGACTATCATTCTTTGTCGATTCACTCTCATCTTGTGTTTCAACTTGATATGTGATGTAATCACTCGCTTCTGTCGTATGATGGTCAACATTGATGTTTAAAATGCCAAACTCTCCGGGATTTGTAACATTGACACGTTTGATATGATTATGATATTCTAGGTCGTTAGTTTGTCGACGTTTTCGTTTGGAACTAACATGTCTCGGACATTCAGCGACTGTTATTGTTCCGGTTAAAGGGTCGACTTTGAACAACTCAGCGTCAGTTCCATTCAACATATATCGAATTCCCTGATCTCCAAAAACACCAGAATCAACATCAGTTGCTGTTATAGCAGTGACAAACTGACCAGGACTTGCAATTTCCGAAACTGTCGCAGTGTACGATTCTTGATCAAATTGCGGAAAATTGTCGTTCACGTCAGTTATTGAAACTGTCAATGTTGCTGTCGATGACAACTTTGGGTTTGTTAATGTTTCTTCAGCATAAATCAGCACAATAAACTTCCGCTGATTCACGTTCTCGTAATCAAGGGAACCATTTGCAACTCGTATGCTGACTTGCGATGTTCCAGTCACTAATTTTGGCTCAATATCAAACACTTCCGACACAATTGAGTCATCAAGACGAAGTAAAAAAACGGAATTTTGTCCAACATCCGGATCATCAACGACGATATTTAAAGGTAATGGAGTGCCCACGGCAGTATTCTCAGGTATTGTGACGAAATATTCTTTCTGATTAAACGTAGGTGGAACGTCATTCACATCACGTATTGTTATCGACACTTTAGTCGTAGTTGAAGCAGAAACATCGTTACTTGGAACGCCATCAACAACTTCTCTCGCTCTTATGATTAACGTAATTATGCCACTTGCTTCCGGCAGTTCTTCCTTGTCTAATGGTTTTGCTGTTCTCAACTCGCCGCTCTTCGAATCAACAAGGAAATAATCCATGGGATTCGACATAATGTCATAAACTATTTTCCTTGGTGCGCCTTTGTCACCGTCTCTTGCTTGAAGCGTTAACACAAGAGTACCAATTGGACTATCTTCACTAATGATTGTAGACAGTGAGCCTTGAAATATTGGGGGAGTGTTTTGTACGTCAACAACTCTCACTTCCATACTCGTTGTTGTGTTAAAAAGTCCATCGGTTGTTAATAAAGGAATGTTAAAAATCATATTTTCATTATAATCTAATTTTTCTTTTAACACTATCGCTGCCTTTAAACGATCTTGGTGACTCTCAAGAACTTTAATTTCAAACTTATTGCAAGCGTCATCGTGTTGACTCTCACCGATGCAAGTCACGTCCAAATTCTCACCGACAGCATCTCGATCGGTAATTAATATTTTATCAAATACGGTTGTACCAATGGCGGCATCCTCGAGGACGATAGTCTCGTATGGCACCTGACATTTCAAATCCAATTAAAATGTACATTTAAATACATGTTCCAGGTTACGAAAAGTGACGATAAAAGAATAAAGAAAAAATGAAAAAGCGACAGAGGGAGAGAGAATGAATTAATTTGAAATTTATCATTCTATTATTAAGCTTTTGTTGTCGCATAGCCACCAGCGGTTCGTTTATGAAGAAATATATCAGTAAATGAATGAACCTGCAAAAAGAGCTTTTGACATTGTTTTGAAATAATCCTCGAGCAAGTTTCATTAATTAAACTTCACTTGAAATTCGTTTGATGCAATTATGTATTTTATTGCGTGTTTATTAAAATGAAATGCTTAATTGGGAAGTTTGAGAGATTGAAAAAATTACAGTGGAAGGTCTTTGAAAGATTTCATTTTAATTTTGGTTCTAGAATTTGTTTTCTTACTTAATTTATGCATTTCATTAAATCTTTTGAAAGAATGTTTTATTCATTGAGGTTGCACTGTATGAGAAATTCGACAAACAAATAATTCCTTGAATTATTAATGTTTAATATATTTAGATGAATTTATGTTCATACTTTGATTGCATTTATAAGGTTGGGAATGAGAGCTTGTTGATGGTGTTGTCAGATTATTTTACAAATTGAACATTGAAGTGAATAAATGTGAACATTAAACTGCTCCCAGATTTAATCAACCCAATTTATGTTTGCCATTTTGTGGCGGCTGAAGCAAATTTATTCATTATGAAGTGAAATAATGATTTGAGTATCTTTCAACATTATTGCACTGATTTTTCATTTAGAACGGTCATTTTATGTCTTTGAATATTCCACGGAATCATTTTAAATGCTATTAAATCAAAAGCTTAATGCATTTGTAATACCGGAGAAGTTGTGAATGACAGGATCATTTTGATACACCCACAATAACCATAAAGAGATTTTACGACGCTTCAAGCCACAAAATGATATCAATTAGGAATAATCCGAAATAATTTAGATCATCATCAAGAAAAAACCCTCATGAAAAGCTTTGAGAGCATGAAAAAAGCACGAACTTTGTGAAAATATCTTCTTCATGCAAATGTTTAAATATTAAAACTGTCATTCCATCATCAGAGTTTGTTTGAAGATAGTTTTACGATCTACTCTGTGTACTATTAATTCAAAGTTATATTTCTTTATAAGTCCCAAAACACCCATGCAAGTTCCATTCATAAATGAATGTGCTTTCTAATTAAAAGTCAAAGCCATACATGCTTTCATGTATCTTGTTTGCTGTTAAGCTTTACATTGTTTTAGACCTGCTGGCGGCATAATCCGAGAACAAATATCACTATCAAACTCACATTTTGAAACTCTGGCGGATTATCATTCTCATCGAGAATAATTATAGTGATTGGCACTTGTACGAAGTTATCGTTTTCGGAGTCACCCGATTCATTAACTTTGTCTTTTATAGATACTAAAAATGATAATGTGTCCTGTGTCTGAAATGAAACCGAAATCAGTTCATTAACTTTTCTTTCTTTCTCGCCTGGATAAATGTCTTCAATTTACCTCTCTATCTAGTTGCTTTGTCAGCTGAACGTCACCTGTTATAGGATTAACTTCAAAGTTTTCTGTACCTATCAGTCCGAAGGTAACATTTCCACCTTCTGGATCGTAACCCTCAAGCGTATAAACTATTGAATGAAGTGGCGTTGTCTCAGAGAGCGCTAAATTATTCATATCCTGTGTGAAAACAGGCGGCAGATTCACATTACCCAATGCTGATGAAAAAAGAAAAAACACGAAATATAAAGAATTGGTACGTGAAAAAAAAAGAAAAATGAGAGAATAAAACATTTTTGAACATAAAATTATGCAACATGAAGAATTTGAAAAGCAGTAAATTTTCATTTTTAAAAGGCATTATCTCATTGCTTCTACACTCTGTTCTCGTTTTGTATTTTCTCGTTGAAATCATAAATTTGTGAAGGTGAAGACATTAATGGTAATTTATTATATTTCGTAAATTTTAAATGTTGAAAATCTCAATGAGATTGCGGTTCTGTTGGCTCTCGTTCTCTTGTCTTAAATTTTTAAAAGCCATTTATGTTAACGCCGCTTATGTGTCATATCTAAAAGTGAATTTACCAGCTTAGCATAATTAAGTGTGGCAAATCTTGAGCGCCCACCTTTTTTATTCAAAAGACGTCAGCAGGTAAGAAGCTTTACTATACTTCTTTTTAACTTAATGTGCCTAAAAGAGAAAAGTATTCAAGAAACTCTACCTCCGGGAAACAAACATTAATGGAGAAGATTTTTATCCACTTTTATTCTTTCATTTCCGTTCTTGGCAAAAAGAAAAAATGGGCAAATAAAAGCCATTAAGTGAATCTCAAGAAGCCTTTGAAAGTAAGACTCTTTATTGCAGTTACATGTTTACAACTTCTTTTTCCCCTCTTTAATTCGAGAGATTAGATAGAAGTGAGTAAAATTGCACTGCAATATCAATTTCATACCAAAAATCTTTTAAAAGATAAAAAAAAATGGGGAGATTTTCTTTTGATTTATAGAAATACGTAGATAACTACTTTGAAAGTGTAGAAAGTCAAACCCATCAGGATATATTTAGTAAAGAAAAACTTTAATTGGCTTTAATACTTTACGCTTAGAACAATTTCACTTTTAAATCATCCTCTTACCGCTGCTTTTGCCTTTTAGCACTTCGAACAAGTGCGCACATAAATCTGGAAATTTATTTCCAACATATGTGCTATTGTACAAAAACGTTACATATCTAGCACAACATATTTATCACGAAGCTTTGTACATATTCGTATATATTGTATCTAGATCTTATTCTGCGATAAGAGCACCAACAAACAAAGCATTTCGAAAGTTTCAATTCTATTAAGATAACAAAGCAAAAAGGAAAATCGAAATATAAAATTCTCTCAAATGTAAATTTTAAATCAATTTCAAATGTTGCTTTGTTTCTTTCTATTTTCATTTTCTGTATGTTTATAGTTATACAAATAAAATTTGAGACCATAAAAATGATGTTTTCGAGTACTTTTGAGATATTTAATATATTTTTTTTGATGAATGACGTATTGTTGTTGAAAATGTTTTCAAAAATCTAGGTTCATGGTGAAAAACAAGCTGCTTTTCCCATTCAAAAGGCAATGTTTTGAAATAAAACTTTCTAATGTTCTTTCCTCCTTATCTCCAAAGTCATTAAAAATCTAATGTAACCGCAAGCAACCTAAACCTCTTTGCATTTCAGCTTAACGTGTCAGGATTTTCATGACAACACTTGAAATAATTTTCATTACATTTCAGCTTTTATTTATCATAAGAAGGAAAACAGGTAAGAAAGCTTCCTTCTACTTAGTAGAATCTGAAACTAATTCTTGCCAGAAAATATCTTGATTAAGGACCAAGATGAAAAATCTTACGTCTACCTTTTTAATGACAAGAATAAACATCTCGTTGTTGTTTTCACTCGAAGTCCTTGTTACGCTTGCTTTATTTTCGAACAAGCAGAGAACGGGAATGGAAAATATGTGTTCAGAAGTTATGGCTTCATGTGAAAATTATGTCAGAAATGTACATAAGAATCGATCTAAGGTATTTCTTTTTATAACATAACAAGATAGATAGTGACTGAGATGTTAGAAATTGTAACTTCGTTAACATAATATTTTACTTACAATTCTTGATGGCAAATAAAGCAGTCAGCAATAAAAGCAATAAAATTTTCCTGTGTTGAATCATTTTGATGTTGTTTGTTTTGTGTTAAAATTTTTAAAAGCTTCTCTTTCTTTCCTTCTTTCTCTCCCTGTTGGTTTCCTTTTCGATGTCTCCTTGAAGTTGATTGTTCCGTTTTACAACTCAATTACTGTAGCACAACATCAAGCGGTTTGGATTCTCACCACATCAGTGTGTATGTTCTTTGTCTGTTCTTGTCTGTTTGATGCTTCAAAGAACGACGACCCTGGAGATTACAAGAAAGAAACGACACTAAGTAAATAGACAAATTAAATGCAGAATAAATATTTGTCAATTATTTTATACAACGTTCTGCACGCCTTGTTTTATTCACTTATGAATCGGCAAACATGATATGCAAATTGAATTTATTTACATTTTTCTTCATTTCATTCTTTTTTTTGGGGTTTTTGTCACCCCGCCTCAAATAAAATGGAATTAAATAAATGTTTTTCAAAAGCTGATGCTAAATATGTTTGTGCCGCAGAATTTTCCAGGATAACAATAATCCTGTTTAACTTGAAACTTACACAAAAAAAGCTTTTTTCCGAGATGAGCATGCTTCAACTTTGGAAATATTGTGATGAGTATTTAACAACGATGATTTCAAACTCGTTTCAAAAAAAGTTTGTTTAGTATGACAGCAAAATTTAATTTGATCTTTATGTTGTTACTTTAATGAAGAACATTTTAGCGAAAGTTTCTTTTTTGAATTAAATCGGATTACTCAGCAGAAATTACAACACATTTCCTTCAAAGTAAATTTTCATTTTGAAGGGGGAGGAAAAATGCCGCACAAAAATTATTCACTGAATAGTTTCATTATTATTTAAAAATTGTTGGATCAAAGGAATAGCGATTGCTATGAGAAGGAAGCGAAGGGTTAATCGTTTATTTTTATTATTATTATAAAGATGAACAATATTTCTTGTAGGTCGAGATATTTAATTAAACTTAATGGTCTGAATCATCTTATGCCATGGTTACAAATCCTGCTTTCTACCTTGACTGTAATCAAGATTCGTTTGGACAGTTCTAACATTTGTAGTCTAAGCCCGTATCTTCATCTCTACTTTATTTAGAAATGTCTAACCCAATCACAAATCAAAGCATTTTATTCCGTTCCATAAATTAGCTTCTAACGTCAATGTTCCACCGAAAAAAGCTTTGAAAGTTTTCCATTTGAGCAAGCATTCGGACCTTATATCCTTAACTTACTACGTTTACTCCTTAAAGCTTTACAATGATTAACCAACCGAATGATAAACAAAATTTATTTATCGAGACTCTCGTTTCTAAATATCTCTGTGTGTTCACGCGTGTCAGATTTACACAACAATATTATTGACTTTCACGTTGCGATACATTAATTTACAAGATTTTCCTTGCTGGTAAGGTTGTTTGACAGATAACAATAAATCGACTTAGTCGTGTTTTGCTGTGCACAAGCATGTCTCGTGATAATTATGATTAAGCATCAAATAAAATGTACAGAGGGGAATATTAAATATGGTGAACAAATTACAAAATTCGTTACAATTCAATTGATTGATTGATTTCAGTTCCATTCATTTCATCAGGTGAAACGTCGTGCATAATTTAATTACCGATTTATTATCTATTTATAGATCAGTCACTATTGGGTGGTTAAACACGAGATAAGTGAAAACTTTCCACAATACTATGCATAATTCACTTATCGAGTTTGTTTATTGGGATGCCAATTGCATGATCCGAACAGTTTTCTTCATCTTGTCAGTTAAGCACAGTTGAGTGGTAAATTTGTTTTCAAAATGTTTTGAAAGTTTTCTTCTTTTTTTTTCATTCTTAAGTAAAGAGTCGAGCAAGTTTTGATTGAACATTGAATCTGCATCGAATGCTTGATTTTCATCATTACTAAAAAAGCAGAAAAAGAAAATAGATAAGAACGATAATCGGAGAAAACAGGCAAAAGAAACTTTTTTTCCTCCCTCAATGACAATAAGAAACAGAAACAAAAATCTATCGTAGTCTATGATCTTGTCGTTTAAATATTTACATATAGATTGCAAGTTTATTGCGCACCTAAAAATAATAATATTCAGTTTTTCCATGACAAGGGGTGAAATGCCTGTGACATACATCGATCTTTATGTGGAGAAGATCCGTTGTAACATTTGGAAACAGTTTTGAAGGCAAAGTGTTACATTTTGTTGACATCCGCAGAAAATTTCTTTGTTATTAAGGAGAAGGGAAGAAAACTGCTAAAAAAGCAGTTCACTTAGTAAATGTGTTTGTACCTTGAACTCGAGCAATTCCATAGTCAACAAGCAAAGCGATGTCACAAAACAAATTGAAATTTATCGAATGACAGAGAAAGTATGTTCAGAACTCAAGGGGAAAAGCAGTTGAAGCTTCTTTCTAGCAAGTGAAATTAAACAACTCCTCCGTCTTTCTACATTATTTATCAAAGCGTCCTTAAATAACAAGAAAAAGCTTTTTTTAGAGCTTTTTGTGCAGTGGGGGTGGACTTACCTTTCGGAAGATTAAAAAGTGACCCTTCAATATGGAAAAATCTTTCTTGTATTTTTCTTTTTTTTTTCAAACCAGAAGTTTTGTTACCGAAGGCGCTTCAAGTGAATCTAAACATATCAAGGAAATTCACTCAAGTTTCTCTCGTACGTTTACCCACTTATTTATGTATGTTTGTACGTATCTTTCTTTCACCCCTAAGTTGGACTTTCTTTCGCTTCATCAGCGTTGAAAAATGAGATATAAAATGAAAATGCAAACATACAAAATGAAATTGATTTATTTCCTTCTCAATTTCGTAAATTTTACAGGAAATTTATTTTGTTTATTTTTCATTTTTTGAAATCTAATATAGTTGAATAAACACGAGAAAAATTGACAATTTTCTTGAGTCTACTCTTATCATTCAAATTTCAAATGAAAGAAGGAAATGTCATCAAAAGGTTAAAGTGCTCACATATTATTCGAGTATATTGAAAATTGAACTTGATATTATGATTAGAAAATTCTATTTCAAATATTCAGAGCATTAAGCAAATGATTTTCATTCTCAGTCAATGAAATGATGTAAAAACAGAAATAGAATATGCCATCCATTCCAAAGTTATTTATCCAGGCGTCAGCAATCTTAGAACCTGAATAAATTCAAAGCTTTAAATGACTTCACAAATAAAATTTCATATTTATTCTATATATCAATTTTTTATTTCACGGTATTCAAAGAACCCTTCAGAGAACTTTTTTAGTAAAAAAATCTGAGAGCAAACAAGCAAAGTGTAAAAAACTTAATAACATTAAACAGCTCCATAATGAAAAATAATGAGCCATTTGGAATTTTCATTGAAACTTCATCAAAGGAAAGGAAACTGTAAAAAAATTTAATGAGAGCAATCGAGAAAGTTTCAATGGAATCCGAGGGTTGCCAAGGCAGAACACGGATGAAAAAACTTCATGAAATTTACTTCTCATTAAATTTAACAACTGAATTTATTTTATTAATATCTTCTTTTACTTTTTCCATATTTTTCTTTTTTTTGATGCAAATAAGGTAACAAAAAAAATGAAATGTCTTGGAATTAGCTTCATTATTTGACCAAAAAGTCATATTAGATGAGAATGAATTTTTGAATAATTAAAGTCTTCCGAATCGTTAAACATGAGAAAGAAAAGGGAAATAAACATAAATGGGAAGAAATTTTCGCAAAGAAAAGCGGGTAGAAAATTCCTTAATTGTTCGCATATTTTCAGATGGCATTATTCATCTGATCGTGGCAAGAATGGGAAGGAAGGGTAAATTTAATCGATTCTAAGCCTTAACAATTTGACATTGAAACGAAAAGATTTTCATAAAGTAATTAAAGAGAAAATTACCTACTTTGTTCCTTTGGAAATGAAATCAAAACACCTTCAGGCTTTTAAAGTACATAAATAAAGACTTTTCCTTCGCAGAATTGCAAATATTCTAATTCACTTGTTATGAATATCTAAATGTTGAACCAAATAGGTATCAAACATAAAAGTTGGAATCAAAATAATTCGAAAATAATGATTTTTCCGAGAACAAATTAAAAGTCTTATGTTTTTAAAATAGAATTGATAACTAGATGGAAAACTCGCTATTATTTAAGTTAAAATTTAAAGTGAAAATAACAAACACAATTGTTAAGGATATAAAAGATAAAGCTGTTAAATGCAATATTTACATAGGATATTACAAATTGCGTAACCAGTCAACAAGACAAGAAAAATATTTGCGTAAATTGAAAACATATGAAAAAGTTTTCTCTCAAATTTATGCTCACGAGCGGTTTCAATGTTTCACTTCTCTCATTCTCATTTAAACATTGCAATGTTTCGTTGTTTTCCACATAACAATAAAAATCACAATGAAACATTCGCTCTGGCGTTGATGTTTATTTTTCCTTCTTTCTGTGTGCCCGTACGCAATCCTACTAAGTGGAATATATGCTCTTAATTTTATATAAACGAAAGAATATAGATACACAAAAACACAAGAGCCGAATCAAGTGCAATAAATAAGTAAAGTTTTTAATTAATTTTGATTTTGTTTACAGATTTTTCTTAAATTCTCTGGCAGAAAGTTAATGTTATTGCGTCTTTGACTTTATCTGTTTTGTCAAGGAAAACTTTAAGTACAACTGACCGAAAAACTAAAAACTTTGTCTTTTACTTTAACGTCCAGTTCATGGTTAATGTTTCTTAAAGGAGAATTGCACTTGTGGACCAATACAGAGATAGAATAAATGTATGTTAAGAAAACTATCGAAATAAATGTTTGTTAGCTGATTATTTTCTTGATGTTGGTTAGTTTTAACTTTCATGACATAACGGTAATAAAAATTTATCCAATGGTCTTGTTCTCTTCGATTTTCTTGTTTCTTTATAACCTTTGATATTACCAACTTTGGCTTGAAAATTCTTACTAAGATGAAGTTTAATTTCAAAATCGTTTTTAAACTTTCTGATAATAGACATCGAGTGGGGAAAAATTAACTCTAAGTAACTATAAACAATCAATTTATAAATAAATAACTTGACACAACTTCATCAGCTGCTACACGACAATTATTTAATAAACGCTGAGAAAATTAATAACTTTAATTAAGTATGATTATCTCATTCTCAAGCTTTTCGATCTTGAAAGCTTTTCAAATCATTAAATACTGCAAGCTCCCACAAACAAACATTAAACTCTTAAATTTCTTATTTTACGAAAAGAAATCAAGAGAATTAGATTAGAATTTTATTTTCTTTAAGTATGTAAAAGTTTTCTCATCAAAAACACTCATAAACAAAATATAATATGAGAAAATTGAAAATTTCAAGAAAATATATTATTAAAGCAGAAAGCTTCACGAAAACAAATGAGCACTTTAGAAAAGTTTAATAAAAAAAATGTGAGGGCGTAAAGGGATTTGGAAGCAGTCAAATAAGAAATCGAATTGACCAATAAAACTGCTTTTAAATTGCAAAAATTAAAGTAAAAGTTGTAAAGTAATCTTTCCCATTATCTATAAGTTAATTTTCAGTGTTGTTATATCTATTTTTAAAATGTTAAAATTCAACTTCAAGATAATTGTTCGAATCGGTAATTGCCTAAACGTCAATTCACTTGGTCAGATATCTAACCGTGTTATTTTCAATGAAAAATCTTGAAATGGAAATTTCAACATCAAAAAGCAGCAATTACTTCAATAAGATGCTTAATCAACTTTAAAATCAATTTATTTCCAATTAACAAAGACTTGTTCGCTTTCGGAGAAATTGTGTATATTTTTCTTCATTCACAATTTTCTATTTCAAAGCATCATCGTTCAATCTTTTTCAAGGCTGCCAACTTGTTATCAAAAGCTAGACCCTTTTCCCATCGGAAAATCTGAAGAGGTTCTTGTCTTGTGTTGTAATCTGATAAATTTTGGATGTTCAACAATGGTCCCCGACAAAATTCACTCAACTCGTTGTCAAGTGTTCTGAAAGCTTGTCTGCTAAGATAATCTGATTTAATTAGATATCTTGGAAAGTATGAATTCCGAGAATTTAAAATACTGGAGCTTTGTTTGGAGGGGAAGAGATAAATCCATTGGAACTGGAACTCATTTATTCAAGCACAAGTTAAAGGTCAATTAAAACATTTCGAGGAAATTCGCGGCCTTGTCAAATAAATTTCGTTTTACATTTTTTACAAGCGAACACCATCATGACACTTCACAAATGTTATAATCATTTAATATATGTACTGAACAGTCACTACACCATCATGAACATCAAACGAGAGAATTCGAATATCACGTAATAATCATAACAAGAGAATAAAAATATCAGTGCACAGTTGAAAAATTGCTGGGAAAATAACACAAAAAATTTGCATAAACTTTTAATTTATGCTGCAATGTGCCTTGTTATGACAGTTTCAGTGGCATTGTTTGCAATTTTCAATAATTATGAAAAATCTCGGTCGTTTTCGCTCACTTCGGATTCCAGTTTGTGGGCACATGAATTTTAATGTGCCTTTAAAACCATTTTTCGGTTCATGTGTTTGAAAGAACAATGGACGAAGCTGCAAGGTTCATTAAAAAACTGGCCCGAAACATTTCAGCACTTTTTAAAAAATGATTTTTTTATTATGTTTGGTCGGTCGGTCAGTCGGTCCGTGCAGTTTCGTGTTTAATTTCAGCATCGTTTCACAACCAACTCCAATTGTCTCATCGTATCGCATCAATGTGTAGCTCCGAAAAAAAGAAACGAATTAAATTAAATTAATTTTTCTGGTACATGAAACGGGTCAGTGCGGTATCGTGTGAATTTCTATTGTTCATTGAGAGTTGAGAGACAACAAAACAAATGGATATAAATTATTTAACAGAGAACTCCCACGCAAAACCTAAATTCTCATGAGACGTTATATCAAATGCAGTTTTTTGTTTATTTTTGTGCCAAACAAAAACTTGAAGATCGACATTTAATATTTTTTTAGTCAATCTAATGAAATTTCAAAGCGATAGAAGAAGCAGCAGCTGAAAATGTCAAACATCAGCTTACTTGTAAGAAGGTCATTGAAACACTTTTATGTTTTCTTCTTTTGCATTCTGTTTGCTAAATATTTTGTGATACTTATACAACAGCAATGGTCGACAATATTGACACGTAAGACACTAAAGGAGAAAAGAGAGTTGAAGACAAACCCAACAGTTAACTCAAGACATGTTGAATATTACATGCTCTTACTTATTCTTGTTTCTCTTACTTCTTCTTTCTTGCAGCAAATAAATTTATGTGCAATTGAACGAAGGTAGAAAATATTACGCAATTTATTTTGAATAACTTCAAAGCAGAACAGAACCTCGTATTTTAATGATACATTAACATGATAAATTTGCCGAAAACTGAACTTACCGAAGTACATGGAAAGCAATTTATTATTGCTGTCTATATTGCATTAGAATATATCCGTGGAAAAGAAGAACCATTTCATCATCGTATATCTTTTTCGCTCGTTTTATTCCCAAAGATACTCCTTAACTGTATTCCAAGGAAAAAAAAAGCTCACAAGACGTTTATATACAAAGAATTTTTTTTGTATCTTGAGTAAAAACCTCAATTTCGTTTCTTTTTATTATTTTTTACTTTTTTTCTTCTTTGCCGCACTCAAAAGCATTTACATGAGACATCAGAGTGTTTTTCCCTTGCTTACATCAAATGGAAAATAAATTCAAAAAATTCACTTCTTATTCAGAACTACCTTCGTCACCATAAGAAAAATTCTTTTATTTGAAATATTTCTTTCTTCTCAATATTTTTTCTTTCTTTCTTTTTTTTTTCTTGACTTTCAATTCAGATCTTTCTCTTGTATATTTACACAACTTCTTATTTTATTCTATCTCTCCACTGATATATTCTTGTATAATGACTTCTTATTTTTTCCGCTGGTTTTTTTTATATCCACTGCACTTGTGTGTGTTTGAATAATTTTTTCTTCTATACTTCTTCTACATCCGATATATAATTTCTTTCGTGTCTTTTCTTCTTTCACATATGAACAGTTCTCTGTATCACATCATCAATATATTCATCTTTATCTTAATGACCACTTTTTATAACTGCTGAATATTCTTACAACATTACCACTTTACAATCGCATTCAGTTTTATGCCATTGTACAAATACTTAAGTTTTTATCCTTTTCTAATGATTTCGGTTATAATCATGGTTAATGTTTTCAATTAATGGCTTACTTTTAGCAACTTTAATGTTCTCAATTTCCTTCATTCGCACAAAATATAGCACAAATATTATTTTGCATCTGACGAGATTGAAAGAACAACACGAAGTGAAGAGAATCAAATGCTGGAGTTCATTGAAAACATTCATTTGATGTTGCAATGTTTCATATGAAACATTGAGAGCATAAAACATTGGGAGAGAAATTTCCGAGAGAAAAATCACCGGTAAGATGTAAACATGCTTTCTCCATTGTGATAAATACACAAAAAATTTCCTGCTTTAAAAAGAATTTTGTGAACTACAAACGAGAGCTTGGTTCAGGAATTCGCGATGATGATGATAATGTTATATGTAAAATGCTTTGGTAAAATGAGTATTTTTCTTCCGTCAGGTATGCGGAGGGTGATGGAAGCCTCTTCTTTTTAAGAAGATAAAGAAGAAATAGGTAGAAGAACACAGAGAAATGTTCATGCAATTATCGCTCATTAATCAAAAAGTTAATTTCTTCTCTTTGTGCTACTGATTATGATTTTAATCTTGTTTCTTGCGAAAGATGGCAAAGAGATTATAAATTGTTGAGCGTCTGCCAAACTTTCCTTTTACAGCAGTATATGAAAATAAAGACGTTCATTTCATTAGTTGAGAAAGATTCGCCCTCATTCCTTTCAACACAATCTGCTTCAGGATTGTATCTTTTTATGTTAATATCAGTGGAGGAGGAAACATTGAAATTGAGAACTGGGTCAACAGTGAATATTTAAACTTATAGATGTACTTGTAGAGACAATACTTACAGGCGGTTTGTTGTGAAAAGTGATAACGATTCAATTTGATGACAAGCGTTTAAAGCTTCACCAATAATTCATCTTTTTTTCTTTGGGGCGCATGAAACTTTGAACTTTATTTACCCTCAGCAAAAAGGAAACATTTTAATGATTTTGGGTGATTTGCTTTTACAATATAGAATTGCAATTAAAAATTCATTTGCTAAACTTCCCTTTTAATTTTCTTAAAAGCCTTAGAGGACTTCTAGAAATGAAATAAGTTTCAATCTGTTTCCTTCACAGTAATTTTTCCTTAGACATGAAATCAAGAGTAATCTGATACTTAAGCTTTCAACTGCTTCTATATTTTGTTTCTTTCGTCATGGGGCTTTTTATGGTACAATTTAAGTTTTTATGTGTTCAACAACAAACAGCAATCATAGCAAAAGCATAAAAATACGGAAGAAAAATTCTGTTTAAAGTTCATCAAAAAGTATAACCAACAACTCGACATGCTACAATGGAGGTGGAGAAAAATATATAAAAACTTTATAACTTTTTCTCTTAAACTTTCTGCTCTCGCGATGGTATTTAGGAAGCTTAAGAATCATCTTTGCCTGCTTTCAAGCAAAGATGATAGATTTGAACATAAAAAGTTTTTATATGATGTAAGTGTAAACAAGTCTGCTAAAATAAATCAAGAGAGAAAGAAATCTTATTTCTTCCCGCCTTGATACAGTAACATTTAGAGCTCATTCATGCTTAACTCCTTCATCATTTCATGAACATAAATGAGAGAAATCCGAAAGAGTCATAGTCAGACTTTTTGATTTCCTGGCTACATGAATCTAGAAGAATTCATGAATTTTCAATCATCAAACCCGTTTTCTTCTTGCTTTGAGGAGGAAAAAGCAAACATTTCCATTCTTTAAAACGTGAAGCATGACGTAAAGTATATCATGTTCTGTCCTTTCTGAAAACGAATGAATAGAGCTATTAATATTTAATTTTTCGATTTGTTTTATCATCTTCCAGCATAATAGAAATTCACATGCATACCGAGAAAGAAGTTTCGTGTTGAAAAAAAAAAGAAATCTTTAAAGTTTTACATCATGTATCAGTCGTGACTTTGATGTGTAATTGATGTGTTAAACATTTTAATGTGCTTCGGATTATTTATTCGCGAACTGTTTTGAAATTATAATTATAAAACTCTAAGAAACACATTCCAATTAGTAAAAAACATAATTTCTGGTCAAAGTTTTTCTTTCGAAACAAATTAAAATGTAAATGTTAAAGTTCATAGCTATCAACACAAAACTTTTACTTCAAATGAGTAGCAAAGATGTTCTTGAGTTATTCAAAATATTTATGCTTTCTTTTCCATTTAATTGCGTTGATTGGAAATTTTTCAAACTTTATCAGAAATTTTCGAATGAGATGAATCAACAATTCGTGATGAACTGAAGAGGAAGATTAAAAAATATTTCAAATTTTGCTTATCCACTGAAACGTAACGGAATCAATTAAAAGTATGTGTATTGGAACCGATATTGGAGGAAAACTTCGGCTCTGTGCTTTTTAACCGAATTGAATCTTCGAAGCTTTTGAAAAAAGATAAAGAAAAGTTTTACCGATAGAAATTTATATGATAAAGAAAACTTTTCTTAATTTCGAACAGAAGCAAACTTTTAAGATTTTCCTCAAAAAACTTTCTCTTTTTGTTTATATTGAACAAAATACTTTAGTTTCTTAATCTAAGCCAACCACAAAACCTATAAAAGTCAAATTTACCTCCATAAAGCTTTTTATGGTGATAAAATTTTCTTTGCTTTCGAAGAAAAAGTGACGATGGAACATGATTCTAAAAAAACTCCACGGAGAATTTTCAAAATTAAACATTTAGTGGCCCACGAGGACTCATTAATGAGCTCAAGGTCAAAGCAAAAAGGGTTATCAAATTTAATAAAGCGACATAAATCTCTTCTGCAATGGAATGAAAACAAGAAAACAAAAAGCGGGAGGTTGGAAAATATTAAATCGAGCAAACAATTTAAAAAGCACCTCACGGCTATTTTAATGGCGAACTGAATCGTTAATACGAACTGAGAGTGGGTAAGAAGGAAAAAATGGAAATTTATGATATTTCACAATGGGAATTCAGACGCAGAAGAACCAAAGCTAATGCTCGTTATGCTACACAATGTAATCCTATTATTTCATATCATTTCCAAATCGATCTCGAAGCGCTTATCATTCAAGTTTTAATCTGAAAGGGCCGTTTGGTCGAACGAAGGCGGTAATTAATCAGTTTGACGCCATTTATGCTTTATTTGCTTTTGTTTTTTTTACATTCCATGGTTTATGGTTTTTATTATGTATTTTGCTTTAACTTATTTACCCTCTTTCCACCACCTAATCTATTGGGCTGAGATATAAAACAGTGAAAACATCTCCAGAAGGGGGAGAAATTCAACGCGACTCACATGTATGTAGAAAAATAAAAAGAAGATGATGGAGGGAAATGATATATTTTGAGATCAATTAGATACATAAAATTTCTTTTTCGTAAATAATAAAAAATAAAAGAAGGATGAAAGAAAATGCCATAAAAATTCTTTCTACTCAAATTCATCTTTTCACTCGTACACAGCGATGTAAGCTTTCTCGTATTTTTTTTGAACTCACGCTAAAAACCAGATAAGGTGGCACATTATGGGTACATATTCAATAGAAGGAAGAAGAAAACGAAGTTGAAAAAAGGAGAAGACGTTTAAGAGGATAGAGAAAGAAAAACAAGGGTTTATCTGTAGAAATGAAAAATTGCAATAATTTATTTGCCAAGTTTCTTCTACTACATACTCGCTGTCTTTTCCATGATCAGTGGCGTGTAAACAATAAGTCTGTAGTGATTGTAAATGAATTGCACAAGTATATAAATTCACGCCACTGTTACCAATATTCGATGTGAAAACGGAATAGAAAAGTCGAGAAAAAATGTTGAAAACTGTGAAGCGGAATAGGAGACAAACATCACCATCATCATCCTCTGTTTGAAAAAGAAAGAAAAAAAATATAGATATAGCTTACATCATGTAAGACGGAATTTCGGGATACTTTGTTCAAACCGTTTTGTTTGTGCTTGTGCATGTAAGGACTTAATTCCTTACAGTGACATAAAAGATTGCTTCGCTCTTCCGAATAAACATTTTTCATTATGTAATGTTATCATGAGGGGAAGACTGAAAAGGTTCATTCTTGTTGACACTCATGAATATTTACTTTTCATTAAGATTGTTAAAAATCTGAGATAGGAATGCATTAAACGAATTAAATTAACAAATCAAACGATCACATTACAATAGGAATAACTGGGAACGTTATGTGATAATTTTACAACCTAAAATGTTTGCTTTCAAATCACAGGAAAAATCTCAGAAAATGTCTTGTCATGTTAGGCTCCTTATACTTTTATGCTTTTAACTGTTCACCATTTATTTTCATTGCAACACCCTCACAAGAACAGAAGTTGAAATAGAAAAAATAACATAGAAAGTGAAAGGACATTTGTAAGTTGTGTGAGGCAAGTATTTATAGTATCCAATTTATTTTCATTTTATTTCCACACCATATGTCTTTCTACTACAAATCTGTTCGTCTTATCATCTTTACGGTTTTCTTCTTTCTCATATTGAATCGACTCTGCAGTAAGCAAAGGATACATGTTAGGATAGTAATGATTATCGAAAAGAACTCTAAAACTTCAACGGTTTAAATTGTTCTCCAGATTATTGTTGTAGAAAACTGTTATTATGAGCATCAAATCTGAGAAAAACTTTGCATGAACTAAACATGAAATAAAACTGAGAAACATGTTTCGATTCTTTTATGTTTTCATGTTCTCATTCATATCAAAATATTCCCGGCAAATATTATGACGTTAGTACGTTACTCATGTATTCATAACAAAACATCCATAAAGAATTTTATCTCAAATCAAATATATAAATAAATGTTCAGATTTGTGTCTTCAATATTTTATTTATTGAAGCTAAAAGTAACATTTTTTGATTCTTATGTTTATTTTGAGATATCGATAAAGTAATCATATTTAATTTTGTTAATAAAAATATTATGATTGTCTCTCAGATTTAAGTTTTTCAAGTATTTACATGATTTTGTTCTTCTGAAAATCTTTAAAAACAAATTAAGTCAAAGTCAAGTCATTTACAAATGGCAGAATGATAAAGTTTTAGAAAATAAAACAAATTTCAATGAGAACATGATTTCATGTTATGTTAGAACAAGTTTCGGAACTGTATGATAAGCTTGAAGTTCCTTGAACGCGAATGGCGTTAACTCTTTTAAAAACTAACTCAAAGGCTCGATTTGTCATTAACTTGACATAATAATAGCTTGACATTTACAATAAGGATTCTAATGCTACTGTCATCTTGTATAAAGGAATTTATATTTCATAAGCATCACAATTTGTCTCAAGCATGAGAAATGCGAGAAATCTTAAGAACAAAAGACAAGAAAATTCCTTGGAAAATTCATCGAATGGAAATTTTTAATTGCAGAGTCAAAGATAATTACAAAGAAACAATGAAAACGAGTTTGCCATCGTCGAGCATGAATTATCTACAAAACAAAGAAGAAGAAAATTTTAAATCTTCAATTATGTGGAATAAAACAAAAACTGAAAAACCTTTTCGTTTGCTTGCTAAAAGTGTGTCTGTACATTTCGTGTCTCTGAGTAAAATCTTTGCAGAAAATAAGGCAGATGACATCACTTTTGGACTTGAAATTCCTTTAAGTAAAAGGGTAATGTCTGGGACGAAGCGTAGAGTGTGAAATATTATCCATTCTAACCATCAAACGTTTAGCTTGAAAGTGGAAATATTTCAACTTCATGATGTTCGTTTTCCTTTCTTGGAGAATTTCAAATGTAAGAAGAAGGCAGAAGTAGAACAATGAGAAAGTGGCAATTAATTATGCAAGAAGTATGCCTTTCTTTGCTCTTGAAATGAATGAACTGTAAGGAAAATGGAAGAAAACAAGAATCTAGAATGAAAAACGTTCAATTCTTTATTGTTTCATCATCAGTTGGGACTTTCGTTCCATTTTTCTTTCCAAACATTGCTCAAGATGTTGTAACGAGTAAAATTCTGATAACACTACGAGAAAAAAGGAAATAAGAAGAAACATGGAGCGCATAAACAATTTTCAATTTCTTCTGCTACTTCTTCCTTTCCATTTTTCAAGCATTAAACGCACAGATTCATGATGTTGAAATCTTGCCCCTTTTTTTACTTGATGCCGCACAATTCTCAATGCAATTATCACATATAAACTGCTTCCGCTTTTCGTAGCGAAAACTTTTTTAAAACTCCCCAGTGCTGAAAGAACCCTAACAATAGATTTATATTCATATCTTCCTCGAAAAGCTTCAGAATATCATTTCGTTAAAGCTTTTTTTTTTTGGTTCAGGAAAGACGGCGCTTTATCTGGTTTTTCACTCTTTCCACGCTTCTGTGACTGTTAAGAGTTTAAATTATTCAGCGCTCGAGTATCCTTTTTAATTCAATTAAAACATTAAATAAGTATTACAAGAGGATCTCAAGTGTATGTACTTAAGAAGAGCAAGTGTAAAGAGAGTATCTATATTTGTTCCCGAAAAGGCTAAAGTTTCGCTTATCGATGGTAAAACGCAAAACAAACAATCAACGGCTTGAAAATTGAGTGGATCATTTTATGGATAATTTAGGTTGTTTTTTTGTTTACAATTGCTTTTCATATCCAATCTGTATATAACCGAAAATCTTTTCAATAAAGATATCTTGCTAACATGGAAGCATTTGAAGTGATACAAAGGAATGGTAGCTGCATACTAAGTAACATGTATGATACTTGAGAGGAAGAGAACATAAGCATTCGTAAGCTCACTTCAAATACCTTTCAGAGATATTTCTTTAACTTATTCAGAGATGAGAATCTGTTGATAATTTTGATAAATATGAAAAATAAATTTTACTTTATTCCCTGGAAAGGATCAAAAATATTTTAATAGAGATGTGAACATAATTACTTGTATGCGATTTAAATGACAAAAAATCATTTCATTGCTTTGCATTCATGTCATTCACAAAATAAGAATTTAAAATTCCCTTCAAAAACCAAAAACGAGAATACTTACTTGATAAAATTTACATTGTCGTTTCATGATCCATAAATAGATCTCACATCAAATAGATATCATGCTTTTTATATTCCTCAGCATGTGTAACGACTCATCGTCATCTTTACTTAAGAACGATGACTTTAAATATTTTGTGTGAATGAAGATTTTCAAGTTCATCGTAAAGCTTCTGTAAGTGTACTCGATTAGCCCCATTTAAACTGATTGCCTCTGGCAACAAAACCCGTAAATATATTTTTCAACTAATGTTTGAATATTCGTAAATATATTTGTTATCTTATCATAAGACTCCCGTGAATCTATCTACATCATCATAACTCTTTAGCGGTTTCACTTTCGTGAGATTATCAAAGATGAAAATTATTTCTCGCGTGATTCACTTGTAATCAAAGTGATTCAGTTGCTATCAGATGTTCTTTTGAGATTGTTGAAATAACAAAAATTTAATCACATTATGGATGAAGAAAAAGTGAAATTAACTTTCTCAACACTTGACTACATTTTGTTTGGCACAATGATGTTCCTGTCGTTTCTTATCGGACTTTATTATGGATTTATTCGAAAGGAAAAGCAAGACACAACAGCTGAATATTTGCTGGGAAGTAAAAAGATGAAAGTATGGCCGACTGCTATTTCAATCACAGCAACGTAATAAAATTTTATATGATTAAGTAACTTTGACATCAAAAGATGCTGTTAAAAGTATTCATTTCATACATTCGCAAGGATAAAAAAGCTTTGCTTCTTGTCGTTGTACAACACGTTGAAAAACAAGTATAAAAGAAAATAAATATTCTTCTTTCTCTTCCCACTCTTAGTCATGTCTCGGCAACGACTTTACTCGGGTAAGTCTGAAATTAGAGAGAAATGATCCGGCACAATTTATTGGATAATATCTTTTAACGACTAGAGTACCGGCTGAAATGTACAAACATGGAACTCAGTATTGGGCATGTGCAATATCTGGAATTATTGTAACTATGTCATAAATTTTATTAGAATTAGGATTTTTTCCACCCTACAGCTAATTGCCTTCGACTTTTCTGTTTTCTCTTTTCCATTCTGGTCATGAATTTATATGCAAACAGGTAACGTTGAGCGTATGTTACATCTACTTGCCAGTATTTCATGATCTTGGATCTGTTTCGTAAGAGCTTTATGAGTTTACCATGCTCTTACTTTTATAGGTTTTTGAATTGTTTTTAATTGCAGCTGCTACGCGTATCTAGAGAAGCGATACAATCAGCAGATTCGACAAATTGCCAGCTTTTTATTTTTTATCTACGTCGTTTTGATGACTCCTCTACTTGCTTACACACCCTCCTTAGCCTTCAGTCAGGTCTCGGGCATTAGTCTTCATTACATAACTCCGATTCTCGTTTTTGTTTGTGTATTCTACACAACATTCGGAGGACTGAGGTAAGGCACGTGCGTGGATCTTCAGACAAAGCTTTTAATTCCTCGCCTTTCCCTTCCCAGAGCGGTTGTTTGGACGGATACGTTACAGTTCTCTGCGATGATTTTAGCTGTTATAATCGTCATGATTCTTGGAACTAATGAAGTTGGAGGGATGACGAATGTTTTTAACATAGCATCGGAAGGAAATCGCATTGTATGGTTCAAGTAAGAAAATATTTTTAATAATTGAAAGCGGAAGATCCCGAGGGGATTTCTTTTTTTTCGCTACATTTTTGTTACCTTACATAACTTATTCAACATCTCTGTTTCATTTGAGGAATCAGAAATGTCTTTAAAATATATTTAATATACATACATTTCTAATCTTCCGACATGACATTTCTTAAACATTTCAAGGAAGCTTTTAAGATTAATTTCCTTTTAATTTAAAATTTTAATTTCCATGATGAAAACAATTTATTTTCTTTTTCTGAATTATTATGTCAATGAAAGCTTGGATCCAAATCCTTTCATAAGAAGCTCATTTTGGATGGTTTCAATAGGATTAACTTCAATGTGGATATCGAATGTTGGCATTACACCTGAATGTGTTCAACGTTTTGTTGCTATTCCAAAATTGAACAACGCTATCAAAGCATGTTGGATTTTTGGAATCGGACATATTGTCATCAAACTGTGTGCTGTTTACAATGGAATGTTGATATTTGCTAAATATAATCAAGCAAAATGTGATCCGGTTTTCAATGGAGATGTTGGAAAATATGATCAAATTTTTCCATACTACGTTATGGATGTAGCAAGAAACATTCCTGGTCTTCCCGGCTTATTTATTGTCGGAGCTTTATCAGCAGCACTTTCATCAATGTCATCTTGTCTCAACTCTTTATCAGGAACTATTTATGAAGACTTTCTTAAACCTTTTATGCCTAATGCCACTGAGAAACAAGCAAGCACAATTATGAAGCTTGTGACATTTACCATAGGTAGATAAGATTAAGCTGAATCCGATTATGCTGAACTTTTCTTTAAGAAAACTGATAAGAATCAAAACGACTTTGATTTTCTCATTTCTCCTGCAGGTTGTGTTTGCTTCATATTGGTTTTTGTTATCGAAAAGTTAGGTGGTGTTTTTAGCATTGGCATTGCCTTAAGTGGATTGTCTTCCGGGACTCTTCTAGGGCTTTTTACAATGGGAATGATATCAGAGAAGTTCAATACAAAAGGCGCGCTTTGGGGCTCTATTGTATCGATAACAATTGTTACCATAATTACCGTTGGGGCTCAGATTAACATATATTCAGGAAATTTACGATACGAAACTCTTCCGTTTAACATTGAACAGTGTGATGCTTCATTACACTTTCATGAAATGAGGTAGGAGAGGGATTATCTCTTTTGATATTAAATTGTGATTTTTATATTATAATATCATCATTTGCAGTCATTTAAACAGCAGTGTTTATGTAGAAAACTTCAATGCAGATAATTCTTCAATTCCCTGGATTTTTCGTATTAATTACATGTATTACAGGTAAGCTTTCATTCCTTCAATTGAAAATGCTTTTAATCGCTTTCTTAGTCTTATTGGAACGATTCTTGTCATAATCGTTGGATATCCAATTTCACTTATGACTGGTGGTACAAAGAATCTTGATCAGAAGCTTTTATCACCGTTGTTTCGCCGAAGCCACGTGAATGAATTAGAAATAGAATTTCCCTTAAATTTAGAAGAACAAAAAAATTTAACAGAGAAATGTCAAGAATAAAATGAGTTTATTTTAAAACAAAGTTTGTTTAAATTGGAGAATCAATTCAAGAGCTTGTTTGGCATTTTGCCAGTGCATGTAGTGGAGTAGATTTTCATTTATTTTTTAATGCATTTAATGAAAATTTATTTTAAAAAATAAAAGAAAAACCAACAAATGCATAAAAAAACTTTCAATGAAATTAAAAACAAAAATAATTTTAAATTGAGTCATTCATGAAATCAAATGACGTTCCGAAAGTAATCAACATGTGTTTACATTTTGTTAACACTAAATTGCATAGAATTGAATTGGAAATATTGAAAGTTGATTTATGTATGAGGAATGAAAAAAAGTGTTTGAATGAAATGTTAAGAAATTAATTTTTCATCTAATAAACAGATGACATAAAATGGAATGTCAATTGTAGAATTCACAATAATGAACATGTTAAGTCAATGAATTTTTAAAAATATTGTTTTCAACTTTGTCATGTAGAAGAAAAATGTTTTCTGTCATGAAAGGAAATTTATTTTCATTGAATTATTTATATTAGATTGTCTTGAAAATTAAATTATATTCAGTAAGTAAACTTCTATGGGTACAATAAAAGATTCAACAGAGCTTTCTTAAACACACAATTAAATTATTCTTTCTTAGTTAGGAAAAATAGTTTGAATATTTACATAGGATTGAAACATCTGAAAAATAATCTTGTTAATGGTTCTCGCAATCTCTCTTATGTATTATTTTTAGAACACGCTCTTTAAATATTTCCGAAAGAGAAAAAGAAAATCGGAAAAACACATCAGTGAAAATTCTTTTTTCTCATCACAATTTAGAGATCAGTTGTGCGTTTAATTTTGAAGATTTTTTTTCTTTCTGCAATTTAATAAAATGACAAATTGTAATGTTTGTAACAATGAAGCAAAACAAAAATGTTCTGGTTGTTCGCAAGTCTTCTATTGCTCGAAGGATTGTCAGGTTTCTGATTGGAAACGTGGGCACAAAAATTCATGTAAACCATACGAGGTAATATAAAGAAAACATAAAAGATTTTTAGAACTAAGAAAAAATATTACTTTGCAGGTGAAACGAAATGATAAATTGGGTCGATACATGACAGCATCGAGGGATTTGAAAGCTGGTGAAGTTTTATTTCGAGAATTTGCTGTTGTTCATGGACCGAAAATGCTTTCCCATCCTATCTGCCTCGGATGTCACAAAACTTTGATTGCAAAAGCACCAAAAATGAAATTTTATCGATGTTCTCAATGTTCATGGCCGCTTTGCTCGAAAGCATGTGAAACTCTTGATCCACATATAGAAGAATGTAAACTCATGACATCAAAGAACTATAAGTGCGCAATCAAATCAAATTGTACCACAATACATTCAGATGCAATTTACTGCCTGATTTTTCCTCTAAGGTTTTTACTGTTGAAACGAAACCAACCAAAAATGTGAGGAATTTACAGATTCATGGAAATCTATCTCAATGTTTAATCTCCTCTCTCACTTCTTCTGAATTTAATTTTAGATTCGAAAAAATACTTTTGGAACTGGAGAGCCATGTAGATACAAGAATCGCTTCAGGCAGCTATGAAACTCTGAGACTGCATCTCGTTCCATTCGTGCAGAAACTTTTAGGTGAAAAAGATTTCCCAGAGAGATTGGTTTTGCCGGCAGCCGCAATATTGGACAACAATTGCTTTGAGATTTCAATGCCTCTACGTGGCGTTGAGATGGGTGGATTATTTTTGCAAAGCTTGATACTTTGTCATGACTGTGTGCCAAATACTAAGCACTACGTTAATTATCTTGACTCTGACATTGACATACAACATTACCAAATGACCTTTCAAACTACAGGTGAACTTTTCAAATGAAATCCATAACTTTAATGCAGACTCTCATTGCTTTCAGTGCCTGTTAGGAAGGGAGAACAGCTTACAACGACATACACAAATACTTTAAAGACAACACTTGAACGAAGGCGACACCTCAAGCAAACAAAAATATTCGAGTGTGACTGCAAACGTTGCCAAGATCCGTCAGAGTTCCTAACTTATGGAAGTTCGTGGAATTGTCAGAAATGTTTCGGACGAGTAGTTGCAAAAAATCCTTTGAACAACTTTTCCGACTGGCAATGTGAAAATTGTAAATTGCATTATAGTCGAGAGGTGAGGGAAATGAATGTTGAATGCACCAAGTTAATCCTATTACAAAGGTTGAAAGAAAATTAAATTAGTTTGTTCAAAAAAAAGAAGAAACTTTGAGAGAAACGTGCGGAAGCTTTTAAACTTTGCTTTTCTCCTTTTCCGGTTGCAATAAACTTTCTTTCTTTTTATTATTTTTGCTAGGAAATAACTTCAAAGCTGAATTGCTTGCAGAGCCAATTAAATAGTTTTGTGAGAAAAAATCCCAACCAACTAGAAGAATTTTTAGCTGAGCATTCAAAGTGCATACATAGCGACCATTTGACGATGGTAGAAATAAAATATATGTTGTGTCTGATGTATGGCAATGTCGGAGGATATTTATCATTTAAATATATTTTATCGGCACGTAAAAAGTATTATAATTAACTAACTAAACGAATATAGACACGAAACACTTTTATACTTTTCACTTTTTCATTTCGGAGGATTTCGGAGGATATCACTACAAAGGTTTCACTTTAACAAAATTGTTTTTAAAACAATGTGCAAAATGCGTTTGTTTTTAGATCTCTCGGAAAGTTTGCTTCATCGAAAAATTGAATTGTGCAAAAATTTGATTAAAGTTTATAATGAAATTGATCCAGGAGAAGCTAACCAAAGGACGAATGTCATGTTTGAACTCAATTGTGCATTAATTGTAGATACAAAGGCCAAATTTAATTGCAATTCTATTGAGAGAAAAAAGGCAGTGGTATGTTTTACAACAGCAGTGACTGTCAGGTCATGCGAATCTTTTTAATATGTTTCTCTTCTTGTTCTATTCAACAGGATATTATCGATGATTGTTTGAAGATAATCAAAACCTGCTACAATATCTTGATTAAGGAAACCGAAAACAAGGGAATCATGGATAATCGATTGGAGAAGATAATTAATGAAAGCTTCCTTTGATGTTTCTTAGAATAAATACAAACTCCGAAATTATACTAAAATGTTAACTTATCATCAATATGAGTCATTAAATATTTTATTAAATTGTGTAACAATGAAGACAACTTAATAAATCTATTATGAAGGAATGCCGAAACAATCTTTGTGATGAAAATTTCTAACTTTCTCAATAATCAATATTTACAGAAGACATTTGAATGAGAATTTTTAAGATTAAACTTTGTTTCGACTTATTTAGATTATAACGCAAATTTCAACACAAATAAGTAATCAGCTTGAAATATTCTTTTTAAGGTATTGAATAATTCAGCAGAAATATTTACATCTTTAATGTTACTCTTGTCAAGAAGTTTTCTCCGATAATGTTTCTACACCCACATCAGCATTATTCAGCCGTCATGTGTTGCTAAAGCGATTTCAATGGAATGCTTGACATGAGCAAGCCTGAAAATATTTCATTGGAATTTTCGATTGAAACAATGACGTTTTTTCTTTTCCTCGTAACAATTAGTTAATAAAAATTGTTAGAAATCATTTCTAGGAAATTATTTGATGAAAAAAATATAAATTTCCTAGAAAATCGGAACCGAAAAAATAAAAATAATTTTTTTCTAAGAAATTTTATTCAATTATTTCTACTTGAACCCCAACATTCTGAACAACAAGGACTGACAGACAAAATGTTGAACAAGTTCAAGACTTCATTGTCATGTGACTCACTTCAAAATATCACGAAATGAAAAAGTTTTTATTTATATTTTTTACCTTTACAATGAGAATTCTATTTTTCCTGGCAAAAACTTTTCTTTTCCGCCTCTAATGATGTTGCAATGATGTGATTTTTTTCTTTCATTTTGTATCCAATAAATCAACCCCAACGAGTTTTAACTGTTTACGTTCATATAAAAAGTAAGGCGTGGAGTTTCTATTTTATGTTAAAATAATATTTCATATATCACGTTATCGTGTAATGAGCCCCACATCAGAAAATTGAAAAGTTTTCCCCTCTCCTAACGGCACATGATTTTTCTTTAAATTGTATTTATTGTGTTGTTTAGAAAGAGGGAAAAAGTTGAATCAGCGAGGAAGAAAAATGTGTTCCCACTTTTCACGATCCCGTTCTCCCTCAAACACAAACTTTTCTCTAAGCTATTAGCACTTTAATGTGATTTTCATTTGATTTGATGTTGTTTGAAAAAATACTTTTTAGTAAATCGCTAAAAATTCTCTCACAAGCTTATTCTTATTTGGTGCAAATTAACAATCGTTTATTTGTGGTTTGCTGAATTTATTCGGATTTATTCAATATTTTTAAAACAATTCAATTGACGAGAATATGTTCGCGAGTTTTTTACTGAATGTAGATGAATGTATGGCAAAGTTTGTTGTTCGTTCTCTCGGAAACACTTTCGTTGTCACATTTCACTGCATTTGTTTTTATTCGAATCCAATTAACAAGAGTAGAGTGTATGGGATTTTTTATGTGAATTGAAATGATAATAAAATTCCAATAGAGTTTTGTGTTATTCCATAACAAGAAAAATTGGTGCAGCATGTGTTCTCCGAACGCCTGTAAATTTCCTTTCACAATTTATTCGATGCAAATATTTATAGATAACAAGGAGATAAATGCAAAAGGAATAAAGTTATTGGGAATTGAAAATATTGAAATAAAAGCAGTAGATAAATTTATTAAACCTTATCGTTATTTTTTTGTGCCAGAGTTGGGCACTTCTGCATAATCTTATTTGCTGCAAATGATTATAAAATGAAATGTTACAATTGCATCAACACTTGAAAATTCTTATCTGGTTAATGAAAAATAAGAAGTCATTAAAGATTGGGTCACATGTTTATTCTATTTATTTAATTGCCAAAGAGTAAAATTAAGGATAGAAGCAAATGTGATCCATCCACAATATGGCAACATACATAACCCACCGAGTAAATCAATACGGAAAAATAAGAACGTAGTTGCTATAACGAAGACCCATAAAATTACAATCTCAAAGAATGCCCAACCAAGTGCCTGCAAATTGAAAAATATCGGAGTCCAAAACCAATTAAGTACTAGCTGAATAGCATATAAAGTTAGCGCCAACATTCCCAGCTTTGTTAATCTTTTGTGCATTGTTTTCTCTTTATGCCAAACTTTAAATGCTGCAAATCCGATTAAGATGTAAAATGTTGTCCATGCAGGAAGAAACACCTATGAGAAAAATATGATAGATTAAGTAAATAAGAATTTAATTCTTTTTCCAGGTACACATTTTCAAATATCATTGTGAGTAATTTTTCACAATTACTTGCACAATCAATGAATCATGAATATCAAAATTATGAATTATTTCTTACCCATGTTGGCGGATTGAAAGAAGGTTTGTCCAAATCGCCATACCAGGTACCAGGTACATCTTTTGNTTCCTGCAAAAGAGTGGAATTTCCTGCAATCTTCCTAGGATTCCTAGGAATCTTAGGAATCCTAGGAATCCTAGGATTCCTAGGAAAAATCTTAATCTAACCTTTAGTTAATCCTGAAATTTCTTAATCCTGCCTGCAATTTTCCTAGGATTCCTAGGATTCCTAAGATTCCTAGGATTCCTATGCATAGGATTCCTAGGATTCCTAGGATTCCTAAGATTCCTAGGATTCCTATGCATAGGATTCCTAGGATTCCTAGGATTCCTAAGATTCCTAGGATTCCTATGCATAGGATTCCTAGGATTCCTAGGATTCCTAAGATTCCTAGGATTCCTATGCATAGGATTCCTAGGATTCCTAGGATTCCTAAGATTCCTAGGATTCCTAGGATTCCTAGGATTCCTAGGAATCCTAGGAAAATTGCAGGAAATTCCACTGCAGGAAATAGGACCCACTCAGATTTTCAACTATCATTGTGAGAAATGTTTCACAATTACTTGCACAATCTCATGATTCACTTATATCAAAATTATGAATTATTTCTTACCCATGTTGGCGGATTGAAAGAAGGTTTGTCCAAATCGCCATACCAGGTACCAGGTACATCTTTTGTTTCTGTAAACAAAGATCCCACGAATCCACCGATGTTTGGAATTATGCAAGAAATTATACACAAGACAATGTCTAAAATCGACCACATTTTTCTTTCGTGTTCTTTCTAATACTGAATCACAATCTAAACAGCTTGCAAACAACATCTATATTGAGACATTAAAGTTATCTTATCTTTAAAAACGAAAAGCAATATACGATACAAAAGAAACTTCTCGGAGCTTGACTGGCTTGATATTGCGTAGTTATAGAAAGAGTTTTAATAATTTTAATTAGCTTTTCCCCCTTAATTTTAATAACTTGAAGTTCGAGTGCTTAAAACTTACTCATGACTTAATCATGGCTTTGAAATGTGAGAAATATCGGTTTGTTCTTTAATTTAAGTAGTAATGCAGAAGATCTTTGTCACTTTCTATGTGTTAGACCGCCAAACAATTCCACTAAATGTTTAATTCTCATGTTACGATTTCACACATTGAATCTAAAGAAAAAAATCAAGGTTTGTTACTTTTTGTCAATTTTAAAGATTTAATAACAAAAAGTTGAGATAAGTTCTTTTGTCTTGCAACTTTCTTATCATGTGCTTCAACAAATATATTTACAATATTTACCTTACGTAATTTCCACACTTATGTATCATAAATAAGTCATTTTATTGATTAAATGTTCCTAACTGTTTTCAAAATTGAGAAACCGAAAAAATGAGATTTAGCAAGATGAATATTATTAAGTAGCAATAACAATGTTTGAGTCTTGTCAATATTTGTCAATTTAAATTTTTTACTTTACTGAATGAATGACAAAATTTAATGACGAGATTTCTACGATTTCCAAATAAAAATTTGTTTCTTGATCTTTCAAGCTTTTATTTAGATATTTCATGAATCAATTATGAGAAGCTCAAGAAAATGATTTTTTTTCATGTGGGCTAAATTTGATATTTATTTTCATTATGAAATCAATCACTTTGAATTTTTCATGATTTGTAATCGATTCAGTTTTCAAGGAATTTCGCTTTCTTCTTTTTATCATAACAAATCTTTTAGATCTTTTCAATTCGATGATTTTCATCTCGCATTCGATACTTAAATATAAAAGAAAATGGGAAAGAAAACTTTGAGTGACGATGAGTTATTGAAACGCTTTCTCTTCCTCGTTTTACACCCACAAGTAACTCGTTTATGAATTACAGCACCATACATCATTGTTCATAATTGCTACAAAAAATCGTTGTTTTAGACAGAATGTCTTTTCATTGGCAACTCAAAACATGATAAATCACGAGAAATATATTTCACGCGCCATAAAGAGAATCCCACAAATTTTCCGTTTTCTTTCTGTTCGTCTTCGATTTTCCTTGGATAGAAGTTTCTTGCCATAAGTGATAGACTTTTTTGTCTGCCTCTGACAATATTATTTATAGATTTTTCCTTCTTTTATACATTTCTTTTCTCCTTTATAGGGCAATAGTATTTTCATCATAATTCTATTGATTGTAGATTTGTTACATCGAAACTTTTTTTTCGTTATTCTTTTATTCTGTTGTTTATGCTTCCTTCGCAGCTTTTTTTCATCTACTTAAGAAAATCATATTTTAGTGATATAGCTGTCAATCATCGAAAAGCTATTTATTTTTCTGAAGATGTGCTTTGCCAAAAGGTCAATAACGAAGAAAATCAATCAATAAGACGAGAGGAAAATAGGGCAATAAGTTTGTTTTGCATGATAATATAATTCAGACATCTTCAGACATTTGCAAGCTATCAAAGATATCATCTTTTAATGGTAAGTTGAAAAGGAAATTAAAATATATCAAACGCAATTCAACAACACATTCAACTTTATCAAGAAAAAATTGTGAAAAATTATAAAGAAAATCAATTTTCCTTCAAGTGCCATGCATCAATTAAAGTTTCAAAAACTCGTACGATGTTGAAGGGGAAAAAAAAAACTGTTTTTTCACTTCATTTCTTGACTGAAATTGATTGATTGGAATTAATAAATGTTCGAGCACTCAGCTCATATAATACTTAGCAATGCTTGTCAATATCGATTCATGAACATTCTCCACATTTTCAGAATTGTGTTCTAACATTTCTGCCAGCAAAAGCCACAGGAACAATCAATGAGCTCTAAGTTCATAAATTAGGTTTTCCTTGTCACTTTCCTACGTCGAGTTACTAATAATAAAAATCATTTCTTGTTAGTTTTCTCCTTCCTTTAATCCAAAAGCTAACAAATTTATCGTCATTTTATACCCATACCTGTCATCGCCATAAATTTTCGAGATAAACTAAAATGTTATTTATCTTTACGTTGTTTAGGTTTGGACAGGAAATGATTGTATTTAATTACACTTTCATAGATTTATTGATCGGTTTCCTTCTTACAATGAATTTCCAATGGTAGTTTCGGCCAATAAGATATCTCATAGAACAAAGTTTCTTTTATTGCAAAACTTGTGCCGAGAAGCAGAGAAAGTCAAAAGAAGATTCGTAGATATAAGCTCATTAAAACTTTTCTTAAAAGCTTTGATTTTTCCGTTCTACTTCAAGGATAAAATGTGAAGTGAAGATTCATTATTTTGGATATAAATGAGAATGATAACTTTAAACCCTTCTTTTATTCTGGAATGAATAGAAGATTATAAAGTTTAAAAATGAAAATCATCACATAAAATAATCTTCGAATGATGACAAAGCTATTTTACTTTTGGGTTTTCCTTGAAATCAATGAAGCATTGAATTGTGGTTTGATCTACCTTTGCCTTTAATAAAATCAACAAACATTTTCCGATTTTTCATTTTCTCGCTATGAAAGTACCAAAATGATTCAATTGTGGTTTCCTTTCTTGTTCAACAGTCGCTAGAAACAATATTTTCTCGTATGAAATTTTATGGATTATGTCAATTAACTTCTATGGCTTTCCAGTTTAATACAATTTCCCACATCGAATTAAGTGACTGAAAATTGGTACGTACTGCTTTGTAGCAATTGCAGAAATGCTTCATTGAATAAAGCTTCGTAAGAACACTCGAAGCAAACTCATGAAGGAAACGATTCCTTCCATCGATTCCCAATAATTTTTTATTGCTATCCATAAGGACCGAAGAACAAATTGATGTTTGAGACTTTTATGCTTTGTTTTTCCACTTTTTCTCTGTGTTCATAAGGTTACTTTTTTTATTGGTCGTTAGCAAAAGCAAGAGATGTATGGAAACAAACAAAAAGAATTCACGATTTGCCTCTTGTTGCCTTTTTTCTCCTTTCCTTCTTTTTTTGTATTTTTGATTCCATTGGAGTTATGTCAATGAATTGCTCTGAACCCTATGTAAAGGTTGAAATGGTTTTATGAATCGAATATTGTTAACAATGCTTCAATGCCTATTGTAGAAAAACAACAACATCAAAAAACGAAACTTTTGCTATGACTTTGAACGACTGAATTGGTTTTGTTTCTAACATTTCTTCTATCTCATCAACAGTTATTGTTAGTAATTAATTCAATCAAAAGCTTTTATATTTATTCTCACTAACAATGTCTCCTACTTTTAAAATGACAACAAACTTTGACAACAAATGGTGAGTGTAATTAAAGCCACTACACAACTACAATAATTCTGATGTTTGCATAATAAAATTGAACATTCAAAACCAATTTAACTTCCAGCACATACTTAATTACTTTCACACATTTTATCGACAATTTATTCCACGATATCAAAGTTAACTGAAACACATTTTTCATCCTTTGCAAACTCAATAGCATCGTTGCTTCCAACTTTTATCTAATCGAAAAAAAAAGTTTATTCTCGTTTTTACTAATTCCTCATGTTTTCATTAAATTCTTACCTTCCACTTCCCATGATATGATGAAGGAATCTCAAGATTAAAACCGGGTTCTGTTTCAGAGAACTCGATAGTCTATAAAGGGAAAAGAAGATTAAAATTTATTAAAACATTACTTTTTAAATTTATGACGAAACTTACTCCTAATCCTGGACATGTCTTCATCTTCAATTTACTTGCAACAGGAAGATATGGATCAAAGAGATCTTCAAACTCTGCTGTAAGGCTTTCCATATGCTTGTTAATTTCACCTAAGTTAATGGATGCATATTCAAATATTATCCAACTTATTAAAACTTCATCTTACTCATGTGCCACTTTATTCGATCATGACGATATTTTGAAACTTTCACAGTTCTCGAGCATCTGAAATCCTTAGTGACAAGTTTTCCTCTTGGGCATGTATGCTGGAAAATTTTAAGAATTACAAAATCGATAAAATTTATGACTATCACTTCCGAATTACTGCATGAAATTCGAGATTCGAGAAGTCGACGTATCCAGAATGCCAGCAATCTCCAAACTTTCTCTTAACAATCGGAAGATAATGATCACACTCGCAGCAGCTTTCAAATGAATTTTTATTTATTTTACACAATTAATGTAAACTTTTATTAGAATTTGAGACCTTACTTACTCAGGCTTCTGGACTTTCAGCTTTAACATGTTGGAGGCCCACAAAAGACTAACTTTTCTCCTTTCATTTCATTCAGTCGTTCTTCATTAATGCAATCTGAAAATAACGTTACACAAATTTATTTTAATTCTATGCAACCACAAAGCCTTTCCAACAGTTGATGAAAATAGAAGTTTGCGAGGGTTTAGCAAGGTCGTATGCAGATCATTTGAATTAATGCTATTGACCTTGGTTAGTTGCTTTTAACCACTATTAACGTTTGTAGTATCGATTGCAGCCAAAAGATTACAAAATTATTTGATGTGAATATTTCTAAAGCAGAAACTTTCGAGGTGAATATAATTAAATGGTTGAACAAGTTGACGATTGTCGTTTCTACAGATTTATTCAACTTCAATTGACTGTGATAAATTTTAGCAATAATGCTTCAAATAACAATTTTCTAAAGTCTTTATCGTTTTGAAGTCTTCTTTTTATAAAAATACATTAAGCGTGTGGTCTATAATCTTACAATTCATTTATTTAAATCAAAATACATTTTTATGTATTCTCCGTCTCTTTTTTTGGCATTCTAAATCTTAAAAATCGCATCCATCTTACGGCAATCTCGAAGTTAATTGCCCTTATAATCCATTTTTTTCATGTCGTTTACAGGGAAAATACATTAAAAGAAATTAAAATAGAATCTCGGCAAAATGTTATATTTATGCTTAAGTGAGAATATAAGCAGAAAAAAAGTTGAAAAATGGGAAATGAATGTTTTTCTTTTTTTTTTTTGGTTTTATGGAGCACAGAAGAACACAGTGAGGGTTGCATTTGATGATAACATTTCTTAAGAAATTAATGCGTCGTATGGCTGGCTAATGGGGCGTTTAAGAAATATTTTAAATGCTTTCTTCCTTCCTTTGTACTACTTTACTGTTATTAAGGTTTTTTTTGTAAGGAAATGGAATTGAATTCACTTGCATTTAAATATTTTAATTTTCATAAAATTATTACTTAAAAACATGAACACATTTAATGATCCATGGCACAACTTGCTGCAACTTTTTAAAGCGCTCCTAATTATGTGAGTGGAGTTCAAGTTAAATGTATTCTTTATATCTCCTGGAGCCTTTTTAGCTTGTCTTAAATATCTTAATAGCTGGTTCTGAATAATTTTTTTTTCAAGATGGAAGAAATATTTTAACGAGAAAGAAAGTAAGGTAATTTAAGAGTTTTTTTTTAAGAATCGCAGTCTTGTTCGTACATTCCTAAGCATTGCTGTAATATAACCCAATCTTTCACGTTCCTTTGAGTTAGAAAAAATATCTCTGGAATTGTTTGAAATTGAAATTACTCACTCAATAAAAAAAAGAATTAATTCATTCAACAAAAAATATTTTAATTACTTTAAAAAAAACAATGTAAATAAAACTTCGTAAATAAATAGTGTTGGATAACATTGAGTGAAACTCAATCAATGATTGCTTTACAAGAAGTAAAACCCGTAAGGGTTGAGAGCACGTAAATCATCCAATGAATAACGATAACGAATTGAATTAGTCCTCTGTTGCTTTTCTTTCTCTACAACAACAGTAGTGGGTGGATCAATTGAATCAACTTTTTCATGCTGATCACTTTCAATTGTCTCCTCAGGAAGCTTTGGTAAACTTAGCTTCGGTTTAAACATGATACGACTTTTTGAAAGAAAACTTGACACGTTCTTTCCTTCTTTCCGAGCTGTGGCTTTGGCCTTGCGTTTTTTATTTGCTTCTTGTTCAGCTAAATGAGCTAGAATTCGTTTTTCCTTCAAACGCTTAGCTTCTAATCGTTTCTTTTCCATTAAAGCGTCGCGTGCTTCATTCTTAGGCAGCAAAGTAATTTTTTCAATTTCTTCAGCCAAGCTGTCTTGATTCATGCGCAAACGGCGTTGTTCCAGAATTTTCATTGCTTCAAGAGCTTGTTCTCGACGGAATGCATCTTTTTTCTGTTCTTTTTCATTCACCCAACGACGTGGTGATGCTTCAGTGTGCTTAGATTTGAAATTCTTCACTGCTTTAGGTGGCAAATTGCCTTTCGGTTTTTGGATATTTCGATTGTCTTTCAAAACTTTTAAACGATGATTTTCCTTCAAATTCTTTGCTTTAATCATCTCTGAATTGAAATGTTCTTGTTTTGGAGTGCTAGTAGCTTCTGGAAAACCTTCTACGAAGGACATCTTAAAATACTTTTTTTTAATTATTTCCACCTAATTGCGTACAACTCAAGCGCTAGAAGCTGAATGAAGATTGCTTCCTTTGTTGAAAAATTAAAAATAATTTGCATGGACTACTTTGTTGTAAGAGATTCATTGAAATTTTTTATTTTAAATTGTTAAGAACGTTAAAATATTTATTTCAAAACATCAAAGGAACAAATTTAATTTTAGATACAATGTCTTGTAATGAGTTAACAAATCTTTCCCATGATAAAAAACAATATGATGGCAAGGCGAGTTTTATAAAATTCTTTTGTTTGTATTTACTAGAAATCACGACAGTGTGAGCAGTTACTCATGCACAACACGACTCAAACAAAAGCTTCCATATAAAATAACAAATAACTTAAGCAGACGAAACGTTAAATTCGCTTCGACAACAGAAAGTTTGTTATCAGGAGCTGTTTGTCTTTACATACTTTTAATTACCATGATTTTTCTCGTAACAAAAAAAATAACAGGAAAGAAAAATTGTCTACTTTCACTCAAGAAAATGTTAATAGAAGAACATGAAACATAAAACTTAGTTAAAGAATTTTACGAAGCACTCATGATGGTTTCAAAGAAATAAAAAGCACGATTTAACAGCATAAAAAATATGTTAACCGTTCGTATCAAACGGAAAGTTATTGATGTGCGTAAAAGTATGAAAATCTGCTTTATGTTACAAAGTTAACTCTTATACCAACTTTCTAGATTTCATCCATGCTTCAACTATATTCATCAATTCTAGACAAACTCTTCCAGCCTATCAATGAAGAGAAGACTGCCGTTGTTCTTTTAGCCAACACGTGATAGGAATACTGATCAATTCACCACTTGCTTTTGATACTGTTCAATAGCAAGACGTACAAAAGAAATGTTTTATTTACACACACGGAGCGAAAACAAATCATCATGCGATACATCGAACGAATGTGCTTAGAAACTTTGAAGCTTTCGGCAGATGAAAAGCAAGCAAGCAGTGAGAAAAAAAATTACTGAAACAGAAAAGTTTTACTAATCTTTTTTCCCTACAATTTGTTAGATTGGGTTTTCATCTTTTCCTTTTCCTTTGTTCAATGTCATGCACATTGAGATACGATTCGTTTTTCTTTTGCTTCTCATGGTGAAAACTAAGTAATGTCAGGATATGTTGCTTTCTTATTATTGCTAGATTTTTTCCAATTCTGTGGTCTAAAGGTGGTGTGTTGATAGAAGGTTCTTTTTATTATGGGTGGTGGTGGTAAAAAGTTAATCTTGTTATATGACAAATGAATTTATTCTCTTCATGTCCGTAACTTTTCTTGCGAAATCTTCTCTAGAAAATAATATGTTTCACAATGTACTATGTTGAAATATGATAAAGCAGTAGAAAAAGAGGGCATCGAAATTTTTACTGATGAATTGAGAACATAACGAATGACTTTTATGTTTATTTATTAGGTTAGATGGTGCATACTGTAAAGAAAAAATATGAAAACAAAAATATTTTCCTTACAATTTTCTTTTATTGTTATCATTGTTGTCCTTCTTCTTTTTTCTTCTTCTTAAAATTTATTTACAGCATTAAACTTCTTCGCTTTTAAAGTTTCTTTTTTGTTTTTCTTGAGTCTCAAATCAACGAGAAAAAAAACTTTTAATCAACATGAATAATTCCAGCGGAAATTGTTGTAAAGTGAAACTTTGTATGAGGGTGAAATATTTGAATTCATATCTTTTCATTAACTTTATCATCGATTTGACACAAATTGAAGAAGAAACTTTTTTTATTGACGGAATTTGATTGTTATTAAAGATCTTTTCATAACTTAAGTTATTAGATATCATAAACAGAGTAGATATAAAAAATAGAAGTTAAATCAAAAGTTCTTTCCAAAAAATTCCATTTCAAATGAATTGTTTTCATTGTGTATCAAAAACATTTGCATAAATGACAAGAAAATATTCGATTATCAAAAAAAAGTTTTTCCATAAAATTTCATTTAGATATATGAATTTATGTTTTATGTACAATTTTCACAAGTTCAAAATCAATTTTCCATTCACATGTTTGGATGTAATTAAATATTTACGATTATAAATTTAATTTGATTTTGATTTTTAAATTTTCAAAATTTATTGAAAATATCTTTAATGAGAACTTCTAAAATGAGTTCATGGCCTGAGGTCATCCACAGTTCGAGGAAAAAGGATTACATTTTCAGGTATTTAGTAACATATTACTGGTTCGAAGTTGTAAATAATCATAATTACAACATGATCTACCTTTTGGCCATCTTCATCATTCAATAATAATTAAAAAAAAACGAAGGAAAATTAACATAATTTCCTCAATGCAAATGGTAATTCATCAATAATTGCACGTTCACGAATGTCGAAACAAAAAGTATTCCTTAAATCATTGCTTTCAGTTTAAGCTTATGCAAAAAATTTGTATAAAAGGAAATTAAAAAAATTCCAGCACTTCTTTTGATTCAACTTACACAGTTAGGTATTTGTTTTTTGCTTTCTTATCATGAATGTTGTTTAATGAATGTTTCGTTGTGTTATCTGAATGTTGTTGACGAATGTTTTTCATTGCTATAACTTGGGTGACTAGTGGCTCAAAAGAATTTTCTATTTATCATTTTCATTTTGTTATATCATTGACAGAATTAAACTTTTTTTAAGGAAATTTTTCAATTTGATTTAAGCGCATTTCAACGTGAATAAATCGCAAAATTGCGATAAAGTGTTTTTCCTATTATTTTGAATTTGAAGATTTAAGAACAATTCTACGCTAAGCTAAACGATTTTGTCGATTAAGGATTTTCCTTCTTAAATTACCTTTTCGATTTGTTCTTGGTCATTAAAGACGGGTTATAATCATTTGCTCTTCTACATTTGCTTTTTCGAGCTAATCATTTTGTATAATCATTTCATTTTAATCAAAAAATATCTGAATTGGATTGTTATGTAATTTGTATTCATCAAAATATCATCATCATAAATATATTTCTTTTTTTTTCTTATTCAGTTTTCTTTTTTTTTTTAACTTTCTTACACACTAGTATGCAATATATTCACTTTCATTGTCTCAAAACTAACGTTCATTCACTTGAAAGACATTTTTTAACGTCGTTAATCTGAAATCTATTTCTTTTTTCAAAATACCTAAATGTTTCTTTTGATTTTCTTAATACACAAATAAAGTCTTTAAATTGTTAAGCAAAGTAAATGAAAATCATTCCAAAATTAAAGAAAAGTCAAAGGAAAAAGTTATACTAAAATCTAAAATAAAATCGACATTAAACTTAAATCAAACGAATACACTAAAAATATCTAAAAGTTCATTATCTCTTAATCACCCCATCCACGATCTTCTTCACCAATGAGATTGCCGTTGAAGTTCTCTTCCTCGTCGTCATTCGATAAGAATTCGATGTGTGTAAATGGAAAGAATCCAACTTTACTTCTAAGCTCACCTTCCCATTGACCATTTATGTTCATCTTCGTCACTTTTATAATGTCACCGACCTCAAGTTTTAATGCTGTCTTATCATAAGCGTTCGGTACGCGCGCTTGCTTTACACGAGCATAAGCTGGGAGTTTCCTCTAAAATAGTTAGATAAGAGTTACAAAAAGACTATCAAAATGATATTACTTTACTCACATTGAGATTAGTCTTTTTAAATGTTCCATCTGATGAAGCTCTTGCTGTGTTTGAGAAACCTCCACTCGCACGCGAACCTTCATCATACTGTGAATGAATGAAAATATTTGATTATTCTTCTTTTTTTTATTTATAGCGCAGCATCAGTTGAAAAGGTTAAATAAAATGTTTCTGGTCTAACTATGAAATGCTGATAACATATTTTTTACAACTTTTATAATCTACTCACTAGTTCAACGTAAGGAACTGGAATCTGACCAGTTTGACCAACTGAATTCCTAGCGGTCCACCATTGATCCTCATCCTTACTTATTATGTACAATATCTCGCCTTTCTTAAAAGGTAAATCGTCTTGATCCTATTAAATTGCCGATAAATATTTGCAAATGATTAAAACATGATTTAATCTTGCATAAAATTTACATTTTTAACTTACACTTCCATCAAAATCAAACTTTCCAATCACTTTTTCTACTTTTCTTTGAGCTGGACGCCTCAAAGGTGTTGTGTCAAGATAATGAAGCTTATAAAAAGCAAGCAGCTCGGGAAGATCTGAAAATGACTGATCACCTATTCGGAATACAATTTGATCGCCTTGTTGAATTTTATTGATGATGTAGTGACTCACTTTTGTGTCCTCTCTAAAAAAAAATAATAAAAGATGAACATTTTCTTTGCGCTGATGATCACATCGTTTTTTTTTCTTTTCAATGCAATGTTTAATTTACCTAACACACAACACATAGTCCCCCAGAATCGTTGTACTGTCTCTCACTAAGAACACTCCACCTTCTCGCTCCTTCATCAAGAGATCTGTGGCTTCAGTTCGACTCATTGAGCCAAAATACCAACTGAGAAAATAAATATTGATTTAACTAGAGTTGATTCAATGTTATAATGATCCGAAAATAAGAGCAGAAAATATTCTATAGAAAACTTTGTCTCCATTGTTACTTTTAAAGTGGATAATTATTTAAAATTGCACTTTGTTTTCAGCTGAGTCGTAATTGTATTCGCAAAGCAATCGATAAGTTGAGAAAAATATAAGAAATTACCTGCTCTTATCAAAAACATCGAAAGACGCCATTCTCATTAAGTTTGAAGAAGCACGATGGTTAAACTATAGTCGGCAGCTGATAATTATTATTCTGCCTTATACTGTATTAATTAATTGCTTCAATTAAGCCAATTAAAGTCGTTTTTGTATTATTTTTTTCTCTTAACTCAACTTGTCCCAATACCAACCCTTATCATGTTTTTGTAGAAAACCCTAAAATGCGATTTTTCGTGTCCATATGACCATAACATAATTTATACACAAACCATATATTACTATTGACAGATAAATAGGTATTAAACAAAAGAATTTGAAATATTAAAATTATTAAACGTGTTGATATCAAGTGTGAAGATAATTTTATATTCGATTAAAAGTTTCAAAATTTTTAAATTTCTTCAACTTGTATCACCCACTTTTTAATATGCCCACATTATCGTTTATATTCAAAAATACTGAATCTGTTAAAAAAATAAAAATTTCTTTTATTTTTTGAAATTGCAACTAAAATATTAATTTATTAGAGAGAATTTAATATATTTTTTCCATTTTCATCTTATAATCTTAAATCAATTGCGAAAATAAATTATGATAATTCGGTGCATTTCTGTTGATCTTGATTCTTCACTCCTTACTTAATTACCAACACCACTGCCCAGCTTATTGCAAATTAAATTTAATTAATGAAAAATTATTTTTAAGAATTATCTTTTTCTTTGATTTTTAAACAGTTTCTTCTCTTATAATTGTCTGAACGTACGTCAATGCCGTGTTCATCTTTACTATGCTTGTAAAACTTGTCCCAATTTGTAAAAGCTTCTCCACATGTTGGCAGTGTGCATTTGTAGCGACAATATCCGAGGTGTCTTGAATTAGTATGAAGCTTTGAAATAAAAGAAATATGACGTTTAACTGATTGTTGAACTGTAATGAATTAAATGAACATTTAATACCTGTAAAGCAGCTTTAACGTTGAAGCTTTTATCGCAATATGAGCAATGAAATGGTCTAAGATTTTCATGAACTTTCTAATTAAAAGATAATAAAAAAAGAAAATATTTATAAAAGTTAATTTTTATGTAAAATCGGTTTCATTAAAAACAAAATTTTACCTGGATATGTTGCTGAAGACCAAATTTTCTATCAAATTTTTTACCGCATTTATCACACTCAAAAGCCAAAAGACCCTTCATGTGAACTAGTCTGTGTTTTTTTAATTGTGCGTTGGTTCGGAATCTTGTTAATTAGACATACATAGATTAATGAAATTAAAACGAAAATGTTCAAAATTCAGAAGTTAAGAAACTTACTCCATTGCACATGAATCACATTCCACAATTTCATCTGGATTTGCTGGTTCATGCTTTTGCATGTGAATGCTGAATGAAAATTTGCTGCATAAAACTTTAGCACATACATGACAAACATAAGTTTGCTCTGTCTGCTTCTTTTTTGTTTTTTCATTTTCATTAAGAACCTCTCCATTGTAATGTCTCGCACTGTTTGTGATTTCTTTGAATACTTTACAACAATGATTACAGAAAATGGATGGGAATGTTGGATGAACGTTCCGGTAATGATTAGTGAGAGCAAAAGAATTCCAGAAAATTTTCGAGCAATGAAGGCAGGAGAACTTCAAGCTTCCGTGGTGATTTTCGTCAATAGAATGATTCAAGAAAGTATAGATGGAATTGAAGGAATTTTTAAGCATATATGCTTTCCTTTTTTCACATATTTTGCAAATATAAATTTCCTTTAAATTTTTTCGATTTAAATGGATTGATCTAGAATGGATAAACAATTGAACCGGAGTTTCAAATGTAATGACGCATGCCCGACAATCATATTTTGCATAACTCCAATCTACAGCAAGTCTTGTTTGACATTCATCTGTGACAGTTCCTCCTGGTAATCGTTCATCTTCAGCTACTAGGGGATTTATAATGTTATTACTTGGTTCTTCCAGGAGTCGATGATACATTTTTTCACAGAGTTGAGCATTTTCTGTCCATTCCTTTAAAACATGTGTGGCTTTATGTATTTTCATCTCTTCAAGTGCATGCACATAACCACATATATAGCAAAGCATTAAATCTGAATACTTTCCACCGTGTGTTCTGTAATGTTTGACAAGTGAAAGGCAATCATAGAACATTTTTGAACAAACGAAACAACAGAATCTTAGATCCTCATAATACAGAGTATCCAACATATAATTAATGAATGAGACAATATCTTTCTTTACAACATTTTGATGTATCGTACACATTATTTTCCATTTTCCTTTTCCATGGACATTATTTCCATGAGCTTCTAATTTATCGAAATGATTGAACTGCTTTTTACATGCCGCACACATAAGGAGATCTTGCCATCTAAGAGGAAAGTATTTTTCTGTCACTTCGTTCTGAATTTCTCCATTTGGAAGTTTGAAGATTTCATCAATGTTCAAATGTAATTTCATTTTATATCTTGAATTGCCTTCTATTTCATCTTTAAAAAGTTCTTCATATGATTTTATTTCGGGACCAAAAACGCTTCTTTTAACTTTGTATCTCTTTATATGCTGTATTTTCTTTCTCATTCTTTGATTTTGTGAATCGTCACTTAGTTCGGGAGAAGAGCGATCAGTCATCATAATTTCGTCAAGATAGTCATCGGAAAATTTTTCTTTCGGAATTTCACTTTTGTTTCTAAAATCTAAATCAACATTGTATACAGGTTTTTCTTCATCATCACTCTCAGAAGAATCTTCGAAATTCATGTTTGAAGTCCCAGCTTTGTTTATGAATTCTATGTCAACATCTTCGACAAACTTGACTTCATTATCTTTTTCGCAACGTTCTAGTTTTACGAAACAATCCATGAACTCGGTTTGTGAAGTATCATTGGAAGTATCATCAAAGAACTTCATTTGTGTTTCCTGGATTTCTGTTGAAAACTTTGCAAATACTTCAATTTTTCGTTGACATTCTTTACACACTCCTTGTGGTAAAAGTTTACTCGGTTCTAATGAAACTCGTGTATGATATTCTATGAGTTCTTTAAATGTCCAATTGGAATTTGTTTTGTCTTCAAGTTCCATTTTGAAATCATAAAATGATTTTTGCTCACCACAAAGACGACACAAAATCATTTTAATTCTTTCTAATGATAAGAATAAGTCAAGGAATAAGTTATGAAAAATTTTTTCCGAGTTTTTTTAGAATTTTATAAATTTTATAAACAACTTTCTGAGATGACGCAGCTATTGGAGCAAAACTTTCTGAGATGACGCAATTATATTTTAGCGCAAATTTTTGAAATTTATAATACCTACCTAGTTAGGTAACAGGTGTAAATGGAAACAGCAAATAAATTATAATATTCTTATTTTCAGGAATAAATACCTAGATGAAAACTAAACATAATTAAGAAGAAAAATTGAAATTAAATATAATATTTGAACTTTAATTCAAATACCCCTCATTTCAAACCAATTTAATTTTCTTGACGTTGAAGAATGGAGGGCAAAACGGTAATTGTCACCTGATCCAATAATGGGATTGGAAAACAGACTGTGAGATTTATGCAGGAATATACTGTTAGGTAAGCAATTAAAATTCAATTCAGTTCAACATATGTCGCTGTCGTATGATTAAATAAATTATCACAGGACAAAAGTGAGAGAAAATTTATTAAATTCTCTCATACTTCTGTTGGGCAAGCTTCATATTATTTATATGTACGCTCAAATGATTTTACTAACAAACTTTTGTAAAATGTATACTTTTATAAGTAAGTAAAAGCACAACTTTATAGAACTCGATGAAACATTTTAAGAATCATGTTGAACTTCCTCACGACAAGGTTTGATGAACTTGAAGTTGGGAATTATCAACTACGTTGGAAACAGTATCGTTTTGTTACTTCATCAGATTTTTAAGATTGTATAAAAGCAAATGATTGCTCATCAATGATTTTCCAAGTTTGGTTCTTATTATGTCTTTGTTACAAATTTTGTAGGTCATTTTCCGATTTTGTCATTTTTGTCAAGAAAATATTCTCAAACCCGCGACTTCTTTTTTTTAAAGTCACTTGTAAATTGCTTTAAATTATAAAAATAAAAGTTGATAAATTTAAATTGTCATATTTTCAGAAAATTTTGGAAATTAGGTAATTTTCGTTTCGCAATCCATTTTCGACATTTCTGTTAAATAAAGGAGAAAGAGTCGAGGCAAAAAAATAACTAAGTATTCGGCAAACAGAGTTGGGCGATCCATTTTCCGAAATATTGGATCTTGAAAATGGATCGCCGATCCATGAAAAAAATGGATCGTGGAACGGATCGCCGATCCATGAAAAAAATGGATCGAAGACCCGATCCACGTTCCATTTTTCCCGTGCCCTTTTCTCTTAAGGGTCAGATTTGTAAAACATTTTTCTACCCCTTAGTGTTTGAAGGGGCAAAACTACAATTTTCACCAAAGGGTTAGGAAACTTATTAGAAAATCGTAGTTTTGCCCCTTTGAAAAACAAGGGGTAGAAAAATGTTCTACAAATCTGACCCGTAAAAGAAAAGGGCATGGCAATTTTTTTTTATATTGGATCGTGGATTGGATCGGCGATCCATGGGAAAAATGGATAGCCGATCCGGATCGGCGATCCACTTTTGAAATTTTGGATCGCTTAACTGGATCGGCGGTCCAAAAAATTCTTGGATCGCCCAACTCCGACGGCAAATAACGTACCGAATATTCGGCAAATATTTGGTAGGCCAAATACCTTCTTGCTTAAAAACACGAATTTACGAATATTCGTATTCGCCGAATACGTACCCTAGTTGGAGGGCTTTAATAATAAAAATAATCAAAAAATGAATGTTATTTTGAACGTTTAATCAATTTTTTTTTTGTTTTTCTGTTTTAGTGTTTGTATGATTAGCAAAAATGATAACAAACAACAGGCTTTTAGAAGACATCTCATTAATATTAATAAAAAAGGAAGTTATTACGATTTTTCTTGCACGTTTGCGTTACCCATCCTAGGTGTATAATTTATTAGCAAATGAAAGTTGGTTCCAGTAACTTCCTTCACTTTCTTTTCAGGAAATCGTAGAATTAATTTCATATATCTTCAAAATTTCATTTCGTTCAGACATACATTTGATGGTGGAAAAGTTCCTCTTCAAGTTTATCATATAAACTTAATTTCTGATTCCTTTCATTTTCAATCATACTTTAAACCACCGATATACGAGAGGACTTTGAATAATAAAAATTATTCAGAAAATGAATGTTATTTTTAACGTTTAATCAAATGTCGTATGACGTTATAACTTTGCATTTTGAAGTTATCAGTTGTGAGGTCGATCAGTGCCCAAAGATTATTTCATGAATAAATCTTCTCTAACGCTCTTTTAAGACATATTCCCACTCTTGTCGCAAAATTTATTTGAAAATATTTGTCAGACCTAAAAAACTGATTCAGTTGTTTGCTGATCGTTCTAGGTTGAGCACAAGCTACTTAAAATGGGGTAATTAATAAATAAAATTTCCATTAATATTTCCAAAATTATTTGGATTCCTGTTATAGCAAAAAAGTAACTCGGATCTGTTTCCTGCTGTTTATTTTTGGCTTATCATCTGTTGCTTCAGATGAGATATTGAAATGTAGAAAAGAAATAAAGAACGCCCATAGGCGTCCTGTTGTAACTTGTTATGTCGATGTGGCAGTTCGTGAAAAGGGAGAAATACTTTCTGAACCAATTGATACTGAAATATCAACTTTGACTTTTACAAATAATAATACAAAATATTTGCCTGATAACGTTGCAGCAACTCTTCCAAACCTTCAGACGATCTTTGCATATTGTTGGAAATGTGTTAGTGAACGATATAATGAGAAGTATAGCGAAGTATAGGAATAAGTCATTCAGTGCTTTGGTAGCCTGATTGACACCGACTAGTCTTTTGTAGTGGAATTTGCTGTTGAAGGGTTTCAAAGCAAATCTATACTTCGCATACGACTTGAGCAATACTTCACCCTACCGACGTGCTTCTGTGAACTATCAACACATATAAATGTTCAATAAAGGAGATTCAGAAAACTAATTTTGTCGGGCTTTCAAAACTGAAGAAATTATGTTTATTTGATAACCAACTTGAAAGTGTGGAAGGCAACATCTTTTCAGATTTGATATCATTGAAAAATTTAGAACTGCGTAATTATTTAATTATTAAGTACATATGTAAATTCATTTGAAAATAATGCCAGTTTTATTCTACTAATAGAAAACAACGCGATAAATCATATTGATAGGAATGCCTTCCTCGGACTAAGCAATTTGAAAACAGTGTATTTAAGAAACAACAAATTGGAAAAATTAGACCATGAAATGTTTACATCTTTGTCATCGTTGGAATATCTTAATTTGGGTAAGATTGATAACATTTTAATAAAACATATCCTTTGTGTTCAAATCACCTTGCTGCAATATTTTATATTCAATTATTTATTGTAGCTTTTAAAAAATAATTTCTATTTTGTTCCACGAATAGATAAAAACGTGATAAATCATATTGATAGAAATGCATTTCACGGACAAGGCGAGTTAGAAATATTGTATTTAAGTGGCAATAAATTGGATAAATTGTACAATGAGATGTTTACATCTTTACCATCGTTGGAATCACTTTATTTGGGTAAGATTGATCACATTTTGGTAAAATATATTCCTTGCTTTCAAGCGCTTTATATGATGTAGATTCAATTATTTATTAAAGCTTTTAGAAAATAATTCCAATTTTATTCCACTAATAGGTAAAAACGTGATAAATCATATTGATGGGAATGCTTTTCACGGACTAGGCAATTTAGAAGAGTTGATATTAGAAAACAACAAATTGAATAAAATAGACCATGAAATGTTTGCATCTCTATCATCGTTAAAATATCTTAATTTGGGTAAGATTGATCACATTTTAATAAAACATATCTTTTGTTTACATATCGCCTTGTTACGCTATTTGAAAATAATTCCAGTTTCATTCTCCTAATAGAAAACAACGCGATAGATCATATTGATAAAAATGCATTTCACGGATTAGGCAAGTTAGAAACATTATATTTAAAAAACAACAAATTGAATAAATTGGACCATGAAATGTTTGCATCTTTGTCATCGTTAAAGTATCTTCATTTGGGTAAGTTTGAATACATTTCAATAAAAGAGGTTACGTTTGAGGTTACGATTAAAACCTTGCATGAAAAAATTATTTATTTTTTTTCTGAAAGACGATAACAAATTGGAAAGCTTAGATTTTGGTCTACTTAAGCCTTTGTCATCAGTGGAGGGATTCCATTTAGGTACCTATTTCTTTCTTCAGTTTTTTTTCCATATTTAAGATTTAATTTAAAACTTTTCTTTACAGCAAATAATTCGCTCACACATATTGACGAAGAAATTTTCAAAAAATTCAAAATGTTCTTTCCCAAACTTCGAGTGATCGATTTATCATCAAATCCTTGCATCAACATGAAGACTTCAACACTTTACTACGGTGAAAAAAATGAGACTGAAATAGAGCAAATGATTCCAACTGTAAGCGCCAATTGTCAAAGGAAACTGGAAACGAAGGATGATCATTTGAACCAATAACTTTTCAAGTTCAAACAACAAATCGTGCAACAATTTTCCGGCTTCAAAGAGGAAATAAAACAACAAGTTTCCAATTCGATAAGAAACTTGCATTAATGCAATTTATATCTTTAATTATTGTTTATTGACAGTTTCATATTATTTTGGAATACATAAAGAATCCAAAAAGAAATAAGAAATTAAGATTTATTAAAGTGGATGGCAATCGTAATCTGCAGGTTCTTCTTAAATTAAGTACTGCTTGAAATTGTATTTAAATGAAGTTGTTATGCATCATGATGCGAACGATTCTCGAATCTCGATGTCATGCTCACAACATTTCATATAAAAAAGTTTTCTAAATTGTGATTGTTTTTGAGAGACATAGTTGAAAATGAAAAGGATCGGAACGCTCATCAGTCTTTAGTTTATCCATTTCTTCTACGCTCATCCTAAACAAAAATATTTTAAATTTCTCTAATGCTCTTTTAAGATTCTTCTTGCAAAATTATTTGAAAATATTTTTCAGATTTAAGATCTGATTCAGTTGTTTGTTGAACATTCTAGATTGAGCATAAGCTTGCATTGGGTAATTAATTAAGTATAGTTTCCATTCATACTTCTTAAATCATTTGCGTAACTCTTGTAGCAGAAAAGTAACCTGGATCTGTTCATTGCTGTTTTATTTAGGTTGGCATCTGTTGTTTCAGATGAGATATTGAAACGTAGAAAAGAAATTGTACATCAATTGTAGTGATGTACATGTAATTATATAGATATTGATACGCGTTAAATATCATAAGGCGATCATTATATATTTTGTTGACTGCTTACAACTTGTAGATTACTTACCTGTATGTAGACTAAAAGAGAAACGGAATTTTTTTCCAACTGTAATAATAGTATGTACACCTATATCTTAATAGTTATATGAATATCCAATTAGGTACCTAATTAGTTTGATTACAGTTTGTAACTGCTTGTTGTTTTGACAATTTTAGTGTAGTGTGATCATCTGAACTGATAACAGTCGTTTTTCGTTGTCAATAAAAGTTTCTGTTTTATTTGAATGGGTACCAAAAAAAATATGACGAATAAAAGAATTTCGGCTGATATTTAAAACTTATTAACGTTAAATAATCGGAGTAAATTTTTTAATGTTTAAGTTTTTATTTTTTTCCTTTGTTTCCAGAAAAATAACGCTAATTGCATTAACAAAGTAACCGCGATTATGAATGTAACGGTTATAAGTTTTAAATATCAGCCGCAATCCTTTTCCTGCAATCCTTTTCATCGACATATTTATTCGAAATATTTTTACAGAGAAAAGCGGATTTCTTCGTACCATTTTAATTATCATCATCAGCACTTTGTGTGGAATGATATCATGGATGATTGATAAAAATGATATAAAATCATCATATTTATTCGAAACACCTGAAAAACAAGGAAAAGTGCCACGACTATGGCGAATTTCTATTAATGATTGGAATCCAGGTCGTAATCTTGGAACTCTTGAACGCATTTGGGAACGTTTTGGATATGAATATGTAAATGGATCAAATGGTGATGATTGGGATATTTGTTGGAGTCATGAACTTCCTTATGGTCCTGGCGTAATGATGAAATCTTCACAATATGATGACATTTTAAAAACTCCTTTAAAGCCACATCAACGTGTCAATCATTTCCCAGGAATTAATTATCTCACATCAAAAAGTTTCCTTAGCAGCAGCAACCGTGATCTTAAATATATTTTGCCAGGTTTCTTCTTTCCACAAAACATTGACGCCTTTAAAAAATATGTCAAAGAAAATCCTGATGTAAGATTTGTTGAAAAAAAGAAAACAAATCGAGGAATTAAATTGGTTGAAATTGAAGACATTAATTTTGATCAAAGTGATAAATATTACCAAAAGTTTATGGAGAGACCTTATTTGGTAGAAGATCGTGCTATGGATATGGGAATTTACGTATTAATTGCTTCAATAAATCCTTTGAGAATTTATCGTTTTACCGGAGATATTTGGTTGAGATTCTGTCGTGATCCTTATTATCCATTTAATGCTAGTAATGTATATTCATACGCAATTTCTGACACGCGTAAACTTTTTTATGATATTCCTGAACTTAATTCTTATTATGATCATTTTGGATTCTCATTCCTTCTCACATTGATGAATTATTTAGAAAAAAGAGGTGTCAATATAACTGACATGTGGCGTAAAATTGATGATGCGATTGTACAATCAATTATGAGAAGTGAACCAGGAATGATAAAAGAGGTTTGTAAATAAATTTTATTTTATCAATTTTCCAGAGAAGCATGAATGGAGAGTTTTTGCTTGATTTTCTCCAAGTGAAATAACCTGCGAGTATTTCATATTTCCATGGGAATTTCGCAAAAGAATTCCTTGGAGATCTTCACAAAATTTCCCTAAAAAAGTTTATTTAAATTATTTAAATCTTTTAAAGACTTACAAACTCTTCAACTCATCACATCATTTCTTTGACTTGGTTCGTTATGATATTTTAATTAATGAGACTATTGATCCACATATTGCTGAAGTGAACATGTCACCATCTCTTTCAATACATACACCAACCATGAAAAAATATCTAGGAACATGTGAACAAATTATCTTCAACACATTAAGGTTACTTGGTGCTGGAAGTAGTTTAGATTTACAATCAGAGTTAGAAAAAGATTAATTGTTTATCTTTAACAATAATTAACATAATTCATAATTACAGATATGATCCTCTCGCGTATGAAATGTTTGTTGGAAAGTTAAACATCGCTGTTGATCCTAGAACTTGTGCTGACAATGAATGTCACAAGAACTGCAATTTAAAGGTTTGTGAGCTCTGCACATCATGTTTAACTCACGGTGATTATGATGAAATGCGTCGAGCTTATCTTGAACATACAAGAAAAGGTGATTTTAAAAGAATTTTCCCTTCGGACGTTTACTACAATGACGAATATTTAAATAAAATGACACCACGTAATCAAATATCATTGAAATGGTTTCATCAAAAATGTAAAGCTTATCCAGAATGGTGTTAAATAATTTGATGAATTTGTGTTTTGTATCTCCAAAAATGTTGTGCTGTTCGGCAGAAATAAAAATTTGATGGTGGAAAAGTTCCTCTTCAAGTTTATCATATAAACCTAATTTCTGATTCCTTTCATTTTCAATCATACTTTAAACCACCTATTTACGGGAGCTGGAGGACTTTGAATAATAAAAATTATTCAGAAAATGAATGTTATTTTTAACGTTTAATCAAATGTCGTAAATATGTCGTTATAACTTTGCATTTTGAAGGTATCAGCTGTGAGGTCACACCAGTGTCCAGAGAATATTTTATGAATAAAACTTTTCTAACGCTTTTTAATGACATACCTATTTCCACTCTTGTCGCATTTTTTAAGTTAAAAACTGATTCAGTTGTTTGTTGATCGTTCCAGATTGAGCACAAGCTAACATGGGGTAATAAAATAAATATAATTTCTATTCATATTTTCGAAATGATTTGAGTACCTGTTATAGGAAAAAAGTAACTCGGATCTGTTTCCTGCTGTTTATTTTTGGCTTATCATCTGTTGCTTCAGATGAGATATTGAAATGTAGAAAAGAAATGAAGAACGACCATTTTCGGCGTCCTGTTTTAACTTGTTATTTCGATGGGGCAGTTCGTGAAAAGGGTTAAATTACTTTCTGAACCAAGAGATAGTAAAATATCAACTTTAAATTTTATAAACAACAAAAACACAATATATTTGCCTGATAACGTTACAATGACATTTCCAAACCTTCAGACGTTCATAGCATCTGAATGTTCAATTAAGGAGATTCATAAAACTAATTTTGTCGGGCTTTCAAAACTGCAAATCATATTTTTGATTAAAAACCAACTTGCAAATTTGGAAGGAAATGTCTTTTCAGATTTGATGTCATTGGAAACTTTAAAACTGCGTAATTATTTAATTATTAATTATGTAGTCATTTGGAAATAATTTCAGTTTTAATCTTATAATAGAAAAAAACGCGATAGATCATATTGATAGCAATGCCTTCCAAGGACTAGACCAGTTAAAAGGATTGCATTTAAGTGACAACAAAATGCATAAATTAGACCATGAAACATTTGCATCTTTGCCATCGTTGAAATATCTTCATTTGTGTAAGATTGATCACATTTTAAAACAGTGGAACTTCGATAAACAGATAAACCTTGATAAAATATATTTTTTTGTCCCCTTGAATCGAATTTGTATGAAAAATTGTCACGATTAACTGATGCACCTTCAGCCATCTGTTAATCAAAGTTCCACTGTAAAATATATGCTTTGTTTTCAAATTGTCTTGATGCAACATTTTATATTCAATTATCTATTAAAGCTTTTTGAAAATAGATCCAATTTCATTCTCTTAATAGCTGGGAACGTGATAAATCGTATTGATAGAAATGCCTTCCAAGGACTAGGCAAGTTAGAGTTATTGGCTTTATTTGGCAGCAAATTAAATAAATGAGACCATGAAATGTTTGCATCCTTGTCATCGTTAAGATATCTTCTTATGGGTAAGATTGATCACATTTTATTGTAGTAAATCTTTTGTATTAATGACGCGTCTTCCACATTAGTAGAGGTTTCACATATGGTTAAAACTTAACATGACAATATATCAGTATCGATTTTTATTAATCATTTATTTTTTTCCGAAAGATTTTAACAAATTGGAAAGCTTAGATTTTGATCTACTTCAGCCTTTATCATCAATGGAGGGACTCCATTTGGGTATAACTGATTTCTTCGGATTTTTCCCATATTTAAGACTTAATTCAAAACTTTTATCTTTTCACAGCAAATAATTCGCTCACACATATTGATGCAATCATTTTCAAAAAACATCAAAATATTGTTTCCCAAACTTCGAGATATCGATTTATCCTCTAATCAGAGTTGGGCAAATTGCACGCCCAACTCGATTGACTGACATTTTGACAGACATTGACTGACTGTCAAAATGTCAATATCACAATATCACAGCCATCAAAATGAAGCAGAAATTTTGCTTCAGAAATCGGCCAGCCAGACAAAAACAGACCATGTGGTTGTTATTTTTGCAGAAATACTTCAGTGATTTTATCACAACATGCGGTGATTAATCACAAGATTTTGAAAATTTGTTCAGTGATTAATCACTGAATGTTGTGATATATCACTAAAATGTAAGTGATAATCACAATAGAATATAAATATTAAAAATTTATTCTGGTGCTCATACTTACCATTAGCAAGCTTCTCGTAAATTCTTCTCTCATTTCTTGACTTGTTTTTAGCTAAAGTCATGGAAAAATATTAAAAATTATGTTAATTATATTAATAAATTGGAAATAAATTCCCCTTGAGCTACAAAGGGTATGAAATTTGATTTCTTTTTGTAGCTCAAGGGGAATTTATTTCCAATTTATTAATATAATTAACATAATTTTTAATATTTTTCCATGACTTTAGCTAAAAACAAGTCAAGAAATGAGAGAAGAATTTACGAGAAGCTTGCTAATGGTAAGTATGAGCACCAGAATAAACTTTAAATATTTATATTCTATTGTGATTATCACTTACATTTTAGTGATATATCACAACATTCAGTGATTAATCACTGAACAAATTTTCAAAATCTTGTGATTAATCACCGCATGTTGTGATAAAATCACTGAAGTATTTCTGCAAAAATAACAACCACATGGTCTGTTTTTGTCTGGCTGGCCGATTTCTGAAGCAAAATTTCTGCTTCATTTTGATGGCTGTGATATTGTGATATTGACATTTTGACAGTCAGTCAATGTCTGTCAAAATGTCAGTCAATCGAGTTGGGCGTGCAATTTGCCCAACTCTGAAGTTCATCATAATAAAAAAATATTTTTTGTAGATTAAAAATGTCAAAACCAACTTTATATTATTCACCTTTGAGTCCACCTTCAAGGTTTGTTTATATCNTGATAATTTTGGATACTCATTCCATCTCACATTGATGAATTATTTAGAAAAAAGAGGTGTCAATATAACTGACATGTGGCGTAAAATTGATGATGCGATTGTACAATCAATTATGAGAAGTGAACCAGGAATGATAAAAGAGGTTTGTAAATAAATTTTATTTTATCAATTTTCCAGAGAAGCGTGAATGGGGAGTTTTTGTTTGATTTTCTCCAAGTGAAATAACCTGCGAGTATTTCATATTTCCATGGGAATTTCGCAAAAGAATTCCTTGGAGATCTTCACAAAATTTCCCTAAAAAACTTTATTTAAATTATTTAATTCTTTTACAGACCTACAAAATCTTCAACTCATCACATCATTTCTTTGACTTGGTTCGTTATGATATTTTAATAAATGAGACTATTGATCCACATATTGCTGAAGTGAACATGTCACCATCTCTTTCAACACATACACCAACCATGAATAAAAATCAAGGCACATGTGAACAACTTCTCTTGAATACTTTAAGGTTACTTGGTGCTGGAAGTAGTTTAGATTTACAATCAGAGTTAGAAAAAGATTAACTGTTTATCTTTAACAATAATTAACATAATTCATAATTACAGATATGATCCTTTCGCGTATGAAATGCTTGTTGGAAAGAAGAATATCGCTGTTGATCCTAGAACTTGTGCTGACAATGAATGTCACAAGAACTGCAATTTAAAGGTTTGTGAGCTCTGCACATCATGTTTAAGTCACGGTGATTATGATGAAATGCGTCGAGCTTATCTTGAACATACAAGAAAAGGTGATTTTAAAAGAATTTTCCCTTCGGACGTTTACTACAATGACGAATATTTAAATAAAATGACACCACGTAATCAAATATCATTGAAATGGTTTCATCAAAAATGTAAATCTTATCCAGAATGGTGTTAAATAATTTGATGAATTTGGGTTTTGTATCTCCAAAAATGTACTGTCAGGCAGAAATAAAAATTACATTCAACTTTTATACGTAAAAAAAATTATTTGTTTTGTTTTTCTGTTTTAGTGTTTTAGTGTTTGTATGATTAATAGCAAAAATGATAACAAACAACAGACTTTTAGAAGATATCTCAATAATGTTAATAGAAATGGATTTTAACAGAAATCACGATTTCTCTTGAACTTCCAGTAACTTCCATAAGATTTCCATAACACTCCCTACTCTGATGACGAACATTTCATCAAATCTCGTATCATGTTAAAACTTTGCCGTTTGATGTTACAGCAGAAAGGTCACACCCGTGTCCAAAGATTTTTTCATGAATAAAACTTCTCTAACGCTCTTTTAAGACATATTCCCACTCTTGTCGCAAAATCATTTGAAAATATTTTCTAAGCTTAAAAACTGATTCAGTTGTTTGTTGATCGTTCTAGATTGAACACAAGCTAACATGGGGTAAAAGAATAAATAAAATTTCTAATCTTTTCTATACTTCCGAAATTATTTGGGTACCTCTTGTAGGGAAATAGTAACATGGATCTGTTCATTGCTGCTCCTTTTTGGCTTGTCATCTGTTGCTTCAGATAAGATATTGAAATGTAGAATAGAAATTATGCATCATTTGTAGCGATGTACATGTAATTATATAGATATTAATACAGGTAAAATATCATAAAGCGATAATTATATTTTGTTGACAACTTGCAAATTACTTAGGTATATGTATGTAGGCTAAAAGAGCAACGAACTTTTTTCCAACTGTAATAATAAATGCATCTTAATAGTTATATGAGTTCCAATTTGTAAGTGTGATAACAGTTTGATATTTACTGTTTGATATTTTGACATTTTCAGTCTAGTGTGATCATCTGAACTGATCACAGTCGTATTTCGTTGTCATTAAAAGTTTCTGTTTTATTAAATGGGTACCAGAAAAAATGAGATTACCAATGGACTTCGTGGCAAAATATTTCGAATAAATACAAAAGATTTCGGCTGATATTTAAAACTTATAACCGTTAAACATAATCGCGGTTACTTTTTTAATGTTTAAATTTATATTTTTTTCTTTGTTTACTTACATAAACAGAAAGAAAAGGATACAAACTTCCACATTAATAAATTAAACGCGATTATGCATAAGTTTTAAATATCAGCCGCAATCCTTTTCCTGTAATCCTTTTCTTTGACATATTTCTTTTGTAAAATTTTACAGATAAAAGCGGATTTCTTCGTACCATTTTAATTATCATCATTAGCACTTTGTGTGGAATGATATCATGGATGATTGATAAAAATGATATAAAATCATCATATTTATTCGAAACACCTGAAAAACAAGGAAAAGTGCCACGACTATGGCGAATTTCTATTAATGATTGGAATCCAGGTCGTAATCTTGGAACTCTTGAACGCATTTGGGAACGTTTTGGATATGAATATGTTAATGGATCAAATGGTGATGATTGGGATATTTGTTGGAGTCATGAACTTCCTTATGGTCCTGGCGTAATGATGAAATCTTCACAATATGATGACATTTTAAAAACTCCTTTAAAGCCACATCAACGTGTCAATCATTTCCCAGGAATTAATTATCTCACATCAAAAAGTTTCCTTAGCAGCAGCAACCGTGATCTTAAATATATTTTGCCAGGTTTCTTCTTTCCACAAAACATTGACGCCTTTAAAAAATATGTCAAAGAAAATCCTGATGTAAGATTTGTTGAAAAAAAGAAATCAAATCGAGGAATTAAATTGGTTGAAATTGAAGACATTAATTTTGATCAAAGTGATAAATATTACCAAAAGTTTATGGAGAGACCTTATTTGGTAGAAGATCGTGCTATGGATATGGGAATTTACGTATTAATTGCTTCAATAAATCCTTTGAGAATTTATCGTTTTACCGGAGATATTTGGTTGAGATTCTGTCGTGATCCTTATTATCCATTTAATGCTAGTAATGTATATTCATACGCAATTTCTGACACGCGTAAACTTTTTTATGATATTCCTGAACTTAATTCTTATTATGATCATTTTGGATTCTCATTCCTTCTCACATTGATGAATTATTTAGAAAAAAGAGGTGTCAATATAACTGACATGTGGCGTAAAATTGATGATGCGATTGTACAATCAATTATGAGAAGTGAACCAGGAATGATAAAAGAGGTTTGTAAATAAATTTTATTTTATCAATTTTCCAGAGAAGCATGAATGGAGAGTTTTTGCTTGATTTTCTCCAAGTGAAATAACCTGCGAGTATTTCATATTTCCATGGGAATTTCGCAAAAGAATTCCTTGGAGATCTTCACAAAATTTCCCTAAAAAAGTTTATTTAAATTATTTAAATCTTTTAAAGACTTACAAACTCTTCAACTCATCA